AGTCTGGCTGGGGAGCGGAGGCACAGCCCAGCACAGGCAAAATCCTGATGCGGAAGGAATTCAAGCGGACGGACGCCACAGAACAGATGTGCCAAGGTAGCTATGGCAACCCACACCACGGTCATCTGAGTCCCCTCCCTACTTGCCAACCTCCTGTTTTTCAACGGCTGCCCTTCTCATCACAAAAGCATCACCACCGAGATGCTAATAAGGCCTGAGGAATAATTTCACTACCGGATCTCCATCTTGTCCTCTGAAAAAGCCTTGAATTTGTATTATTCTCTTTGTTGCAGACCATTCAGAAAGCAGCAGCTCTTGCAGTTGTGGCACATGAGGTGGGGCAACGCCACTGCCCTGCTGTCTTGGCTGGAGCCAGGATAGGGCTGGGCATGGGAAGCACTGCGTTGACGGCAAGCGCAGGTGGGCACACACTTGCACCCGTCTCCACTGCCGCCTGACATTGGATTTTTCTTAGGCCCCTTATCGATGAGGTCAGTGCTTGACCACAAAACTGGTAAGAACAGTTTAGGTACAGCCTTTTTCAACCTGTGGGTCCCCAGATGTTGTTGAACTACAACTCCCATCACCCCTAGCTAGCAAGGCCAGAGCTCAGGGATGATGGGAGTTGTAGTCCAACAACATCTGGCGACCCACTGGTTGAGAACCGCTGGTTTAGGAGGAACCAAGGTAAAGGACTCCTGGATGGTTAAGTCCAGTCAAAGGTGACTATGGGGTTGTGGCGCTCATCTCGCTTTCAGGCTGAGGGAGCCGGCGTTTGTCCACAGACAGCTTTCCGGGTCATGTGTCCAGCAGGACTAAACCGCTTCTGGCGCACAGAGGACCGTGACGAGTGCCAGAGTGCATGGAAATGCCATTTACCTTCCTGCCAGAGCAGTACCTATTTATCTACTTGCACTTTGACGTGCTTTTGAACTGCTAGGTTGGCAGGAGCTGGGACTGAGCAACGGGAGCTCACCCCATTATGCGGATTCGAACCGCCAACCTTCCAATCGGCAAGCCCAAGAGGCTCAGTGGTTTGGACCACAGTGCCACCCGCGTCCCTAGGAGGAATCTAATGGCTAAATGCCAGAGTATAAAACCACTCTAGATAAGGTGCAAGGAGTGTTCTAATACACACAGTAAAAAAAATAGGTTGAGTAAGTGCTTTCAAGGACGTGGCTGAATGACAAGTGGTGGGGGTGCTGGGGAAGCAGAAAGCGACTGGGTAGAGAATAAACAGCTAATCTGATTTATATTTACTCTGTAGCGTAAATATAACGGAACTCACTTCACAGCTGGAGGCAGCCATGCTTCTGAATCCCAGTTGCTGGAAAATACAGGAGGGGAGACTTGCTCTTGTGCTCGAATCCTGCCTGCTGGCTTCCCACGGTCACCTGGTTATCAGAGCAGGGTGGCAGACATTGGCCTGATCCAGCAAGCTGTTCTTATGTGTCTTGCATTGCAAACAATGGGGACAAACAGCATTAGGCCAAAGACAAAGCAAATGCGAGGCCGAGAGCAACCTGTTTCTTTTCAAGTCCCTCCAAACTGAGCCGAAAGCTTGAATGAAATTTGCACTTTCCACCAGAAATAAAAAAAAATATTCGCTGTCTTTTTACCTGCCACATTCCTCTGCTGTTATTGAAATGAGAGGACTGTTGTTGCTTCTACCCCTGGACATCACAAGTATTGAAATTAGTTATAAAAATAACCACCATTCCAGAATGTGGGGGTCGTGGGCGACGGTACTGAGATGTATTTGTAGTTCTGAGAGATGAATGAGCAGAGGAGGCCAATAGGAAAGGAGAAGATCCCCACCTAGTGGAAAAATGAGACTCCTTCCTGCCTCCACTGAGCCACGTTCATTTCTCCGGTGAAAATAGGGATGGCCTATTCCATCATCATCATCACCATTTTACCCCGCCCATCTGACTGGGTTGCCACTCTGGGAAGCTTCCAGCAGATAAAAAATTATAATAAAACATTAAACCTTAAGAAACTTCCTTCTACAGGGATGCCTTCTGATGTTTTCTAAAGGTTGTATTTCCTAGGCTTGGGGGTCCCATAACAGCTTTCCAATGAAAAGAGGGACATCCTACCATACCCTCCAACAGTTCTCTGATGAAAAGAGGGACGTCCTAAGGTGAAGCGGGACATTCCAGGATCAAATCAGAAACCGAGACAGCTTCAGGACTGTCTCCGGAAAATAGGGACACATGGAGGGTCTGAGATGAGCTTGACGTACAGCACACTTCAGTGATCCAGTTTTGAGGTCACCAATGCACAGTGGTGTAGAGTGGGGGGTGATGGCCCCAGGCTCAGAATTGAAATTGAAATACTTTATGGTCACTTGTACAACTTGTATACAGTGAGATTACATGAGCACCCCCCACTCAGCTATCTTAGTCTTAATTCCCCTCGTTTACTGACGCACACCCACCAAACCCCAAAGTCAGTTGCCCTGTTGTTATCTTTTCATTTACCAGCCTAACAGCCCATGGATAGAAGCTGTTCTTTACCCTGTTGGTGCGACTAGTCCTGCTTCTATATCTTCTGCCCGAGGGCAGGAGATCAAGAAAGTGCCGGCCAGGGTGTGAATCATCCCTGAGAATTTTCCTCACTCTCCTGAGGCAACGTTCTTCCACTATTTCATCCAGCAGATTCACGGGACAGCCCATAATATCTTGTGCTGTATTCACCACCCTCTGTAGGCACTTCCTATCAGATGATGTCAAACCAGCGTCCCACACCGTGATGCAGTAGGAAAGGACACTTTCTATTGTAGACCAGTAGGAGGAGATCATCAGATGTTGATTGACATCGTTCTTCCGCAAGACTCTGAGGAGATGGAGTCTCTGTTGGGCTTTCTTAACCACCTGGGTGTATTGATTTTCCAAGTAAGGTCTTCACTGAGATAAACTCCTAGGAATTCAAAGAAAGAGTCTCTCTCCACACAGCAAGGCTGGTTCTCCTCTCTTCCTCTGAAAGTCCAACACCATCTCCTTTGCTTGCTGATATTAAGGTGCAAGTTGTTCCCTAGGCACCATGTAGATATTTTCTGTGGGGGAGCAACCCTGTACCCCCAGGACAGGCTTTCTCCCCAAGGCTATGGGGCTACTGCCTTTTGGAGTTGCGGGGCTATCCTTCTGGGCTGGGGTGATTCCTCCTTCTCCTTGCAGCCAGTGAAGGGACGCCTGCCCCATTGGGGAACTCCAGCTGGCTGGAGCCTGGACTTTTCCACTGCCCCCCCCCCATGGGGCCCTGCAGATCCTCCCAGTGTCCTTATTTTCCAGGGACAGTCCTGGATTACAGAAGCCGTCCTGGTTTCTGAATTGATCCCAGAACGTCCCACTTTTCCTAAAGATGCCCCTATTTTCATCAGAGAAATGTTGGAAGGGATGGAGTTATGAGACCCCGGAGCCAAGAAGATAAGTAACTATTTAGAAGACATCTGAAGGCAGCCCTGTAGAGGGAAGTTTTTTAAGGTTTAATGTTTTAATAATAAGCAGTTGTTAAGAGTCGTCAACAGGTCTACCATACGCATTGAGTCAATCACCCATCTCCTACTGCCCTCTGAGAAATACCCCACCCCAGGCATAGGCAACCTCAGCTGGCCTAGGTTACCTATAATAAGTAATAAAATAATAAAAAATTGTTTATATCCCGCCCTCCCCAGCCAAAGCCTGCCCCACCCTCCCACTGTATATAAGGGTCTGGTGATTTCTCTTTCAGAGTATCTGAAGAAGTGTGTATGCACATGAAAGCTTATACCCAGAACAAACTTAGTTGGTCTCTAAGGTGCTACAGGACTATTTTTAATTTTTATTTATTTTTTTCAACTGCGTCAGACCAACACGGCTACCTGCCTGAATCTAGAATGTCTTAATATGTGTTGGAAGCCACCTAGCGTTTCTGTGGCAACCCGTTCAGATTGGCAGGGTACAAATAATAAAATTATTGTTGTTGCTATTATGGTTGTTATTATCGCAGGGTCCAGGGTGGGCTTTCTAAGGTGCGGCCACACCGCTCCCTCTCCATGGGTGATGGCGCCTCTGCCTCCCTCCATGAGGCATCCACAACTTCCTGAACCCTCCTGGCCGTGCCACCTGGGCTAGAACCAACAGGAAAGGGAAGGGGTCCAAAGAGGGGTGTAGCCGGGGGGAGGGGCAGCTGCCCCCTGAAATCAATAAAAATACATAGCTAACTCTGGTTCTGCCCCCCCCCCCAAAATTCCTGCTATGCCCATAGGTCCAAAGGACTTTCTTCTGAGTATACCTGCACAGGAATGTGCTGGAAAAGCACAGCTTCACAGATATTTTTATAGTCCTGCAGCAACTGTGTGCCAGGGCTGTGCATTTTCTACTTCTTTGTATTTAAAATATTTTGCCTTCCTCTGGTGGGAAGGTAAACGGCGTTTCCGTGCGCTGCTCTGGTTCGCCAGAAGCGGCTTAGTCATGCTGGCCACATGACCCGGAAGCTGTACGCCGGCTCCCTCGGCCAGTAAAGCGAGATGAGCGCCACAACCCCAGAGTTGGCCACGACTGGACCTAATGGTCAGGGGTCCCTTTACCTTATGTATATGTGTGTATATATATGTGTGTGTGTGTGTGTGTATATATATACGTGGGGGGGGGAGCGGGTGGCGCTGTGGGTAAAACCTCAGTGCCTAGGACTTGCCGATCGTATGGTCAGCGGTTCGAATCCCCGCAGCGGGGTGAGCTCCTTTCGGTCCCAGCTCCTGCCCACCTAGCAGTTCGAAAGCACCCCTAAGTGCAAGTAGATAAATAGGGACCGCTTTCTAGCGGGAAGGTAAACGGCGTTTCCGTGTGCTGCGCTGGTGCTGGCTCGCCAGAGCAGCTTCGTCACGCTGGCCACGTGACCCGGAAGTGTCTCCGGACAGCGCTGGCCGCCGGCCTCTTAAGTGAGATGGGCGCACAACCCTAGAGTCGGACATGACTGGCCCGTACGGGCAGGGGTACCTTTACTTATATGTGTGTGATATATATATAAACACACACACACACACATATATATATATATATATATATATGCATGAGTGTGTATATATATATATATATATACACACGTGTGTGTGTGTGTGTGTGTGTGTGTGTGTGTGTGTATATATATATCTATATATATATATATCTATATATCTATATCTCTATATATCTATATATATCTCTATATATCTATATCTATCTATCTATCTATATATATATATATATATATATATATATATGTGGCTTGGGCGAATTCAGGGAGGCGAGGGCTATGGTGGGTCCCAGACCTGCTGGCTCTGCTCTGCCTCCACGGTCAGAGGCGGCGATGTTTCTCACGGCCCCTGGCCGGGGGAGCAGGATGCTGGCCTGGCAGCGCCCCCGCCCCCGGCCCCGATCCAGCTGGCTCTCCTTCGGCCTCCAATGCCAGCGGGCGAGGCGCTCCTTGCCAGGCCCACGCGGCGCCTCCTCCGGGCGGGACCATCGCCCAGCAAGGCGCGGGGGGGGACAGGGCGCTCCCCGGCCGCCTCTCCGCCTGAACCACCCCAACGTTCCACGGGCAAGAAAGAGCCAGCGAGCGAATGACGAGGCACCCGCTTCAGCCCCGCCCACTGCCCAGAAAGGCAATATACGCATGCGCGCGCCCGGTCCCGCGCCTCCCCTGGGCGTCCGGAGCGCCAGCTTCCAACATGGCCGCCGAGGGGCTTCCGCTTCCGCCGCCTCGCGCCAGGGGAGCCAATCGGCGTCGTGGGCGCCGGATTCGAAGCTGGCCGCGGGCAACGGTCGTCGGCTGAGGGGAGACGCGGCGCGAGTGGGGGCCGCTGGGTCGGGGGGTGAGTCGGGGCCCCCAGGCGGGAGGGCGAAGGCGGCCTGAGGGAAGCGGCGGCGGCCCAGCTCCTCCTCAGAGTAGACCCCTCGAGTCCCGCCGAGCTCGGGGCCGAGCCGAAGGCCGCGGAGGGAAGAGGGGGTCGGGGGAAGGAAGGAAGGAAGGAACGGGAGCGGGGAATGAAAGAAAACTGACAGGCCTCTTGGTCCCTCAGAAGTCAGGCGGGGTATAAATAATAACATCATCATCATTACTATTATTACATTATTATTATTATTGTTGTTGTTGTTGTTGTTATCATTATTATCATTATCATTATTATTATTATTATTGGTTCCTTCCCTGTGGAACAAACTGCCATCCTTAGCAGTCATCAGCAGTTATAATAATAATAAATACAGTGGTACCTCGGGTTACAGACGCTTCAGGTTACAGACTCTGCTAAGCCAGAAATAGTACCTCAGGTCAAGAACTTTGCTTCAGGATGAGAACAGAAATCGCGTGGCCCCATTAGCTAAAGTGGTGCTTCAGGTTAAGAACAGTTTCAGGTTAAGAACGGACCTCCGGAACGAATTAAGTACTTAACCCGAGGTACCACTGTAATAAAAAATATATATTTATACCCCGCCCTTCCCGGTTTAAAAACCGGGCTCAGGGCTGCTAACAGCAAATATGAAACATTGATTAAAATGCGACTTAAAAACAGCATAAAATGCAGCATCAATATCAATCAAATTCAAAAATTCAGGGGTCATTTTGGGGAGGGGGAAAAAAAAACCCCAGTCAGTAGACATCAATTGATCACCAGGGCTAACTGGCCAAGCTGGTCCTACTAGGGCCAGCAAGGTTGCAGCGACCTCTGCTTCAGAGTATCTCATGAAGTGTGTATACACACGAAAGCTCATACCTAGAAAGCTTATACGTACTTTGTTGGTCTTTAAGGTGCTACTGGATTTTTTTATTTATTTTTTAAATGGGGGAAAGATTATTTTATTTATATTATTTGTCGTAAGACAAAAAGACTTGATTCTCTTGGTGCTGCATTCAGAAGCACTTCGATAGTGGACATACTGGGGGGATAACAGCCTATCATGATGGGACAGTCATTTTCATTAGGACCAAAACAAGTGTGCAATGCTTGGTGTACCTACACATTTTGATACAATTTCTTTGCACTGAATGTGAGGGACTTTAAAATAATTGCATGATATATTGAAATATAACTGACAGTAAAAGGTAAAGGTACCCCTGCCCGTACGGGCCAGTCGTGTCCGACTCTAGGGTTGTTCGCCCATCTCACTTAAGAGGCCGGGGGCCAGCGCTGTCCGGAGACACTTCCGGGTCACGTGGCCAGCGTGGGACCGAAAGACGGGAGCTCACCCCGCCGCGGGGATTCGAACCGCCGACCATGCGATCGGCAAGCCCTAGGCGCTGAGGTTTTACCCACAGCGCCACCCGCGTCCCATAACTGATAGTAGCCATTGGTTTTTCATTGTCACCAAGCTCATGTTGCCTGATAGCTATGATAGAAACCATGTTACTCTTTCTTGTGTGACCATCAATAAAAACAAAAACAATTATGCTTCCTTTGCAGGTAGGATGCGAAGAAAAAGTAGACACACTCAAATCCTCTTTTTTACATAATTAAAAAAGACTCATAAACAGGCCTTAATGAATTTGCTTTTGATGCAATACCTGTTTTATTGAGATGATTGGAATCCTTTGATCTTTTAAAGGTACGGCCATGTCCCCACTTCCTTCTCCTAGAAGAAGAGAAATGTCTTTGAAAGGTGTTCTCCTAAGCAACATCCCTGGAGGTACGCCGTTAAAGGATTTTGGGAAATTTCAAGCGGATTGCATTCCTGCTTCAGCAATGAAGAAAGCTACTTGGCCTTCAGGGGTTCCTGCTGGCCAAAATCTTTGCTTGGAAAAAGGTGGCAAAATAGGAAACGTTTTCCAGTCCACTTTAATAGCTGGTGGTACTCATGCTAAAGAATTGCTTGACCTCAGCGAGATAAAGCCAGTTTCTGAAGGAGAACTGAAACCGCTTGCCTCTTGTCCGAAACCGGAAGCTGTGCCACCGACAGGGAATGCGGCCCTGAAACGTAAAGCTTGCAGGCAATTATCCCTGGAGTCTCCAGCAAAAGTCTTCGCAAGAATGAAGACCAGGGCAGCTCTTGCTAAACAGCAGAAGTTGTCACAAGAAAAGAAATTGTTAAATGTAGACATTTCCACAGATTATATCCTCACTCCTGAAAGGCATCTTGCCCCTTTGGGAAGACAAGGCAAAAAATCCACGGCTGAAGATGATAAGCCAAAGGAGAGGCTGGCTGAGGAGCCCCTTGGAAAGGCCAGGGAAGAGCAAGGTTTGCTTTTATCATTTCTTCTTAGAAAATGCTGCTTAACAGAAGCTTCATGTTTAGATGTTTGGGGTGTAGTTGCAAACATGAGCCTTCACCTCTTACCAATGGGCTCCTAGCAAACCTCCTGTTTCCATTTTGTTTGTTACCTTTAACCTTTGGCTCCTTTCCCCCTACTGTACTATACTTCTTGCTCATTATGTTCTTCACTCCAGTCACAGTCCTGTTGTGCATGCAATCATCTGCTGTAACACAGGCTTGAATAATTTTATCTCCCACCACCAACTCTGCAGAAAGGTCTGCCCTTGGGGAAGGGCTGTAGCTCAGTGGCAGAAAGTCTGACTTCGTTTAAGGCACCTATGGAGGCTGTGGGCAACTATTCAAGCAAAGACAGCTTGCCAACAGTACAACTGACTTTTCTCTGTGGGTGCTGGGGGGAGTAGCTTGGTCAGCTAACTCAAAATAAATAGAAGTTGTAAACCAGTGTTTTTCAGCTAGGTTCTAGGTAGCTCTGGGATCCCTCCAAAACGTATCTGAGTTTCCTCAGTGAGAGTAGTTTCCCACTGCTTGAGGTTATATGTTGTTGTGCAAATTTAAATAGAGAGCCTTGTGGAATGCACATTATTTCTAACACATAATCCAGAGGCTACTGATATACCTTTGTTAAAATCCTTCTCTTGTCTTTCCCATTTCAGTGCCCAGCCATATTGCAAAGAACAAAAATGTTTGTTCTTCAGTAATGAGCCCTCTAGTTTTGGAATCCCCTCACAAATTTTTCTCACGTGTAAAGCAGAAGCTGCAGCAGAAACCATTGGAAAAAGGTACTTCTCCACAGAAATCATGTCAGGCTGTATGTTTGTCCCGGGGATGCTTACTCTTTCAGTCTGCAACAGAAACATCTGGGGTACACTGAAGGAAGGAAGCACTTTGCAGTTGCATGAAAACTGCTGACCAGAGTCATTCTTTGACGCCTTTAAGATTCAGTTTGTGAAGCATTACAATGAAAGATTGCTCTAGTTATCCTCCCATCAAGCTTCAAAAGGTACCATGTAGTCGGCACTCGAATATAATTTGGCAGTTGTTTAAGGTCTCTGATATTTAAAATGGCAATAATCAAAGCTTCCTAACCTGATTGCATGACTCATTGGTGGAGCAAAAGGGTTGACAGTTATCTAAGCCAGCTGACATCACAAATAACGAAATGCCAAGTGGTTGGCGTCGTGCTTTAATTCCATCACTGGTTCCATTCACCTGTCTTGACACCTCCACAGCCCCTAATTCTGATGGAATAGAGGGGTGTTTTCTAGTTTTACGTGGGGAAGATAATGTTACTATTTTTATTGTGTACTTTTTATAAAAAGTATAAAAATATATTGTTGGAAGCTGCTGGAGCTCTGAATGCCAAGAGGTTGGATTTTTTAAAAGTTTAAGTAGTAAATTCCTTGAGGTGCTGGGGATTGAATCTGGAATTTGTAAAGTGTGTCCTCTACCAGCAGGTTTTAGCCCTTTTATGATGAGATGTTCAAGAGAAGCCTGTATATGCCTACAGTGTGGTCCATTTGGAGAGAGACTTGTACTGATTAAAGCAAATAGCATAACGATAGCAGACAAAATTGTGGCTGTGTGAATGTGCTAATGAACACTGAAATGTCAGATAACAATAGAGTTGTTCTTGTGTTCTGTGTAGTAGATGCTTCATCTTACCAAACCAAGCAAAATGTCCCTCCTTCACCAGCAGTGAAGCAACCTTTAACTGTATCCAGTTCACCCAAAAAACTAAATAATCTTAATGAAGATTGTCTAAACACACCTGCCAGTGAGGATGATGAATTTATTGTGGAACCGGTTGAATTGGACAATGAAACTTTTAGCATGGGAGTGAATGTTATAGACATGAGCTTTGATCTTGTTAAGCCTGGGGAAACCTTGGAAGAAATGGAACCTGGAAGACTTCCTGAAGAAGGAAGAACATCACATCAGTCCAGTCAGAAACCTGCCCCAAGAGGGCAGCAGGAGTTGAAGGCTGGGCCTCAGACGCTTCCCCAACGTTTGTGCGATATTATTTTTGCTACTCCAAAAGTCCAAATACCAAGGAAGCAAAAACAAGTGGGGGCAAATTCAAGCAGTGATGACACAAACGAGGAGGTAGGAGGTTGTCTCTTATTCACAATCAACAGCATTTTTGGTGGTGGTTTCATTTCAGGTGCTCTTAATGAGAAGGGGGAGGTCTGAATGGCTCAGTAAGCACCCTGCTTAATTTAATTATGTGCATGGTTAATCAGTGATGACAGCAAAGCTGCCAAATTGAGTGTACATGAAATGCATAATGTTTTCTATAAAACGAAACTATAGCTCTGTAGACACTTTCACATTTAAATGTTGTGAAATTGATAAACAAGAAGTAACATAATTTTATTATTTATTTATTTATTTATTTATTTATTCAATAATGCATCGCCCTATACCCGGAGGTCTCAGGGCGGTTCACAATCAAGACCACAATATATAAAATCAAACCAAAAACAATAACCCAACTCAAAAAAATCCCCCAAAGAGCCACAATCTAAAAGGGCGTTGGTGAATCTCTGGGAAATTTATTTTGAATAGATCTGTTTTTCTGTGAATGACTTGTTCAGTGATGATTTATAAATTTCTGTAATACAGGAAGCCTACAACTTACATGTATTTAACTTGTGGACATTCAGCTTTTTGTGTGTGGCAATAAAAAAAAACTCATTAAAAGGGATGGGAAGGGGGTGGGTTTCCAAGAAAAATGACTCTGGCAGTCTCACCCTCCAATAAACCCAGTGGGTTTAGACTACATGCGATTTTGACTTTAGCAGTGGCCCCTGGGATGTAACCTCTGCTTATTTTGCAGGCTTACTGTACAGTAATAGATTCCCTGTTCATTTCAGTGCTACTTTTATCAAGGGAGCTCACGGGTGATAATCATACAGTTGGAAGGGACCCGAGGGTCATCTAGTCCAACCCCCTGCAATGCAGGAATCTTTTGCCCAAGTTCATTCTAGTACCAGAAGCCAGACACTTTTGCATGCACATGAGATGTAGGATGATGCAGGTGCTCATGCACTCTGGCCTCTAAATGCGACATACTGGCCCAAACCGCGTACGCTTGACGCTACAAAGCCAGAGGGTTATAATCAATGAAGTCATCCCATTAGGGTAATAACTTTTGCTTGTGCAGTGGAACTTTCCCTCCCTCGCCTCTTCCTGTGCCCCTCTTTTTGCTCTGGAGGGCTGGGGCAACCCCTGAACAAGGAAGGCAGAAGAAGTTCCCTTGCACAAGTGGAGGTCTTTGAGCTAACATGGGATGATGATGATGATGATGATAATAATAATAATAATAATAAAAAAATTATTTCCCCAGCCACTCTGGGCGGCTTCCAACTGAATATTAAAAACAGTACAGCATCAGACATTAAAAACTTCCCTAAAGCGGGCTGCCTTCAGTTGTCTTTTAAAAGTAAAATAGTTTATTGCTTTGACATCTGCTGGGAGGGCGTTCCACAGGGCAGGCGCCACTACCGAGAAGGCCCTCTGCCTGGTTCCCTGTAACCTTACTTCTCGCAATGAGGGAACCGCCAGAAGGCCCTCGGCGCTGGATACAGTTCTTTGCATCTGAGGCAAAGCCTTGTTGGCACTGAAATGCCAATGTCGTATTTAAATACCAGGGCATGAAGGGAGCATGTGACTAGGCCGCTACTGTTTTCCCAATGGTGTGCTTAAATTCCAGCTTTCGGTTTATCGATCTCTGTAGAAATAATTGTGGCCCTTAACGGTTTCCCTAACTTTGTAAAGGAACAACAGATGGTCTGCCTCAATGGATGGAGAATCAAGGTGATCAATAACAATACCGCTGTGTGCCTGGAAGGAAAACGGAGGCAAGCAACTTCAGTTCTCAGCTATGTTCAGATGTATTTTGTTTGTGTAGCGCTAGAATCTGCTTCTCGATTGCATTGGGTGGCCCCAAGGACTAGTAACAGGAAGAAGGTGGAGGGTGTGAGTGGCTGCTGCTTTTGTCTGTAATGTCAGAGCCAGCAGCTGAGTCCTGGCTGCAGGTGGGAAGGGGGGTCCTGCTAGATGCAGCATTGGCTCTGAAGGCTCGGGGGCTGGGAGTACCTCTTTCTAGTTCTGGATGGTTTGACAGCTGGGGGGCCCTTTTGGAGAGAGATGACTTGGCCCCTGTCCTCAAAAACGGAATAAACCATATGAGCTCAGCAACCTTGAAGCAAAGGAAAAATAATCCAGACAGAATTATTGCAGCATTGCAGACTGGCTTTGGATACAAGCTGAATTCCCTTCTAAGAGAATATGGTTATATACGTATCTCTCTCCTGTACATCTGTTCACTAGAATTTACCAACTCTGGCTTCCCAGTCTATCTACCCTGAATTCTGCCTACAGTCTTGCATGCCAATTAGATAAAAAGCCCAGTAGCTAATGAAGGCCTTGATTCACTTTTGTGACTTGGGGTGCTTTTCATTTTTCCCTTAGGTTCTCCGTTAGCTAACCACGGAGCACTTGTTTGTTATGTCCTCTCCCTTTGGTTTCAGGGATATGAACGGCGTTAACTGGCATAGCAATGCCATTGTGGAACGAATGGCACCCAACAAAGTTAGAACTTCATCTGGAAACGTCTACAAGTTAGAAGGGTGCGTTGACGCAAGCACCATGAAGAAAGAAGGTATGATAACTTGACTGAGAAAGAAGAGGGCAGGCTGGGATTCATATAGGCTTCCTCGGGGGGGGGGGGGGGGACTTCACCCTCTGTTCTCTCCAGGGATGCTGAGCTTTCTTCAGCATGTGGACTGGACCTCCAATCTCTGCTGCCACAGGTTCAGCTGGCCTATTTCGATGCCAAATTGCTGCAGTCTGCCAGGCTTTCAGGTCTTGGGTGACACACAATGTGACTTTACCTTCCTCCCTTGAGGGTGGTAGGAGCTGGGCTGTTACACTGGTGGGAAGCCGGCAGAATGCCAATTCCCCTCTTGTCCTGGGCCACAGGGGGTCTCATGTGGTGTGCATAAGCCAATTACATTGAAAGGTACACACCTCTAATGGTGCTGTACCACAAAATACTAATCTGAGTTTCACAACAGCTTAAACTTACTCCACTCTCAAAACTGGGTGTGTGGAAAATTAAGAATTCTTATAAATTCTAGTTTATAAGAATCTGCCCAGACCTTCATGCTCATCACATTTAACTTGTGTCCTTTGCTGACCTTTACGTGTTTCCTGCACATGTGCATCTACAGAACTGGATGCTTTAAATTTTAAGGATTTTCTTGAGGCACTTTAGAAAATGGAATGCCATTTGTGTTTGGGTCTGCCAAATGTTTCTGACAACTGACACATAAGGTTTTCTTTTTACTCTAATACATTGTAATACCTTGCCTCAAACAGGAATGCCAGCTAAATTCATAAAGAGGTTTGAATCTGGAATTCCACAAAACTGGAAAATGTATGTTGAGGATCTTCTTCGTTTTCTGAGGAGGTAAATGCCACTGAAAATAATATTTGTGCCATAGAAAGCTGCTTTGTTCCAAGCCAGACCCCTGGTTTCTCTAGCTCAGTGCTGTGTCTGCTGGCTGGCCGTGCCTCTCCTGGGTTTCAAGAAAGGGCCCTGCCTGGGGATGTCATTGGCACAGCAGGTGCTCTGCCAATACGTATTTTGCATGTGGCTTCCGACAACCTATTCAATCCCTTTTCTTGATCCAGTTTCTTTACAGAGTGATTCTGCTGCCAGTTGCCTAGGACTCTTCCATGGGTTTGGGGTAGGGTGGGGGTTGTGTCTTTGCTCTGTGCAAAAGGGGAACAACAAGCTCTGGGTGTTTTGTGGGCAGCCAAGTCTGCTGCTTTAAGGCCTGAGGCAAACGGCTTCAGAAAGTAGCTGCTGCAGGTTAATTGACGACGCCAGTGGTTTTTTTAATGTTTCATAGAGGTTTTGTATCCACGAAAGGTCCTTCTTAAGAGATTCAGTGAATTAATCCTTCTTTTCAACAAAACCTCTCAATGCTAGGAAAGAACAGAGAGCCTTCGCTGCAAGCATGGATAGCAATGAAAGGGAGGACCCTGTGGAGATGGAGGGCTTAGAAGACATGCCCAGAAAAGTTGGGAGAAAATCTAGAACGAAAAACACCACTTATGTGGCAACACTGCAAAGTAATAACAAGCTCGGTAGGTGTTATTCTTTTGTTAGGCCTCAGATGACATTAAAAGCCCAATAGTTTTATTGATTGATGGATCAATAATAGTATTCACTTGTTTTCCAGCATGTATTATCATAGCCGGGTCCCATTCCCCCCCACCCCCAATACTTGGTTATCTAAAAACGGAGGCCTCCGCCTGTGGCTTGGATCAGGGATGGCCTTCCTTCAGTCTCTGCCTTCTTTCTTGCTGGATTGTTGTCCCAGGGCCCACTAAGGGATAGGAGACATGCAACCATTTGACTGTTCCATAGGACATCTTTGCCTATTGACATAACTGGCTATGGAGTTGTTATTTGAAGGAGGTTGCCCCTGGTCAGGCGTGTACATTCCATGGGTCTTTGAAGGAGAGAGAAATGCCCGGGAGAGCGCTTCTTAAGCCAAGCAGAACGCACAGATTGTTCAGATGGTGGTTGCTAAAAGCGCAGAAAACCCTCTTTTTATATTGCCCTTTCTAAATAAGCCCAGGGTAGCTTCTTTGCTTTCCCCACGGGTGCTGACTGAGTCAGCTGCTTGACACAGAAGCTGCCTTAAGCAAACGGGGGTCGATTTGGAGCTGGATCCAGTTCTGCAGCTCCACCGACTCAAGGGAAGAAAGCTGTTGTTGAAGGGAGCCTTTTTGTGTCTTGACAGGTGTGCAGCCACAAACATCTCTGCAGAACGGCAGAACTGATAGAAGTTGCACCCGCAGCGGCCGACAGGTTAAGCCACCTATGCAGTTCTGGTGTGGGGAACGGATGCTTGTCGATCAGGCGCTGAATGTCACTGTGACCAAAACAGGCACCAACTATTTGACTCCTGTAAGATTCCACTCTCCTCACAGTTAACCCTGTTCTGGAATGACTGGAGACTAACAGTTTTCATGCAGTAGGGTACTTCTGTGGCTTCTGGACTCTCGGCAGATGGAGAGCGATAAGCTTTGGATTATTATTAATTACATTTGTGTACCACCCTTTGTGCAGGGACGTGGCTGGCACTGTGGGTTAAACCACAGAGCCTAGGACTTGCTGATCAGAAGGTTGGCGGTTCAAATCCCCGCGACGGGGTGAGCTCCCGTTGCTCGGTCCCTGCTCCTGCCAACCTAGCAGTTCGAAAGCACGTCAAAGTGCAAGTAGATAAATAGGTACCGCTCCGGAAGGAAGGTAAATGGCGTTTCCATGCGCTGCTCTGGTTCGCCAGAAGCGGCTTAGTCATGCTGGCCACATGACCCGGAAGCTGTACGCCGGCTCCCTCGGCCAATAAAGCGAGATGAGCGCTGCAACCCCAGAGTCGGTCACGACTGGACCTAATGGTCAGGGGTCCCTTTACCTTTTACCACCCTTTGTCCGAATAGTGCACGGTGGGTCACAGCGTGAAAATACACACGAGAACACAAAATACAGTGGTACCTCGGGTTAAGAACTTAATTTGTTCCGGAGGTCTGTTCTTAACCTGAAACTGTTCTTAACCTGAGGTACCACACTTTAGCTAATGGGGCCTAATTTTCAACTGCATATTATTTCATCCATATTTTATATCTCTCCATATTGTCCATAATATTTGTTACATTACAAGGGTTATTAGAATCCTACTTGTGTTTTCGTCTGCTTACAGTGGTCTCCTAAATAAATTATAATTTCCCCCCAATCTTTCTTGAAGTTTTTTTCTTCTTGGTTCCTGAGCCTTCCGGTCAGTTTTGCCATCTCGGCAGAGTCCAACAGCTTAGTTTGCCATTCTTCTCTGGTAGGGACTTAGTCTTCTTCCCATCTCTGAGCTAGTCACATCTGTGCCGCAGTCATTGCATACACTGCTTGGTTTTAAAAAGTCTCAGAGTGGTTTACAAAAGATAAAACAGCAAAATCAAGAAAAAATTACAATCCTGCTTTAAAACATACAAAAGTTCAGATATTAAAACAGATTAAAATTACCTCTCTATGCTCAACTTTACCACTACTTCTAATGCTTTTTAGTATTTTAACCTGATAGTTTATGATCCAGAAAGACTTTCACAAATAAAATGCTGGGAAGTTGACAGTGTCTGGGTTTGGTGGTGGTGCAAGGGCCCTTTAGTGCAGGACACAAATCCACTGGGAGAGCAGATCTGCCTGATCTTGCATTCTCCCAAAGGCTTGTCAGGATTCATCCCTGACCTCAGACAGGGTTTCAGAGATCTCTGAAGCTCAGGGTAATGGATGAGATGCTGCTTTTGACAGCTTACTATGTTTATATACATTGTATTGTCACATTTTGTATTGTACCTTGCAATGTGGGGCCTGGGTTATGTTTGTCTCTGCAAAGGAGATAGTTTTTGGTAGTTTATATATTATTATTATTATTATTATTATTATTATTATTTGTATTCCACCCTATAGCCGTAGATCTCAGGGTGGTAGTAACACCTTCTGATATTCTTATGTATGTATTTCTCTTTTGTAACATGAAGAACTATATTAAAAATGAGATAAGATCCTCTTGCTTCAAAATAAGTTTGGTAATGACCACAAACTTTGACTGGCTCCCAAGGTCAGTTTGAGATCCTACAGCTCTATGGGCACCCGCAAGGAATATATATTCGTAGTGGGATTCTGGCTGTATATGTAAGGTCTTGTTCAGTCTTGCACATGTGTCTTCCCCTGATTAAAACGTTTGTAATTGTGTAACTAGCTGTTCATGGAAGGCAGCCTTAATGCCTTCCTAACCTAACCCAGATAAAGCATCTGTTGCATGTGGAGTCTTTGTCTGAAGATTCGTGTCGCCCTTTGCTTACGTTCATTGCCTTGTTTCTCAAGACAGTGAGCAGTGCACGTCGTCAGGGCAGGCACAACATCACATCCCACGTGGAAAACAAAGAGGATTGTGAAGAAGTACCTCCAAGCCAAGCAAAAGGTAAAAAGAGTGCACCCTGTCCTTGAATCATAGAACTGTAGAGTTGGAAGGGACTCTGAGAGTATCGAACCTCTGCTTACAAACCTCCAGCTTTGTCAACATCCTTCTTAAATTGTGGCTCCCACAACTGGACACAGAACCGCAGGTGTGGCCTGAGCAAGGCAAAATAGAGCTATGACTTCCCTTGATCAGGACATTAGACGTCTGAAGATGAAGCTTAGAATAGCCTTTTTTGCTGCTGCATCACAGCATTGACTCATGCTATGCTTGGGGTCTACTAAGACCTTGAGGCACAGAAGGTCAACAGTGAGTTGCTTCAAGCCTGGCAAAATGTCGCTGGAGGATGAATTCTGCTCATGCTCAGGGCCAAATTTAGGAAGGTTTTTTGCTCAGGTCAGATTGGCTAGTGCTTGGGGTGGGAAATGTGTGCGTGTTTGTGTTTGTCTTCCTTGTAAAATCTGGATTGCCTCAAGCTGTTTGTAGGAGGCTGAGCTCTGATGCTCTCCTGTGTGACATCTCCGCAATCTGCCTTTAATTGCAGATGGGCGGGCTGGACCTGAAAGCATTTTGTTTATCTCCCAACGCAGGGCATGTGCCAAGGCATTCTGTTCTTGATCTGTTCTTCGCTGATGGGAAGACAGTTGGACTGCCAGTTTTATTTACAAAATGATTTCCATCCATCCTGTTACTGTTTCAGCTTTATCAGTGTTGCCTCCATTGCACTTCTGTCTTGCTCGTGGAGAGAAATTCTGTTGCATGATGGGTGTCTCATTTAGCTTCACTGTGCAAGAGTTTGGATTAAGATTTGAGGACCATTTCCAAATCAGAGATTCTATGAGTCTATTGAGAATCTTTGTTTTGTTTTGCTTTCCCTAGGAAGAACAAGACCTGAAACCACCAGACAAACTGAGCCTGCCAAGAAGCAAAATGCCTGGCGCTTTATTTCTGACTCTGAAGAAAGCGACTATGAAGCCACGATCGCTGATGCTCGCAAGAAGAAGGCTGTTGTTACCCTGACGCCACTGAACTATAAAAAGCTGCATGAAAAGGCCTCCAGAAAAAGCAGCCAGCCCAGGAGGAAACAAAATGTGCCAGCGCAGGGAGCGAAAGCAAATTGCTACCAAAGATGTTTAGCCGAAAGCTCCATGCCAAGCGAAGATGAATCTGGCGAAGAAATGCAGTGTATCCGGAGGAAGGTCCAGCCCACTCTCAAAAGAGGGCCATCCAACAGACAGCAAAGTGAGACGAGGAAGCAGCTGCTGGAGCCAAGAGGGTCAGAGTCTCCTCCAGCCCATTCTCAAAGCAGAAAGTTGAGGGCTGCTCAACCCTCTGGGAAGCAAAACAAGTTGGAAGAGCCAGTTTCTCCAGACTTGGCTAGCAGTACTCAGGGGTCACTCAGAAGGATTGCAAAGTTCAGGAAGTACAGCCCTGAATCCGAGTCCGAAAGTGAAACGAGTGTTAAAGAGTTTCAAGTGAAAAGGAAAAACTTAAAGGCCCAAAGAGCCAACAGTGAATTTTCTAATACTGCCAAGTCCTTGGCTTTCCCCAGAAAGACACCTGGGAAGAAGCTGTTAGGGAAGGGTGGGGATTCTTTCCCAGATGTTAATGAAGATTGGACTGAAAAGGAACTGCAGAAACTACACAGGTAAGTGGTGGTGTTTGGTAAGAATTAAGCTCCCCCACCCCCAGAGCTATGAGATGAAAGCTCTTCCCAGTTCCGGTTTCGGCTGCTCCTCCAGTGCAAGATTAGTGAAGCCTGCAGATCCCTAATTTCCGTAACTAACAAAGTCATTTCCAAACCTTCCTGCACTCATCCTCTCGGTGCTCATCATGTGCTGTGCTCACTTCACTCCTGCCCCTCCATCCTCGCCTCTCCCTGGAAATGCCTACCTTTTCTCCTTTCCTGTCTGATGCGTCTGATGTCGGCTTGCAAGGCCTCCTTTAGGAATTGAAACAGGAGTCAAAGAGCAATGGTGGGCTTGAGCTTCACTGGCTCTTCTGTGTTTTGCAGGGCTTTGGCTTCTTTGCCCAAACACAAGAGCGACTTCTGGCTGCTTGTGTCAACGGCTGTGGGGACACGATCTGTTGAAGAATGCCAGCAAAGGTACATGGGAGAGCAGGAAAGCCACAAGCAGGCCCCAAAGAGGACCACCAAGCGGAGAAAGGAAGAAAGAGGTACAGGACGGGCCTTGTGCCTGTCTTCCGGGCTCCGGGAGCAGATGCAGAGGCCAGCAGAAGCCCCCTGCAAGAGCCAGCAATTGTCTGCTCCCCTCTCCCGCTTGCTTGTTCTTGTGGGGATGTAGGAGGGGCACCGGAAGTGGCTTAATAGGAGAAAGGACTAATTTTTGAGTCGGAGGTGCGCTTCGAACACATCAGGAAGGGGCAGGCGTAAGGAGAAGAAAAGAGCCAGGGTGGCGACAGTAGGTCAGAGTGTTTGCCTGTTTATACCTGTTGAGAGAGAGAGAGAGTTCTATCTGTCTGTGAATTCTGCCTTTAAAGTGGTATGTAAAACCCACATTCTGGGCCAAGGGGCAGAACTCCAGCTCAATACATAACTCACAGCTATGTTTTTAGGCTGCAGTTCAAATAGAGGGTGGAGATATAACTCCACAGTGGAAACCTGAGGTTCAGAGGGGTGGCGGGAATGTTCTGAGGTGGGTCCTTGCCCCTGCCCAGCTGACAGCTCTGTTTGTGTGTCGTCCTTGTTGGCAGAGGAGGGGGCGAAGCAGCCATTGGCCGTTGTTGCGAAAGTGGGAACACTAAAAAGAAAGCAGCAGATGCGGGACTTCCTGGAACAGATGCCGAAGGACAACCACGACGACATCTTCGCTACAACCCCTTTTCAGAACAGGAGCACAAAGGTAACTCTTGCACCTTTTATCCCAAGCAATAAAAAGTGCTCCTGGGTGCAATCTGTTATGCAGGTCCATAAATTTACTGCCCACCCCCTCATCATGTTGAAGGCTCCCTGCTCTCTTTCCATGCTCAGGAGCTGGGAAAGGGTCCATCCCTGGGCTCCTGCTGGGCTTCAGAGATGCTCCAGAGCTCAGTGTGATGTCTGGATAGACCTTGTCTCTCCAGGCAAGGTTTGATTAGGACTACAAATTTTGGTTGGCTTCTGAAATCAATCCAAGTTTTGTGGAGTCCTGCAAAGGCTATAGATTCTCCCAAGGGACTTATGGGTATCAAATGAAGCACACTTACGTGTTCCTCTTTTCCTCAGGCCTTTTGAGCCCTTCGTCTCCTTTCCCCTCACTCCACGGTGTACCTGCTTTGTCCCCTTGGGGTTTTAGCATCAGTCTGGACTCTCTTTCCGTAGTTCTCTGGTCATCAGTCTGCCCGTGCCACTATTGCTGTCGGCATGGCTTGTGTGGGGTTGTAACGCCAGCATCCTCTCCCAGAGCTGAACTGTCAGCCACCGCCCAAACATTTGTTGTCGGTAGAGAGCACAGTAGGTGACAAATGAGGAGCTGAGTTGCGTTAGGAAGAGTCTTCCAGCGCCCGCCAGGCCTTGTCTTATGGGGGCCGTAACAAAGATGTGATCTGTAGTTACCACAGTTTCGTACCGTCCCAGAGGAAGATGTCTTCCAGTTGAAAGACAGCCACCCCATCACACCCTCTTCGGCCATCTTTCCGTTGGTGAAGACCCCTCAGTGTGAGCACATCAGCCCTGGCATGCTGGAATCCCTGGACAGGTGTGTACTACAGGTGGCTTCTCATAAGATAAGGGCGTGAAGCAATTCCCTGCTACGGCCAGCTTGGAAGAGCACCCCCACCCAACTCCAAGATTCCAGTTTCCTCAAGATTCCTAGCCAGGGGTCTAACATCCAAGCATGCATGTGCCGCTCGTATAGCAGAGTTTGACCAGATGGACATATAAATTGGAATTGAACTGGGCGTGTGGCAGGGGGTGGGGGAAAGGCAAGCAACAAGAGATTTCCACTGTGCTGGAAAGTGCTGTTGGCAGTGAGTGAGGGGCTTATGGGATGGTGAGCCAGGGGTTTTAAGAAGTGGCTGCTAGACGGGAGCATAGTAAACCCACAATTTACACACGGTTTACTTACGCAATTGCAGCTTTGGGGAGGGGGAACAATAGGAAGGGCTCCCTGAGGTCTCACACAACCTTCCCACAGCCCATCAAGCAAGGCAGGGGGCTCTGAAATCTTTCTGCACTGGGTTTTCCTGCTGCAGAAAGAGCTTTTAGGTCCTCTTCCATGCAAGGAAAGATGAGAGAGGCTCTTGTGAGATCTCCCAGACACCTTACACAAATTTCCCAGAGCCCGGTAAGGCATTTGGCAGTTACTGGGGTCTTCCATTCTGTGATTTTGCCTTTGCGTGTGAAACCCCAGAACCTAACCCTCGCATAGTTTTAAACCCAAAGCCAGGTTTGGGATGGGGAGTGTCTTAAGGCAGCAAGAGAGCACTGCTGCCCCCATGGCCCTGCCTTCTCTTTCTAGCCAGGCTTCCTCTTAAGTAGCAAAAATGAACACTTGCTGTCCTGCAGCTGCTTCTTAGGCTTGCTTTCCCTTCTGGAGCTGGCAGATCTTAATCACCTCTCCAGACTAGGGCAGATTCTAGCTGCCTAAACACTCTAGGATGGTTATTAAAACTCAGTGAGACAGATTCTAAAAAGCTTTTTACATTGCCTGCCTATATGCTTTGGAGCTTAATTCAGGGTGCTGGTGTTGACCTATATAAAGGCTTATAAGACTTGGGACCCAAATAACTGAAGGAGCAACTCCCTTCATCAGGCTGCCCATGTCTTCAGGTGGTGATGATGGGGCTCCTCGCTGTTCCACCACTGGGAGGTGTCTGTTAGGCGGTGATGTGGGAAAGGGCGTTCTTTGTGTTGGTGGAGTCCTGTCTTGGAGAAAGCTGTCCTTCTGGAAGCATTGGTGCTTTTCTCCTTTGGGTGCTGGGTAAAAACCCATTTGCTTGTTCGGTCCTTTGCAGGGCAGTGTTGAAGCAACCCGCTTTTTAAAGATTCGCACTGTATTTTGGATTTCTGCCCCCCACTACTTTCTTTTGTAAACTGATTTATGTTGCTATTGTTTTAGGGTTTATTTTGTATCCTGCCCTGAGATCTTGTGGCGAAGGGCAGGTTAGAAACTCACTGGACAAATCGTTTTGTGTTCTAGGAACTACGAAAAGCGTGTGTTCCATCTGCAAAGGAACATCAAAGGCAAGGAGCGCACATGGCACAACGTGAAGAAGAAACAGGTACGATTCCACTTGAGCAAAACACGCCAAGCTCCATTAAGAGCGAAAGGCAAAGGCAATATTCCCAAAACTCACCAGAGCAAGCCCCTCGCCCTTGCTGTCTTATTTTATGTATTGATTACGTTTATATACCGCCCGTCATACTGATATGATGTCAACACTCCCTTATTACAGTAATGGGATAAAGAGAAGGAACTCCATGGAAGTGCTCCTTCGCCCTGTTCACTGGGCACTCTTGTGGTTCTGCTTGACAGATCCGGTGAACTCCTGGTGTGGGGAGAACTCACCACTGCCTGTCTTTAAGCTCCACCAATTTTCTGCCAATAACAAGCACAGAAAAGGAGTGAACATGTCAAAGGCTGCTCAGCTCTCTGAAAATGCCCTGCTCTGTCCTATTGCGGGCTTTATGGTCACTTAATCCAAACCTCGTTTGGGCCCCTTGCTTGCTCTGAGGCATGGGTAGGCAAACTAAGGCCCGGGGACCGGATTTGGCCCAATCGCCCTCTAAATCTGGCCTGCGGACGGTCTGGGAATCAGCGTGTTTTTACATGAGTAGAATGTGTCCTTTTATTTAAAATGCATCTCTGGGTTATTTGTGGGGCACAGGAATTCGTTCATTCCCCCCCAAAAAATATATATAGTCTGGCCCCCCACAAGGTCTGAGGGACAGTGGACTGGCCCCCTGCTGACAAAGTTTGCTGGCCCCTGCTCTGAGCACTCTGGTGTTTCCGAGCCTCTCTGTGAAGCCTCAGTCTACAGGAAGTAATGTTTCCTCTGTTTCCACAGGCTGGGACCGTGTTCACCACTCCCAACTCTCGAAGAACGACCGTCTTTGCCTTTGATGAGCATGTCAAAGGTGAGCATAACTGTTGCTTGCTCTGGGCTGTTTGGGGCAGGTCTCTAGAAAGAAGAGTCTGGCGTTTGGGGGGCCCTTGGCTATCTGTGTGCTGGCCCTAAGGGAGCAACCAGAGAAGCCCATGGCAGACAGATGGGGGAAGTGGATTATGCTGTTCTGTGGATCGCAAGGCCCTTCTCCCGTTTTCATTATCAGCTGTAGGAAGGGAGTTGCACTGGCTTCATGTGGAAAGGTTTTCCCATTTGAGAGGTACCAATAGGGAAGCGGAGAGAAGGGGCAGGAAGCAGGGCCTATGAGTCTCTCGCTGAACCTGCTAGTGCCTAAATACTGTACCGAGGCACCAATTTCCTGCTGCTGTCCTATTTCTGAGTGCATTGCCTTAGACCAAGTAAATTCCCAATTGTAAACAAAGAACACATTTAGATGCTGAAGTCTGTAACTTGCCCTTGGATACATTTATATGAATATTGCTTGCAGCAAAATTAGAGGCTCCTATTCTTGTGGATTCACAGCCTTGAAAAGGCACCTTCCATGTCAGTTGATTTGGAGTAGTCTCTCCTTTCACTGCCTGGAACTTCTTCTCCGTCCAATATCAGTCAGTCTCTTCATGAGCTGGCAGAAAGGTTCCACCTTGAAACAGAATCTCGTTGGAGCCCATCCTGCCTCTAACACAGGCGTGGCTAACCTTGGATCCTCCGGATGTTTTAGACTACGATCTGTCATCAGGGGCAGCTGGGGAGGGATACTATAGATTAGCCACTCCTGCTCTAATGGGATCCTTCTGGTAACTCAGGTTTTCTCCTCCTGCTCTAGACACCTTGGCTCCAGCTGGGGCGGGGCACCTCTTCCAAGAGGATGAAGAGATGCTATCCGATGAAGAAGAGGACTTGTATTTTTCCACGTAGGCAGCAGCCGCCTGCCTGCATCTGCAAAGGGCAGTTTGCTAACAGGTCTCAAGTCACCTTCACAAAGCCAAAAGTGTTTGTCAAGCCTTTATTTCTATGACTTACAAAAAGGCTTTAGAGTATTGCATTCCATCTTTCTGGAGCTGTGTTAAGGTGCTGCTCAGGTGTTCAGAATACAAAGATGTCTGCTGCTGCTGTTTGTGGTTGCTCTGTTTTCCTGGTGGGGGGGTCTCATGCAGAGAGGCATCAGCTGCAGGGAACTATTTGGCTTTAAGAAGCAAAATAATGTTTTTAAAAGTTACTGTACAATAAACTTCCAAACGTGGCATTTAATATCAAAAGGATGCTTACGTTTCCTTCACAGAGCAAAGAATAGCGCTTATATATATTTGTACTAAACCTGTTTCCTCTGTGGCTTTTAAGTGTTTTGGAAATGTTGAGTGTACCCTTTGTACTGTCTGTGTGTATGCAGCGTGTCTGTTGCAGATCTTAATTGGCAGCTTAAAGTTTAAGAATGAAATACGCAAGCAGCCTTTTCTGGCAAGTAAAAAGACAATGTCTTCTCTAAGGGTGGGTGGGTGGAGACCCAATGGTGATGGGAAGTGTGTGCCTTTCATAAAAATCATGAGCCGCATCCTAACTCTCCAAGTTTAGCCCAGTTGAGAGATGTGAAGTCATTGTGGGGAGGGGAGATTTATGAAAGAATTGGGGAAAAAATGAGGGTGGGAAATGGCATTCTACATATGCAAAGTTGCTGTGTGTAACTTGGTTTAATGTAGAATCATGTCTGGTATATTAAAAGTACTGTTTACTCGATTGAATTATTTTTAAAATTACAAATGGAGCTGCAAGCTTTTACCATCTCATGGGTCAGTTTATTTATTTGGTGTTTTTACACAGGTGGCACTGTGGTCTAAACCACTGAGCCTCTTGGGCTTGCGGAAGGTCGGCGGTTTGAATCCTCGCAACGGAGTGAGCTCCCGCCACTTTCCCAGCTCCTGCCAACCTAGCAGTTTGAAAGCACGACAGTGCAAGTAGATAAATAGGGACCGCTGCAGCAGGAAGGTAAACAGCGTTTTCGTGCGCTCTCGTTTCCGTCACGGTGTTCCGTTGCACCAGAAGCGGCTTAGTCATGCTGGCCACATGACCAGGAAAGCTGTCTGTGGACAAACGCCGGCTCCCTCGGCCTGAAAGCGAGATGAGTGCCACAACCCCATTGTCGCCTTTGACTGGACTTAACTGCCCAGGGGTCCTTTACCTTTATTTTTGGACCAGATTTTTTCTATCTGCAGGCTTTTTAATATTCAGTTGGAAGCCGCCCAGAGTGGCTGGGGAAACCCAGCCAGATGGGTGGGGTATAAATAATAATTATTAGTAGTATTGAGATGGGAAGCAAACTTTTACTGTTGGTGTCAATAGTCAGCTTTCAGTGATTCCACCTCCACGCTTAGACAGATTTCTCCTAAGCTTGCCACAAGCAAGGCCCAGGCAAATTTTTCAAAAGCACCAAAATATAGGATGCCACAAGATGGCAGTAAATCATCACCCGAGTTACAGAAATCAGAAGGCTGAACTACATAGAAAAGTTTTTACAACCTGTGTAAAATTTGACTATTTATGCATGCATAATCCCAACTTTTGTACCTTTTTCTTTGAGGCAACAACTTGCATGCTCCTAATCGCCTCGTTCACAATTCCTTTTCTTATTCTACTACAGTGGTACCTCGGGTTACATACGCTTCAGGTTACAGACTCTGCTAACCCATAAATAGTGCTTCAGGTTAAGAACTTTGCTTCAGGATGAGAACAGAAATCGTGCAGTGGCGGCACGGCAGCGGGAGGCCCCCATTAGCTAATGTGGTGCTTCAGGTTAAGAACGGACCTCCGGAACGAATTAAGTTCTTAATCCGAGGTACCACTGTATTCCCCTACAGGAGCCTCGTGTTCAGTTAGTCCTAGAAACTTACCTGCTTTCCACCTGCCTGTCAGCACCGAACAGAATTGCTGAAGCCCCTGCCCCTTATACCGCACGCGGAGAACCTTTGAGCCCTCCAGAAGGTGCTGAATTACAGCTCCCAGAATCCCTAGCCCCTAACCTCTGGGGCTGATGTAATTCACCAGGTGGCAGAGGGCAAAGGTTTCTCCCACCTGCCGTATACCATGATCGAGCAAAGAAGAGACCACTTTTTTTGCATAGGATAGATTTCCGACAAAGGCAGACACTGGACAGTCCATACACTTAGCAAATTCTTGTAACCCCTTTTTTCCAGCCCTCCCCCCAAATCTCTACAAGTGTCTAGTTTGATCAGTGATGAACGCACAGCCCTCCACATGTTGATGGACTTCAACTTCCCTCAGCCTCACCCAAGTGGATGGTCTCAGGCTCCCCACTCCCTGAGGTGGTTTAAGAAAGTTCATTTTTAGCTGTTATGTAGAAAGCACAAAGCTTTACTCTTAAAACTTTCTCCAGGGAAGGGAGAGCAAAGCCCTTCTGGCTTTGTAAGGAAGTAGGAAGAAGAACTCAAGCAACACCCTGTTCTTGAGATGGAGAAGGGTGTTTTTTTTTCAACAGATGCATACACTCTACCCATTTCAGAATAACCCCCTGTGGTAAGGCTGCATTTGCAGTTGCCTGGTTTCTCCAGAGGAAAATGGTGGCCTGAAACTCACTGAGTTCGGAAGTTTATTTACATATCTTACAACGAGGAGATGTAACAATAAAGTGCGTCTTTTAAAAAGGGGTGCCCTTTGTGATTTGCAGTTGGTCACGTGATCTTCTCAGGCAGCATATGAGCGTCAAAGGCGTAGTGCATGTAATGGTAGACCTTCTCTGCCTTCTGCTGGCTCACCCGGGTGCGGGCTGCCATCTCGCCCGGGGAACTGGAAAAGAGCAAGAAGAAAGGAAGGCTGAGCTCCATCGCAAGCCAACAGGCAGTTGCTGCGGCTAGCAGGAGAAACACTGCGGGCGTTTGGGCCGCAGGATGCTTCTTCCAATGTGCCTGAAGGGGGAATGGGAAGAGGAAGATCCAAGTGAAGGGAGAAGGAAGAGCAGCCTGAACAGGACAGAGCAGTGGATGGCTTTGGTTTCACACAACACCAAGTCGCATTGAGGAATTTACTACCAAAGAATGTGGCAGGGGCTACTATCTGAGGTCAGAGTCCCTGAACAGATATCGGCCATCACAAGTTGAGGAGGGAGCATGCAGCCCACTCTTGTGCAGGTTTTCAGGTTTGGGAAACAGGACGAGGCCCTGCCCAAGCCCTACCTGTTGGCTGCCTCCTTCACCGAGCCAAAGCAGTGGCACAAGGCCAGGGCCTCTGGGTAGCTGACGCAGGGAATGCTCAGGTAGAAGCGGAGGGCATCTTGCCTGTGCCCCTGCACCTCCGTGGGCACTTGGATGGCCGCGTTCTTCCGCTGCTCCAGCGAAGCCAGCTCCTTCAGCAAGTCAGCCGTCTCCTCTTGGCAGGAGCTGAAGAGCACCCGGATTCCTGCCTGGACGAAGGCCAACAGGAGGCTGTCGTAGTGCCGGCTTCTGTGGAACACTCTCCGTGCTTCTCCTGGAAGTTTACAGAACAAGAGTTTGGTGTCAGCATTTCTCCTGTGCTGCCAACCTGGGAGAGGCTTCCAGATTTCTCGCTATCAGTGGCTTTTTATTCCCTGATGCCTCAAGTGGCAAGAGATCAGCTTCAATGTGCTAAGCACAGAGATGTGGGGATGTTGTGGCGCTCTGGGTGTTCTTGGGCTCCCTCAACTTCACCCCGGATGTCGACCTGGGGCTGTGGGAAGTCCAGCAAAGCCTGGGGGGTGAGCACAGGCTCTCCATCCCATCTCCAGCAGAAGGGCCAGTTGTGTTCTCAACTGCTGCAAGTTGTCAGCTGTTACAGCATTTCACAGCCCAGGGGGACAGAGGAAGACCCTTAAAATCAGGACCCATATTTCTCTTCTCTTTCGCCCGTAAAGAGAGTTGAGTGGAAACCGAGGAGGCAGATACAAGTTCCTGATCATTCCTACACTACCGAAAAAGGTGCAGTTCCTAGTTGCCTCTTCATTCTTCAAAGTGGAGTGAAGAACCTTATCATCTTTCAGTGCATGATCAGAAGCAGCTGGGATAGATTCTACTTGGTGGGACAACACCAGCTTCCCCAAAAGGTCCCACGTACACCATGTTACGTTTCTACCTTCTAAATGGCCATCTCTGTTCACCCATATTTGCAGTGCTGTAGCTGCTGCATTTTCTGTTTGACGCTAAATAGCACAACCAGCAGAGCTGGAAGCTGAAGTGCTTAATGCCCAAGGAGAAAGCCCACCAAAGCCAGGAGACCCACCTGCTTTGACTCTCTCCTCCACGATCACACAGATCCTGTCAAACTTGCTCTTCAGCTGCTGCACTCGCTGGACCACTCTGCTCCTGTGTGCCGGGTTCAGCAGCTCCGCCTGGCATCTCCTCTCCACGGCCAGCCGGCTGCTGACAACGTAATCGCAGCTGCCCAGTGAGCAAACGTGGACCTTGACTCCGTGAACAGCTTTCAGGGTGGAAATGACGTCCGGCCCAGAGGAGATCTCGCGGCTGTCAACCAGAACGCAGAGAGGCAGCGGCGGGTTCTTCCGGGAGCAGAGCGCCGCAAGGGGCCCCAAAGAGCTTTCTGGCTGAAAACATCGCAAGAGAAATCGTCACTCATCATCCTCAAAGCAGCCAGAGCAGGAGAAAGCCAAGGCTGAGCTTTCATTATCATCACCTTTCATAGTGCGTTACCAATGCACCCCAGAGCCTTGCAGGGCTTCCCAGGTGACACAAGACCACAGTCCCTGCCTCCAAAGAGCTTCCAGACTCTTTTTGGAAGGTGTAGGTTTACTACTACTACTATGATTATGTATTTATTTATACCCAGCCTTTTCCCCATAGCAGCTAAAAACAGGGAGGTGGAGAATGGAGCATTCATTTAGGCAGAGGTTGGATGTTGACCATTTGTCAGGGATTCTTCAGCTGTGACTCCTGCATCAGGGGTTGGACTGGATGACCCTTGGACTCTACACTTCTATGATTCTACCATCTGAGGGCCCCCGCCAGACATCCTTTTCATTGAGCATTAATGATGATTTGTTCTCAGGAAGCTATTGGGGCAGTTACACACAATCCCGCTTTCAACACTGCTTGCGCCTGTGGAGGTTTTGGGGGGCAGTCATGCTGCTTCATTTGCAACCAGGGCACCCCTGCAGAAATTCTGTACCTCAAAAGTTCCAGGTTGTGTGTGTGTGTGTGTGTGTGTGGCTTTTGTTGCACTGCAGTGCATGAATGTCCCTGCAGGTGGCACTGAGGAAGCATCACAGAAAAGCTCCTAAAGTGAAAGGATGTGTGGATGGCTCAGTATAAAGAGACCACTAAGGCACTATCAGCGCATCAGTGACCTGTTTAGGGCCCTAAAATAGACCACCAGGAAAAACTACAGGGAAAGATAAGTAAGGGTTGGTAGTTTGCCTGGCAGTCCAAATATCGCATAGAAAATGGCAGTATTTGACAAGTGATAAAGGTAAAGGTACCCCTGACCATTAGGTCCAGTCGTGGACAACTCAGGTTGCAGCGCTCATCTCGCTCTATAGGCCGAGGGAGCTGGCGTTTGTCTGCAGACAGCTTCTGGGTCATGTGGCCAGCAGGACTAAACCGCTTCTGGCAAACCAGGGCAGTGCACGGAAATGCCGTTTACCTTCCCGCTGGAGTGATACCTATTTATCTACTTGCACTTTTTGACATGCTTTCGAACAGCTAGGTAGGCAAGTGGTACAGAACCTAAATCCCACTTTTGTTTAGACATGCTTCTAGCCACATAGTAGAACAATTGCACACGCATGGAGGAAGTCACCTGCAAATTATTCCAACGGGACACCTTCTGGGGACGAGGAGGTGGTGCCCTCCCCACCAATCTTTCATTGACTTCAAGCCCTCTGTAGTCCTCTAGGCGCTCGATAAAACATAAATGCCATTGCAAAAATAGCTCATGCCCATTTATTCAATTTACATGCAGAAGGTGATTTGTGCAACCCCCAACATCTCTGGTCTGAAGGCCGTTAGGTAGAAAGGCTATAAAAGGCCTCTAAGCATGACCAAGGGGAACCGGGGTACTGCCGGCCAAAAGTGCGCAGAACAATTGCCTGTTCCCAGTACTGAAATGAGGCTGCATTTTAATGTTGTATTTTAATCTTGTTGTTAAGTTGTATTTTAATCCATTGTTTTTATACTTGGTGTTAGCTGCCCTGAGCCCGGTCTTGGCTGGGGAGGGAGGGGTATAAATAAAATTTATTATTATTATTATTTTACTATTACTACATTTTCACAGTGGAGGAGGCAACCAAGGGGGCGGGTGGCCCCTTTTGCTGAAGGTTCTCAAGGAAAGCCTGAAGAAGCATCCCTGGCGCTGTGGGATATCTTGCCTCCTGGCGAGAGCTTTGACCAGATCGCTTTCAGGGCTTTGGTCTGTTATTCTAACCCTGGCCACAGATAAACCAGCAAAGGAAGGAACAGCTTAAACACAGCCCATACCTTTGACGTTGCCTGGAAGTCCAGGTCTTCCGACAAGGAGGATTTCAGTCCCACGAGCCCTTGGGTCCTGCTCTCTTGGGGCGGACGGATCTCAGCCTTTGGAGCAGATGTTCTGCAGTCCAGACGGTGGCCTAAAGCCAGCGATGAGGACGCATGCGAGCCCTGGTCCGCTTTTGCGGCGGGAGGCGGTTCCCTTCTGACCCCTCCTTCATCTTCGCTAGAGCTGCTGGGAATCTGGATCCGGGAGCGTTTCTTGAGCGGCGGGGGAGCAGCCTCTTTCAACTTCCTCCTGCGTCGGGTGCAATACTGCTTTCTCCCCTGCCCAAAGCTCTCCTGCAGCAGGTTGAAGTCAACACAAACTTCCTCATCTTCACTGGAGCAGCTTTGGGGGTCCTCCACCTCCTCCACACAGAAACTGTCTGCCAAATAGCTTTCGTCCTGCTCTGGAACCTGGAAGGAAATGAAACCGCTGAGGAGAACCCATGCCATGATTTGCGTATCCCCGAGGCAGAGCCACAGAACGTCTTGAGCCTCACGTGGGCTGTAGCTGCAGGCCTGGCCAGCTCCAGCAGATGAAATGCAGGTGCCCTTTCCAGTCAAGTCTGGAGGAGTTTTCAGCGCATGAGGCTGGCACAGTTTCTAATGACACAATAACGTTGATGTGTCACTTTGTTCTCAGGTTTACAGGTATGTATGGAATATGGCAGACATCCAGAAGGCAAATGTCTTAATTTGCATGAGCCAGTTTATTTTGGCACGTCTACCCCGCCCTTTCCATTGAAAAATACAGTAAGAACCTGGGACAAAGTGGCATGGATATGCTGAGGAACCAAGCTCTTTCATTTTAACACCTGAGCCAGGTTTTCCCAGGCCCTTGCACACTGCAAAAACACTCCCCCACCCCAGTTCCTGGACTGGTCACATCTCTCCCTGAGCTGCTGCCTGGACTCACGTCACAGGCTGAGGAAGTGTTAGAAAGCAGTAGTTCTGTGCCTGGAGGCTGCCTGGCTTTAGGGAGAAGGTCAATGTGTTCTAGATGCACTTGCGCTCCCCTGAAGGATCTGTTTTTTGGCTTGGGGGGGAGGATCCAGTCTTGTCCCTGGACTCCCAAGCGTTCTCAGTGGCACCAAGGGAGTTCCCTCTCCCAGCTGATGCTGACGCATGAACTGTGGCTTCACCTAGAGAGAGGCAGGCTGCCCAAGGGGGGACCTCTTGGCATGTGGGGTGCCCTGGAAGCTGCAGCTGGTATTGACTTTTAAGAGTGGCAAGATTTGTTCACAGCAACTTGGCCCAGTTAAAGGACCTTCACTGGCTACCAGTCTTTTTCCGAGCCCAAATCATGGTGGCATTATTGTCCTTTGAGGCCAAACTTGCTTGACTCCCCAGTGCTGAAAGGAAGGCCAAATTCCCTATCAAGCTACCTATATGATAAGGTTCGTGGCTATGAGGGAGGGGGGACTTCTCAAGGTCAGCATCCCAACTAGGGACCACATTCCTCAGAGAAGTCTGCCTGACACAGACTTTTCCCCAGATCATTCAGGTGGAATCAGAATCCTGCTCTTAGGTTGTCGCCCCCCCCCATCATGCTGCCTTTTCTTTCTTGTGCCGTACAATAGCTCTGATTTGCGATATTTGTATTTTACATTGTTTTTATAGTTTGATTCATGTGAACCGCACTGGGGATTTTTATCGAAGGGTGGTATTAAACAAACCCCGACTGTATTGAGGCAGCAGGTTCTGCCTTGCTAAGAAGTCAGCCCACCTTGAAACAATCCTTTCGGCCTTGTCCTTTAAGACAACACTCGAGAAAAGCGACCATTCGCTCCAATAAGGCTGTGAGAGACCAACAAGCAGCATTTGTGGATCAAGACCAGCCCCCGTTTGTGCTTTGGACACAACCCTCCCTTGTCTGCCTTCCTACCTGTGAGAAAACAGCCACCGAGTTGCATCCTTTCTGCATCTTATACCTGTTGCCAACGGCTGGGCTTCGTACAGATTTCAGGTAGACTGCATGCATCTCAGATTCTGAGCAGAGAGAAAAAAGAGCAGCTGTCAGGCAGGCAGAAGAGGAACTGAAGCCGCAGTCAGCACCCATTTGGGCAGGCTTCGCAGGCGGAAAGAGTCTCTCTAGGGTGGGGGAAAGTTGTGTTGTGCAGGGAAGCTTGTTTTGCGGATCCCGTTACAATTCCCACCACACAAACAGACTCCGCACGAATCAGGGGCCTGTTAGTAGCAGAGAAACCCTTCCCACAATGGCGCTGGGGGACAGGTTCCAACATGTGGCACTTGCTGCCACACAGAAGCAGTTCAGTGGCCTCGAAGCATCCATCTCAACATGCCATTCATTCTCTATCCGTTTCCAGGCCTCGGTCCAAGTGCTGGCTATTCAAGCGCTCCTGCAGTTTGTGCCTCACCTTTCCACTGTGTTGATGATACTGCAGCACGGGCCAAAGGGTTAAGCAATGCAGTCCTGATTTACTGCTGCTAACTGATTTCCAAAACCTGACATGCTGGCTGCAATCACGGCCTTGTAGGAAAGCTACTGGGGGGACTGGTGCCAGTGGGAAAGGACAATTAGAGCCAAGGAAGTGCCAGCTAATAGGAAAAGGGCAGGGTTTTCCTTCACTTACCATTGAGATCTTGCATAATCTGTGTCTCATCATTTAAAAACTCGATGAGGGAAGAACTCTGCACGTTTTCCGAGCCGATGCTCTCGTCGGATGAAACCTCCATGGCTCCTTCCTCAGAAAGTTCCGCCTCTTGGTCCAGGAAGTATTTGGCTGCGTTCTACATGAAGCAAAAGCAAGAGAGTTCCTGCGCAGCAGCATCCCACTTCGCAGACTCCAGCCATGCCAGGTGGCCGGAGACTGGCCAACCCCCACCCCATGGCTGATCAGAACTGGGCTTCTTTTAGGAACTGGCCACGGGCAAGGACACGATCCCATGTTGGCAGCCAGCCCACGAAGCCCCACCACCACCAGCCGTGCAGATCAAGTGATCTGAGGCCACAGCCTGACATGGAAAGAAGAAGCTCCCCATTACCGGGGGCCAAAGCCTGTAAGTGCAGAAACGGTTTGTCCATCCTCAACTACAAAACACAAGGCCAAAAGTACCTCTCCCCGAATTCCTTGGTTTGGTATTAGTTTCCTGACAGCATCTCCAAGTAGGCCTGGGAATGATTCCAGCCTAAAACCCTGGAGAGCCACTGCTGCCAGTCTGTGGACAATGTTGAGCTAGATGGATCAAAGCCCGTATAAGCCAGCTTCCAGTTTTGTAATGACTTCTCAGGCAGAGAGAGGCCTCTCCTCCTTACCTGAAACCAGATCCTCTTCTTTAACTGGGGGTGGGAGGGGCTGAATGACACGCCAAGTGTGTGTCGTCCTGCTCAGCTGAGCTGCATAGCCCTGCTCCAAAACTGAAATTTGGCCTAACAGAGGAGACTCTGTTTCCAAGCATGTTCCCCTCGCGCGCGCTGCCCCGTATTTCCTTCCTGTTTAAGGTTCCAGAGGGGTAAACGAAAAGCACAGTACCCCACGCCTCACACCCATCAGAAACAAAGAAGCATCGCTGAGTGTCATATGCGCACCTTCCTGGCAGCAGCGTCTCCCCTTTTCCGCCTCTTCACACCTGGCTTCTTGCTCCAGCTCTTCTCAGAGCAACCTGGGCTTGCGTCGCTAGACAAATCTGACTGAAACAGAGCACAGACAGTGGTCAACAGTGGCATCAGAGCCAGATTCCTCTGGCCTTAACTGCTGCTCAGTGCTACCCTGGCAGGGACTTTATGGGTCTGGCTTAACCAAAACGTGCAGCTTTTGGCTTCAAAGCTGGGATGCTATAGGCAGCCTGGTTCATGTTCCTTATGATTAATGTTGATGGTGAAATTACATTTAAGGGGTGGTTAAAGAATTCTGGAGGAAGAGTGGAGGAGAGGAGGGGGTGGCCTGTTCAGCCGTTTCTCGTGGAGAACCCCTGGAGGGGCAGCATTTGGGCAGGTGGCCAAGAGGACGACTCAGGGTAAGGCAGCCTACTGGTTTTCTGAGTACGTTCGACTGAGAATGCTGCCCAAATATCTCTCCATCTGAAGAATAAACTTTACCACATTTTGCAGGAACTGCTTTGAGCACAGGTGTCATTGTGGGAAACATAGTACATAAATGAATTGACTGTAAAAAAAAAACCTACTTTACTTCTGCTAGATATCTCAAAGCTAATCAGCTCCTGTCCTTTTGCAGGTTAAAGCCATTTTAGAAAAAATGGTAATAACCATTTCCTAACAGTAAAGAGGAATGTTTAAGCCAACCGGAGCAAAATGTGTTTTATGTGTTTTTCCTGCCCTGACTGGGGTATTTACTCACTGTGACGAGCGGATGTCTCCGTTTCTTGACAGCACATACTGGCGATTCCAAGTCACAGTCATCATCAATCTTGGGAGAAGGAAGGAAGACGTCAAAACACATTTAGAAACCGCACAGAGAGTTTGGAGCTTGGTGGCCTTTAATTTTAACTGAGCTGACTCACGTTTTGAGATGTGAAAACGTTCACTTTCTTCTTATTTTTTCTGAGAAAAACAATTTCTTCTTCGCTTTCACTGCCGGCCCCAACTGCGAAGGGGTATGTAGGCAACAATAATAAGAAAGTGTGTGTGTGTTTTTCACCATACAATATATTTGTAAATCCGAGAGGAAAACGCTTTCTCCCTTTTTTCTTTAAATAAAGGCAGTTCTGGCTTGGGAGGTTGCTATTGTCTGCCTGTGACTCCCCATCCATCCAGGGTCCAGTTGGGGCAACTTAAACAGTATTTCCCAGCAGAGGAAAACAGCCGGCTGCACTGCCTTGCTGAGCTGGAAATTAAGAGTGCTACCGAGTGATAGGGATGAGGGGAAAGAGAAGGGGAAAACACTAAACCATCTTCACTTATCTGTTCTTGGACATGTTGTCAACCCACGTATAAGAGCTGTTGCTCCTCCTACAGGTAGCCAGAGAGGCCCCTCTGGAACAAGGTATCTCCAGCTGACTCCATTTCTCCCCTCCCTGCCAATTTTGCCCCATTTTCCAACTCTTCCCTGCACATATTCCTCAAGGTTGTGTTGGTTTGTTTTTAATAGGAATCCAGCAATCCCCCACATGCTTTTACACAGAATGAGGAAGGAGGAGGACTGTTACATTTAAGCTAAGAATGTAAAAAGGTAAAAGATGGAAGCTAAGGATGTAGAAAGTTATGCTGATCCTGCAGCTGGATGAAGCCTGGGGCTCCTCTGAGCAAGCGCCCTGTTCTCACGGTGGCCAGCTGGGCGCCCACGAGGGGCACCTGAGCACAGCCGTGCTCTCCCCTCCCACGGTTCACAGCAACTGCCATTCAGAAGCACACAGCCTCCGGCGGGGAAACCACCAGGGCAGGAGTGAGCAAAGGCATTGCATCCACAGAAGCAGAGCCTGCATGAGAGCAAAACCAAAGTCTCAGGAGATTTTGAGAGAAATAAAATTATATCAAGTACAATATATGGAAATGATAAATCAGGAAATAGAATGGAAAATCAAACAAATGAGACAAAAAACATTTGAATCAGCTAATAAATGTGGAAAACTGTTGGCCTGGCAAATGAAAAAAAGACAAAAATTAAATACTATTATAAATCTAGAAGTGGAAGGAAAAGAGTATACATAATCCAAATGAGATCAGAAATTGCTTCCAGAGGTACTTTAAACAATTATACACACAAGGGCCACAGAAGGAAATGGACATAGACCAATTTTTGAAGACAAATGGCCTACAAAAAATCTCTCAAGAAAGTAAATTAATGCTGAACTATAAAATATCTGAACAGGAAGTAGAAGGTGCCATACAAAATATGCAATTGGGCAAATCTCCAGGACCGGATGGGCTGACTTCCAGATACTATAGATCTTTGAAAGAGTGGTTATTGCAACCTTTGAAGGCAGTCTGCAATGAAATATTGGAGGGAAAAGGGCACCAGAATCGTGGAAAGAGGCGTATATCACACTTATACCGAAAACAGAGACTGAAAAGACTCAGCTTAAGAACTATCGCCCTATATCGTTACTTAATGTGGATTACAAAATTTTTGCAGACATTTTGGCCAAGAGATTGAAAAAAGTATTGATGAAAGAGATTCATAAAGACCAAGCGGGCTTTCTCCCGGGAAGACACTTGTCTGATAATTTGAGGAATATAATTGATATTTTGGAAAAATTAGAAGTGAATATAAACACCAAAGCAGTATTGATATTTGTTGACGCGGAGAAAGCTTTTGATAATATCTCTTGGAGTTTTATGAAGAAGAATCTGCATGGGATGGGGGTAGGCCAAGGTTTTGAAAATGGTATAGGTGCAATATACTCTGAACAAAAGGCTAAATTAATTGTAAATAATGTGGTCACAGAAGAATTCAAGATAGAAAAAGGGACACGACAGGGGTGCCCAATTTCCCCACTGCTTTTTATATCGGTCCTGGAGGTTTTGCTAAACATGATTAGAAAGGACCGGTTGGTTAAGGGCATACAGGTCGGAGCTAAACAGTACAAACTGAGAGCATTTGCAGATGACCTAGTATTGACGTTACAGGAGCCAGAATCTAGTACTAAAAGAGTTTTAGAATTAATTCAGGAATTTGGTCAGGTGGCAGGTTTTAAATTGAACAAGTTAAAAACTAAGGTTTTAGAGAAAAACTTAACACCGATTGAAAGAGAGAGGTTTCAGAATGAGACAGGATTGAATGTGGTAAAGAAAGTGAAATACTTGGGGATTAATATGACAGCCAAAAATGGGAACTTATTTAAAGATAATTACGAAAAATGTTGGACGGAAGTGAAAAAGATTTAGAAATTTGGTCAAATTTGAAACTCTCGTTGCTGGGCCGTATTGCTGTGATAAAGATGAATGTATTGCCTAGAATGTTGTTTTTGTTTCAGACATTACAAATTGTAGATAAGATGGACTGTTTCAAGAAGTGGCAGAGAGATATTTCTAGATTTGTCTGGCAGGGCAAGAAGCCCAGAATAAAATTCAAGATATTAACTGATGCCAAGGAAAGAGGTGGATTTGCCCTGCCAGACCTTAAACTTTATTATGAATCAGCAGCTTTTTGCTGGCTGAAAGAATGGCTACTTCTTGAAAACACAGACATTTTGGATCTAGAAGGTTTTAACAATGTATTTGGATGGCATGCATATTTATGGTATGATAAGGTCAAAGCACACAAAGCATTCAAAAACCATATTGTTAGGAAAGCATTGTTTAATGTTTGGATAAGATACAAAGACTTATTGGAAAATAAAACCCCAAGGTGGCTATCACCAATGGAAGCAAAAGCTCTGAAAAGGCTCAATATGGAGGCCAAATGGCCGACATATTGGGAAATTTTGGAGCAAGAAGGAGATAAATTGAGATTGCAGAGTTTTGAAAAATTAAAAATAAAGTGAGAGATTGGCTCCACTACTATCAGATAATGGAGGCATATAATTTGGATAAGAAAATAGGCTTCCAAGTGGAAAAGTCAAAATTAGAAACAGAATTGTTAGAACCCAAAACTAAAAATTTGTCAAGAATGTATAACTTGCTGTTGAAATGGAATACTCAGGATGAAACGGTGAAATCTGCTATGATTAAATGGGCACAAGATGTTGGACATAATATTATGTTCGCTGACTGGGAACAGTTATGGACCACAGGTATGAAGTTTACGGCATGTAATGCCTTAAGAGAGAATATTATGAAAATGATATACAGGTGGTACATGACCCCAGTCAAGCTTGCAAAAATTTATCATTTGCCCGATAATAAATGTTGGAAATGTAAAGAAACTGAAGGTACATTCTTTCACCTTTGGTGGACGTGCCCAAAGATTAAGGCTTTCTGGGAAATGATATATAATGAACTGAAAAAGGTATTTAAATATACCTTTCTGAAGAAACCAGAGGCCTTTCTCTTGGGCATTGTCGGCCAACTGGTGCCAAAGAAGGACAGAACCTTTTTCATGTATGCTACAACAGCAGCAAGAATACTTATCGCAAAGTATTGGAAGACACAAGATCTACCCACTTTGGAAGAATGGCAGATGAAGGTGATTGACTACATGGAATTGGCGGAAATGACTGGCAGAATCCGAGACCAGGGAGAAGAGTCGGTGAAAGAAGACTGGAAAAAATTTAAGGACTATTTACAGAAATATTGCAAAATTAAGGAACTTTAGAAGGATGTTGGATAGAAACTAAGAGGTTTTTAGCTGTAATGCTTTAAGAGACATGGAAAAAAAGGTTAACAATTGGGTAAAAGATTAATGGTAAGGATTTGCTGAACCAACAAATTGAATTGGAATACAAAGAAGGGAGGTATGAGGAGGTCCGGGAAATAAGAGTAAGGAAGATAGGTTATGGAACATTATTGTGTTTTTAACTGTTTTATTTTGTACGTTTTTTCTTATTTTCTACTTTTTTGCTGTATCTTAAAACTTTATACTTTTTTCTTTGTTTTGTATTTTCATGTATTTTTGTGAAACTTTAATAAATATCATTATTAAAAAAAAAAAAAAACCAGAAGCAGAGCCTGCAGATGCAATGGTCCTGCTTTATTCTACTTTGGCCAAACCTCATCCGGCTTACTGTGTCCAGTTCCAAGCTCCAGTTTATTTACATTTCAATTTTTTTAATTGATTTTGTAATAAATTGCAGTATCGCTCTGTCTAAATCACATTGCATCTTATATAATACCACTCTTACTGCAAAATTGCTTACATCTGATTGGAAAAAAGCTTACTGGATGAGGAACAGAAAAAGTTGAGGTTTATTCAGACATATTATCCCAAATTAATAAAGTTATCTTCCTTTTTTAAAACAAACATGTAAACAACTGTATTTCAATAAACTTGCCTTGCCTTTGCTCTTATTCCATGAGCCTAAAAGTGTGCTATTTTAGCCACTAACCTCCCAGAGTTTAACCCTTTCTTTAAAGGCTGGTACAGCCACTGGTCTCCACTTCCCAACAGAGTTCTAGCTGCTGCCTCTAACCATTTAAAAAGGATACTGACAAAGTAAACGGCATACGAAGAAGAAGAAGAAGAGTTTGGATTTGATATCCCGCCTTTCACTCCCTTTAAGGAGTCTCAAAGCGGCTAACATTTTCCTTTCCCTTCCTCCCCCACGACAAACACTCTGTGAGGTGAGTGGGGCTGAGAGACTTCAGAGAAGTGTGACTGGCCCAAGGTCACCCAGCAGCTGCATGTGGAGGAGTGGAGATGCGAACCCGGTTCCCCAGATTAGGAGTCCACCACTCTTAACCACTACACCACACTGGAGTGTGGCCTAGATGGAGGGGGACCAGGAGGCCCCTCACTAGGAGGAGAGGCTGCAGGGAAGCAGGCTTAGATTGGAGAAGAGACAATGAGGAGGCAAGAGGAGGGCCAGGATCTCCACTGATGTTGAGGATGGGCCGAGTAGGGTAGAGCATAAACGAACCCATTTCAGCAGGCCTTTAGGGGCATCAGTGCCGCAGCAGCATTTTGGTCCTGTTTATTGTCACTACTGACTCTGCCATGGTTTTATCTGTTCCTGTTTTTATCTGACTGATGATCTGTAACTGAGGGAGAGGGGGTTGCTTTTAATTTATTCCACTGAACCCCACTTTAGTACCATCTTGTGTGGAGAGGAAGGTTAAATATTTTAAATGCATCGCAAGAAAAATGATTTAAACATTCCCATCAGCATAAACCATTCAAGAGAGAATGTCGGACTGACTCTTTCCACTTGAGGTTCTTAGGCAGAGGCAGGATGGCCTCACCTACTGGGGATCCAGGGGGTGGGGGGTTTCCTGCATCAGCTGGGGGGGGGGCAGGGGGGGTTGGGCTGATTCCCCATGAGGCCCTTTCCAACTCTAGGATGTTGCCTTCTGCAACCTGATGCTTAGCCTTGCCATAAACCGAGCGAGAGAACATCCCTTCATTGCTTAAAAGGCAGGATCTCAGTATCCAGTTCCCATCTGCCTTCTGAAGACTGTAGGCAGACTATGTCCTCTCTGCATAATGCCTTATGCTATTTTAATTTTTTAAACATCTTACCTTCAATGGGAAGCACGTTAGGGCCATTTAGGCTTCCATTTTCCACCTTCGAGGTTTCCCGCAACGCAAGCCCCTCCGTGCTGAAAATGGAGTTAGCCAAGTCCCTTTTCACTGTACTGGCATTCCCTCTCCTTGGAACTGGCGCCTGTGGGCTTTCCTGCCTATTCCCGGAGAAAGAACTCACGAAGGTTCTTCTGGGGATGCCAGCATGGCTCACCTGCCTACCTGTCGGTGTGGAAAATGCAGCGTGCGCAGAACTTGGTGACTGGCACAGTTTCCCTCTCGCTGGTGTCAAAGGAGAGACCAAGGGAATAACATTTTCAACTGCCGCAAGACAAGAGTCCCGATTTTGTAGGTGTAAAGGTGTAGAAAACTTGGTTCCATTAAAACATTCATTACCCCAGGTCAGTGGAGACTTCCTTGACATGTTGCTGTTTGAGAGCGCTACTTCAGCGCTAGAGGAGCTAACTGCCGCGTGAGTTCCCCCATCTTTCATGGTGTCCACTTGCTCTGAGCACTCGTCCTCCGATTCTTGAGTCAGGAAACCCAGATCAAAGTTAACAGAGAACAACTCCTGAGAAACATTGTAGAACTCTCCAGGACGCTGGCCTTCTTCTTTGCCTGCACGGACAGGATCAACAGAGGCTTCCAAACCTCCATCTCTTGGGATTCTCAATGACTTCATGGGGCTTCCTTGGCTGACCTCATGAAGCTCCTCCCCTGAGGGCTGCCTTTCAGAGGTCTCCTCTTCCTTGCTCAGGGTACTGGCTTGAGTAGCCCGCAATGATGTGTCTGAAAGCTCCCCTCCTTTTGTGTCTGGATGAGGGCCACACTCTGCAAAATCCTCTCCTATAAAGAAACGCCCAGGCACTTCAGTAGGGCTTGCATTCCTCTCAGCCAGCTTCTGGGATCCTTGATAACTTCTGCAAGCTGCCTCCTTTCCTGAATGGTTTGCTCCTGGATCATGATTTGCCACTGGAGGAGTTCTCCCCTGAATGCCCATCTGCTTTTCATCGTCACACGCAAATATTTCGTCCCAATCAAAATCATTTATCTTGCTAAAGGAAGCTTCAGGAATGCAGCTTTTTTCCAAAGGGTTATCCAAGGAACACTGTTCCTGAGCATCTGTGAGTTCAGACATGTTCTGAGGTGACGTGGAAGGTGGTTTGAAAGGTGTCAGTTTTTCTCCTGAAGGACGTTTGCCTGCAAACACACCAGAAACACATTTTTGCACTGAGCTTAACTGCTGGGCTACATCCTCTGTCTCTTCTTCAGAATCAAATAATTCATTCAGAGAAGGGGGAGACTGTGACAGAAGCCTTGCTGCATTTGTTGGGATGCATTTTCCCCAAAAAGCATCCTCATCGGCACTTGCACCAGCAAGCACAAAGAAATCCGCCACTGCTGCTGCTGCTGGTGCATAAAACAAGGAAGAAAGGGGAGAATTTTCTTCTGCAAAGCAGCCGTAGCCCGAATCTGCACCGTGTCCATTCCATGAGCCGCACACTTTTGAGATGGGCTGAAATTTTGTTTCTGCTGCATTTTCACGATCAGCAACGCTTCTCTGGGCAGTGCTTATGCTGGCAGATTCCTCCATGTTTTCCTCATCCTTATCTGACATTTTTTTACATCCAGCACCTTCAACCAATGGCAAAGTGCTCACTGGAAAACCATCTGCAGGGCTGAGTCCCTCTGTAGCATGACTTTCAGAGTCTACCGACAGAGCCTGAGGCCTATTCGCAGATTTGAAGCTCGTTGCTTTAAAGAGAGATACACATTCTGCATCAAGCTCGACGGAGGAAGATGAGCGGTGTGTTGCTGCTTTTGGAGCCTCTGCCAGGGTTTTTCTAGAGAAAGGCGCCTTTTGAGCAGCTGCAGCATCACGACACCTCTTGCCCCGCTGAGCCTCCTCCAATGCCTCAACATCTTCCCAGTGAAAATAAGGACGGGTATCCAGCTCATAGTGGCATTCTCCCTAGTTGAAAAAAAGAAAAGACACTATTTCAGATGTCTGCTTGACTCAAAGTTCATCGCACTCCTTATCCTCCCATCAACTGTGTTTACTAGACTGGCATTGCTTCAGTCTTGCAGAAGGGAAATGGACCAGGAGACCAAGATTTGCTCTTGAGGGCTCAAGGAGAAAATCAAAAGAGGCTGCTGGATCAGGCCAAGACCCCATCTAGCCCAGCTTCCTGTTCTCACAATGGCTTCTCCCCAGATGCCTGTGGGAAACCAGCAAACAAGATTCGAGCACGAGAACCCTCTCGCTTTGTGCGACCTCCAGCAACTGGCATTCAGAAGCAATATGGCCTCTGACTCCACTGTCTACATCTCTCCATCCATAGATCTGTCCATTTATTCCTACTCACCCCAGTCCACAAGAGGACCTCTTCCATGACTGCTAAGCTTACTCAGCAGGAGTCTTTGGTGAGGTACTTTGTCAAAAGCCTTTTGAAATTCCTAAGTATGCTATGCTTGTTGATACTCTCAAAGAACTCAAATATGTTCATAATATAAGACTTGACGTTGCAGAAGCCATGCTGGTTCTGTTTCAGGAAGGCTTGTTCTTCTATATGTTTGGTTATTTTATCTTTTAAGCAGTTTCCCTCTACTGCTTCCAAATCCTGGACTGACTATATTCTGGAAAACAATGCCTGTGTGTATTGGTGCAGCCTTCCCTAAGTTCACAGGATCATGGAGTCATTTAAATCAAAACAGAACGATACAGCTAGTTCATTTACCTGCAAATTTGGCCTACAAAAAAAGAAATAACATTAAAAATGACCTGATACATAAGTTACATAAAGCAACTCTCCTCCAGGGGTACCCAAGTCTGGCAGCTAGGATCATAGTGTGTGTCCTCATTTCAGGCTCACAAGGTCTTACATAAATGCTCTTCTTTGCTATGGAAAAGGACACTTGACCCCAGGCAGGTTCTAAACTGCAGGTGGGAAGCAAAGACACTCTCACACCTTCACACGTTGCTTAGTAGAGTAAAACATCAAAAAACCATTTGAAGGAACTCACAAAACTTGAGATTTGAAACCAGCTGCTCAGCAAAATAGGTCATAGGACAAAACCGCTCCTTTGCCAATACGATTGCATTAGCGCAATGGCTTTCATTAAGAATTATAGAATACTGCCAGATTAACAATATTCACAACTTGGAAAGGTGACAGAAAATGTGGTGCCTAACAATTAAATGGGCTTCTGGCCTGCAAAAAAACCAACAACAGTTCTCTCTCTCTCCCAGGGAGCAGGGCATCAATAAATGGGAGAATCCATATAGCTCATTTCACAAACATCCCACCCGCAGAGTCACAAGGCAACTCTGGCTTTGGGAGTACAGGAATCATAATAAGAATACTGACAACTCTTGGGCTCCCATAAAGTGACTCCTTGCAATGCAAAAGAACCCCGTGGCTGGAGCGCATGAAGATTATGCCTCCAAAGGGAACATAAGGCACTAGGAAGGAAGGGCAAAGCCAACACAGCATAATTTTGGAATGAACATCAGTTTCCCTGCTGTCATTAGGGGCAATGTGTTTTCTGTAACAAGCTGGAGAAGCAAGCAGGGAAAGCTGGCAAGCCTTTCAGATTGCTGAGTGCAGCTTTATCCTCTTAAATGCCCATATGACCCTTTAATGCTCCAGGGCAAAGTAGTGCAGGACCTGATTAGCAACAGAGTGTGTGTGCGTGTGTGTGCGTGGGTATTAGTGGAAGCTCTCAGCACACCAAGCTTAGCTTTTCAGATGTGGGTTGGAAAGCAAACCATGCAAACAGAATTGCGCAGAACCATCCCTCCCCAAGCACAGCTTCCGCAACCTCCCCCACGAACCTGCGCCTTTCTTGTCAATGTTCTGTGCTAAAAACTCCTCCCTGGAAGTTCTCTCAACTCCTGGGATCTTGCCCTCATTGCCACAGTCCCAGGGGTGACAGCAGGTGTGCCAGGAGACTCAGGTGCATGGCTCAAGTGTGCCTTGAACTGTATGACCACCTTACTGGAGCATTCCAACCTCCAATGGGCTTCTGCCTGGGGCTGCAGCAATGCTTCAAGCTAACTTGCTCACCTTCACCGCGCTCAGGCTCCCATGGGGCCTCCAACGATCCTTGCTAACTCAGATGCCTGGCAAGACCTTTGCAGTCATCCTGCCCCTTCTCAATCTAGGGCCAACCAACAAAGCTGAGCATTGGTCGATTTAGGACATATGAAAGGAAGAACTTTACCACGCATGGTTAAACTATGGAATTCACTCCCATGAGATGTGGCTGTGGCCACAAACTTGGATGGCTTTAAAGGGGAATTAGACAGATTCATGGTGGAGGATGAATTCATGGCTTCTAGGCCAGGATAGCTCTGCTCTGCCTTCACAGTTGGAGGCAGCGATGCTCTCCTGAATGCCAGTTGCTGGAAGCCACAGGAGGGGAGAGACCTCTTGTGTTGAAATTGTGCTTTTGGGTTTATCTGGGTGGCCACAGTGAGGAGAGGACGCTTGCCTTTTGAGGCACAAGAATTCTCCACAACTGTAACCGTGCTCCTGAGTGGAAGTTCTTCTGCGGGCTTCCGCTGTGAAAATGAGATGCATTTTCAACACTGCTGAAATTATTCCAAAGAGGGAAAACAGACATAAATAAACAAAATTATCCAAGCACAGATTGAGGCTGTCTTGCATGGACAGTTCCCATCCTCCAGACATTTCATCCCAAGTGCTGAAGCTGCAACAACAACAGAGCATTTGCACTGCTCCTGCACGTGTGGGACTTGACTCCCTCCTCTGGATTCTCTGCAGGCTTCCAGCCGCAGTTTCCCGCCCATGGAATCCCAGCAGCCATAAGTAGGAGTCGCACATGTGGGCAATTATAGCCTTGAGCCATTTTGTTGGCGTAGGAGTGTGAATTGAAGTAGGAGAGAAAAAGCGACAAGTGTTAAATATAACACTCTGACGTTAGTGCAGGCCAAGAACTGCATAGTTACTGCGAGTGACTCAAGCTCCTGAACCCAAAGTGAGTTTGCTGCTTAAAACCTGCCTAAGTGTGCCAACACAAAGCATCACCTGTTCACTAGATGCACGTTTGCATCCCTAGCTAAAGCAGAAGCGCCTGCAAGGAGGTCCTACAAGAGGGGGGTTAAAATCCACCCGGGGCACACTTTTTATTAAAGAATTCTCAGGAGTAGACCGACAATGCAATCCTTTTAATTTACTGCGCTCTGCATGGTAGTAAACACAGTGTTCGAAACTCCCATTGTTCTAGGCGCGTTTTGCAACAGGGAATTTCATTAGTGCAAGCAGTTTCTGAGCTCTGGGCGCAGTACTGAGCCTAAGATTTCAGATTAAAACTGCAGAATGAAGGAAAGGAGGACCTTTTCCTGCCTCCCCACTTCCAGCTACTCCCTGAAGACTGGAAAAAAGACCCTCTTAAGAATATTAGGGGGGTGGGCAGGGGAAGGACTAGACCATGTGAAAAATGAACATAATATTTTAGCTGCAATTCATTCATTTTCAGCTTTGCATTCTTGTTATTAAAAAAACACACCTAGACGTTCCGTTGTTGCATCCATAACCTAGAGGTTTAAGGTGCTCCTAGCTTTCATATCTCAGTTTCTAACACTGGGTAAACATTGCCCTCAAAGTTCAACCATTCACCATTTAATTATTATTATTATTATTTATTAATTAGTTACTTTTCTTCCAACAGTAGCTCAAAGCGACTTACAACAAGCAAACAAACAAAACATTAAAAACCGCATAAAACAAAATAAAATAAGAATCTAATAGACAATCATATTCTTAAAAGGCAGGATTAAAACATCTCAGCCACTCAAGGAGGCCATGGATAATTTAAAATCAAAGGCTGGGCAGAAAAGAAATGTTTTTGCCTATTGCCTAAAGATATGTAATTATGGCACCAGGCGAGCTTCCCTGGAGGGAGCATTCCTCAAATGGGGACCCACCTCTGCAAAGGCCTGTTCTCATGTTGCCACCCTCCAGACCTCTCATGGAGGAGGCATAGGAAGAAGGGCCTCAGAGGATGATCGAAGGGTCCAGGTCAGTTCATACGGGGAGAAGCAGTCCAAGAAGCATTGGGGTGCAGAGTTGCATGAGGTTTTATAGGTCAAAACGAGTGTTTTGAACTGGGCCCAGAAGCTAACTGTTAGCCAGCACAGCTGGGCCAGGATTACAGTTGTGTGCTCAGACCGCCTTGCCCCGGTGAGCAGCCTGGCCACCAAATTTGGCACCAGCTAGTTTCTGAAATCTGAATTCACAATCTCTTATTGGTGTCAACATCTACGGAGGTTCCTGTTGTTGAAGCTACAGCTCCCAAAGCAAAAGCACAGCAGAAAAGCCTTGAAAGGGATATTGTGCAAAAGCTGCGTTCCTTCTCATAAGCTGCGCCCAGCAAGCACACTCTCACTGAACAGAAAGTCATCTGCTGGGCTCTTCTGGAGCAGCTGTGCGGACTCCTCCACAGGATTCCAGAGCAGAGCAACTGGCTTCTCTCTAACAGAGGAGAGGCGGCCACCCATGGCCTGCGGGCCAGATCCAGCCTGCCAGGCCTCATCTTCATCTACAAGCGGACTGGGAGATAAGGCTCCGAGTCTGATCTTTAGGGCGATGAGGCATCTTTTATCTCCAGTCTTAGTGCTAAGCACCACAGCACTGTGATGGGAGATAAGCCCACTGCCTGCTCTCGAAGCATTGAAGGCAGCACTGTGGAACCTGCAAACTCTAGCTAGGGGAAAATCCAATCTGTTTGGCCAAGCCTCCGTTGCCTTAGCAATGAAGCCAGGAAGGCATTAATAAAAAGCTTCTTTTATGGTTCATCTGTGTGTTGATGCATGCATCTGCATGAAACAGAGGGTTGTTTCCCCCTTTTCTACAGCAGGACACAACTGTCTCCGTGGCTTTTTTGTGCTTGGAATAAAAGGCACACAGAGAAAAGCCAAAAAAATCCACACCGAGAATTTTCCAAGTTAGAATCTCATCCATGTATTTGCTCAGAATTTACAGCAAACTAAAGCGTTTTTACGTTAAACTAAGTTGCTGAGATCAACAGGTCCTCAAACCTGAATGCAATGAACTCACCTAAGATGCATGAAGCATGACACTGCCCCAACCCTGTTAGCAAATCAGACCTCTGAAGCTGCATTGTATGATATGTGTGATTCACACGCCTGTCTGTGAGGAGCGTGAGAAGGGAAGACAGGCTTATCTTTCTTCCGGTATGAGACTGTAAAACTGTACTTTCAATTTTACGCTATGGATTCTTCCGCTCTCGGAGCTGAGAGAGAGGACCATGATTGCTTGTCTGTATATTCTGTAAATAAATTAGTAGTTTAGAACTACAATGTCTCTAACGTCTTGCTGTCTTAAGCCAGAAGGATAGTGTGCTTACACCAGCTGGTATAGGTCACTGGGAGCACCCTGGAGAAGAAAGGGATGCCTTTTCCAGAGCTACGCTCACCGGAGTACGTCCAGAGGAATGGGGGCCGCAGGCACCCCAGGGCCTTTTCTCCTAACTCCGCTTGGGCCTACAAAGGGATCTGAAGATGCTTGCTTACTGGCAAAGGTCTTTTTGAACGTGCTTTGCAGCCCATTACCTTATAAATGTTCTGAATGATAGGCTTAAGCTGAGAGGTGCTTTTTCCAAAGCCACCTAGTGAGGTTTATGGCTGACCATAGACTGCCCCCTCCCTTGAGTCCAAAATCCACTCCTACGAATTGCACTGCCTGGCCCCTCAGCCTGCTCAACTTCCTTCAACAAAGGCACAGCACAGTCTCATGAAAACTATAAAGTCTGACATGACTCTTATAGGGAGATAATGTTTGTTCGGTGAGTGTGAGCTTTCCACGGGGAGCTTACCAACCTCTTCGTGCCTCATCTGCTCGATCATCTCCATCATGCTAATGAAGTGGTGGCAACGATCCGAGTGGTCCACCAGGTGGGTAGGGAAAGGGCGGTTCTGCCACAGCCTCCACTCTGTCAGAGACAGCACATGGACCTCCTTGGCTTGCGAGTCCTGGGTTTCAAAACAGAGAGCAACACAGAGCTCATTCCAAGTACTGGCTGGCAAAATACAAAGCATCTCATGATCCAGACTGTACAAAAATAGTAATTCCAGTTACAGGGCTTGATGCATAAATAAAACATGAACAGTTATTGCAAGAAGACGATGCTGTCTTAAAATACTCTTTATTTTTCACTCCAATCTGTTAAGAGATGGAGAGCACCCAAGTACTGTGCATGGACTGTGAGACACGTTGTCTTCTATTCAACGGCCAGGGTTGCTGGCAGGAGACTTTCCCAGCCCTGGAGATGTGGGGACTGAACACTGCGAAGCAGGTACTCTTGAGACTCGAGCTACAGCCATCCCCCAGCTGGTGTCTGAAGTTCACGGCAAAAGCAGCCCTTTGTTATGCTTGACAAGGGATTGGTCCACTTTCCTCCTGGCTGAGGCGCATCCAGCAAGACAGAGCTTGGAATTCCTGCTCCAGGCCAGAGAACACCCAACAAGCGCATTCAGGCCCCAACTTACTCTCGTCTCCTCATCTTCTAATGTTTCAAAGTGACTTCGAGGCAGAACTGGGTTTCTTATTCCATCACCAGCTTTGATTTTATACAATCTATTCCATCTTTCAAATTCTTCAGCTGTGAGGCACCAAGCTTCGGACGGACGAGTTTGCTTTGCATCTGGAAAGTGTTTGGAGGTAGGGAGAGAGAGAAGGTCGATATTTAGAAGAAAATTCTCTCAAATAGGCACCAGACACATAGCTTGTCAAACAGAAGATTCCTCTAAACTCCTGGAGCTCAGCACAAGCTTGCCCTCCCTTCGTGGGTTTGAGACCCACATTGGACAAAAGATTCCTGCTTTGCAGGGGGTTGGACTAGATGTCCCTTGGGGTCCCTTCCAACTCTACAATCCTGTGATAGAAGCAGACCAGTTCTGAAAGCAGGAAAGCCAAGAGGGATAGGACAGACTTTAGGAAATCCACACACACACACACCATTGCATGGGGCAGGAGTGAGATGATGTTGCACCGTGTGGCACGAGGTAGACGATAAAACATCTGGCAAAACACATCTGCACATGGAATGCCCTCCTGAAGGAAGGTGAATGAGGAATTTTGCGTTTCCTTCTCCTAATCTAGATGCTGGACAACACACATGGGAAAGCAGCAAAAGTGCCTCTCACCCGGAACAGGTCTGGATTTAGTCGCTACTGATACCCCTCCAACAACTAAGCCAGGGTGCAATAATGCTTTTCCAAAGGCCCTCACATATCCGTATATAGTTGGTGGAGCAGGGCCACTTCCACGCCTATGACCGTCCCCATCCCGTTAAGGTCTGCCTCGGGGGGCGTGCCAGTGAGATCTTTGTGCAGGGCTTCCTCAGTGAGGGCCCAGAGCTCTGAACTCCCTTCTGGTTGGTTGATGCCTCACCACTACAGTAGAAGCACTCAAGGAAGCCTTGAAAACTTTTCTCTTTTGTGCTGCTTGGTGGGACAGAGCAGCTTCCTTGCATTAATCTGTTGACCCTTAAGGTGTGTATGGAATCAGCTGTATCTATTTTGCCATCCCTTTTCCTGTATGCCAGTTTGTGAGTGCATGGCCCTAAAAAGCAGCCTTTAAATAACAGTAATACCCCAAGAGGAGGAGAAAACATTCTGCACATCTTACCTGCCCCAGTGGGATAGGGAAGCCACTTTTGCAGCAGCAGAGCGTGGTCTCTCCTCCCTTTTGAGGTGGGCTTGGAGGGGCTTGGCTCACGCTCCACAGGCGTAATTGGCATCCTGTGCATCTTCGGGTCGATGCCTTCTGGAATCATCCGTGGGCTGTGCTGGTATAAGTGGAGCCCTTTGTTTTCAGAAATAGCTTTGAGGAGGCTTCTTCTGTTTAACTGGCTTTGATTGTATGTCTGCAAAACAAAGAAGAATTTTGGTGGTTTTTTGTTTGTGTGTGTGTGGGGGGGTGCAATTTCCAATCCTATGCATGTTTGCCTGAAAGTACACCCCACTGCATTCAGCAGGACAGACTCCCAAGTAAGGATGGACAGACCTGCAGCTAAAGCAAGCTTGAAAACAAGTTGCTGAAAACACAGGAGGGGACGGTGATTCTCCTGAGCTCGAATGCTGCTGGTGGGTTTCCCATAATGGGCATCTGGTTGGCCGCTGTGAGAACAGGATGCTCAACTAGATGGGCCACTGGCCTGATCCAGCAGAGCTCTTCTTATGTTCTTAGGCTTGCATACTTTTGTACACTTGGGTCAAGTGCCAATCCTTTCTGGGCCAGTAGCACTCTGGACCAGGGGTCTGCAAACATTTTCAGCAGGGGGCTAGTCCACTGTCCCTCAGACCTTGTGGGGGGCCGGACTCCTATGCCCCACAAATAACCTAGAGATGCATTTTAAACAAAAGCACACATTCTACTCATGTAAAAAAACCAGGCAGGCCCCACAAATAACCCAGAAATGCATTTTAAATAAAAGGACACATTCTACTCATGTAAAAACATGCTGATTCCTGGACCGTCCACAGGCCAGATTGAGAAGGTGATTGGGCCGGATTCAGCCCCCGGGCCTTGGTTTACCTGCCCATGCTCTGGACCAACTGCTATCATGTGATTACATGAGATCAGGTAATTTGGTAACTTCCTTGGAACCCCTCTGTGAGGCATCCCTGGAGGCTCTCATTATTTCTGCCTGCCCACACACTCACCAGGAGGACATACCCTGGATCCAGTAAACCAGTGGAGACAGGAAAGAGAAAGCAAAAACAAGCACCGTTTCTACAGCCCACAGCTGCTGGATTGTTTAACTAACCCTTGTATGTTTAAAACCAGGATTCCTAGTTCACATGCAACAGTAACCCAAGAATCATTGGCAGAAGGTCTACTCCTGTCACGGCCAACAGATGGAAAAGAGGAGGAAAGGGGATCCTGCAAGCCCAGAGCTTTGCTTGGGACTACTGAGGCTCATCCATGAAACACTAAACCATGGTTTAATATTACAAACACACTAGTCCATGTTATCAGATAAAGCTATGTCCTCCTTGTTGCTGGCTTTGTGGGAGATGGATACACAGAACATCTGGGCATGAGGATCCTAAATGTTTGCCACAGCAGACCTGTCCTGCCAAGCCATGCAGCGCTGGGCCATTGGTTCATCTTACTCAAAGGACTTACTTTCAGGCACAGTAAGTCTTAGGATTTGGGTTCCCGTCTTTAGGAAATTTGGAAAAGCAATAAAAAAGTGGGTTATGTTGAGGAATGCAATGAGTTGGCTGCAGAATGGGCTCCTATTGGCTCTATGTCTTACTCGCTCTTCCCGTCCTTCAGAAAGGATGACCACAATCCGCCCTTCCCGCTTGCGCCCGGTTCGGCCCATTCGTTGCACAAGCCGAATTGGACTTTTCTGTGCATCGAAACAAACGATGAGGTCAACTTCTCCAATATCCAAGCCTTCTTCGCCCACACACGTGGAGACTAAAGTGTTGTAGCCACCCTCACGGAAACGTTTCACGACCTAAAGGAGGAAGGAAACACATGAGCATTTGCTTTGCAGAGAACCTATCACCTCTGGCTTCCTGCGGCCACATCTTACTGGAGCTTAGAAGGCCTGAGTCTGGCTGGTGCCTAAAGGAGTGACTCCCCTAGGAATCACATATTGAGTTCCTTGAGTTCCACAACAGAGAAAAAGCAGGATATGTAAAGGTGGCGGGGTGTGTGTGTGTGTGTGTGTGTGTGTTTGAGTGTGGAGAGGCGCTTGCATTTCTGGAGAAGATTAACTGCAAAATGATTTATTTCTTTATCAGCTTTGGCTGGTAAGTAGCTCTGGCTATTTGGTTGTGTGTGTGTGTGTGTGTGTGTGTGTGTGTGTGTGGAGAGAGAAGCTTGCAATGTCCCTTCCAACTCTACAATTCTAGGATTCTATGATCAATAGCTACAGCGTATGTCAGGGGTCGGCAACCTAAGGCCCGTGGGATGGGTCGTTTAACCGGCCCACGAGCCACCAACAAACCAAGCCGTCCACTCAGCAAGTCCCCGCGCACTGCGCTAAACTGGCGCAGCGTGGGGACTCACTTTCGCGATGCATCTGCACAGGCGCCGGAAATTGCAGGGTGTGCGCTCACGCACACTCCGGCCCACGGAGGGATCTCCGCTGTAGTGAACCAGCCCAGCCAAGGTAAACCTTGCCGACCCCTGCCATATGTCTTTGTAAGCCACTGCATCATTTTTATGGGCAAGTCACTACCCAAATAGTAGTGGTAGTAGCAGCAGCAGCAGCAGAAGCCGACACAATCCAAACGTACCTGGATACCAAACAGTAATTTTGTTTCTATAGACTTCTGCCACTTGGTTCATCCAGATTTAGGTACTGAGCCTAAGAGCCTTATGGGAATCACGCTGCATCATTTGAAAGAGGCAGGATTACTCTGGGCTTGTGCAACAGTGGCAGTTCTGCAGCCGGACCGTGATCATGCGCTTGCAACTGTGAGCAGTAGGGTTACACGCCCATTAATTCTATAAATATCAAGAGACTTAAGCACATGCTAAACGAGCAGAAGGTATGGACCATCATGAGTTCAGAGAATCGGCACATAGCAGCCAAGTTCTAAATGGGCACCACTGTCTTGCAAAGAGCGCTTTCTTGGCACCGGAGCTCTCCTTGCAACAACAGCTCGCTGATGACAACAAGCAAGACGTGCGCAGCATGACTTTGCCACGCTGGGCTCCCCGCCAGCCCCCGGCCCCTCCTTACCTCAAGCTGCTCCTTCTGCGTAAAGCCCTTGGTGCTCTTGCCGGTGGAGTGGCCCACAAAGGTCATGACCCTCACCTCCGGGTGGTGCTGGCTCAGCATTTCTGCAATTTCCTGCACACTGTCACGGAAGGAGGAGAAGATCATGACTCTGGTCTCCCCAGGCTGGCCTTCAGGTGCACTTTGATCTATTGGATGCAGGAGAAAGAGAGGGAGACCCCCATATCAGCAAATGCATAGTCCCAGCTCCAACCAGTTTTTTAGATGGGCAGCGTTACCAAGGAGATAGTGGCTTAAACTGAGAAGGCCTTTAGCAGCCTCTTTACTATATTATACACCCTGGAATTTATCCAGTTCATTGAGTGCATTATCCATGCATCTCCTTGCAGCAGAATAGGAGGCCACAATATTTCCTCCTCAAATTCTACTCTACATTTTTGAAAACAAAAGCAGGCATTATCAGTGGGTGTAGTGATGGTCAGTTGGGTAACCACATTTCGTAAGGGGCTAATGAAGTCAAATGATTATAAAGGCTAGGGAATGAAGCTTTGTTAAGAGAAGAACAGTTGCTGTTGTTTTGGGAAAAGGCCGTAAACTCTGGCAATCAGAATGTAAATTCACACCGAAGAAAGTCAAGGAGAAAACTCAACAGATAATTGGTAGTGACAAAAGCACAGAATACATATTTCCTAATACAAGTCAGAAACAGAAAAAGTTAGGGTGTAAATTGGCACATACTATGGATTAGCATTTGAATTACATCCGAAATGTACCTCCACGCTCCTTCCAGGATCTGAAATGTTCTACTACAACATCTTCTAATTTCTTTAACTTTGGGTGACTGTAGATAAATGGCTTCCTTTTTCCATCTCCTGTAAGGCCAAAGGTTTTTGTTTTAAATCTGTAATTTCTAGGCAGCTTTATCTTTAATAGGAACCCTTTGAAACAATTACTATCAGACTGTTGTTATGACTATTACTATGGTCTAACACACTGTTAACAAACAATGAAATTGTTCAAATTAAACCATATATTTAGGGATTCATTTTTATTCAACTTCAAAAAGGTCAAAAGCAAAGAACATTTATAATAGATAAAATGAATTTGTCTAAAACTAAATCATCACAGCGGCTTCAAATTCTAGCAGAAGCAAAACACCTTTTAAAACCTGAAGGTAATTAACCATTCTCCTGCCAACTCAATGTTACTGTTTGCACAAGCAAGACAGCTTCCTTCTGAATTTAATAGTCTTTATACCTCGGTAGTGTCAGTCGGGGTGAACAAGGTCTTAGAGGAGGGGCAGTAACTCTGGTGGCAGACAAGTCATGCTCCTTCTGGGGTAGTTTGTCTACCTTTGGTTGCCCACCCTGCACTCAGCCCACGGTGAGTTAGGAACTTCCCTTGCCTGTGAAGACAGGCTCTGGGGGACTGAGCGGACAAGACCAAGAGGGGTCCAATGGTCAAGAAGGAAGATTCTGCACATGCTGTACAGGGAAGTGAGGGGCAGATGGGGCTCATCCACCTGGGAACGGAGCCCGTCTACAAGAATGAAAACTCTGATCCTAAACCTCTGCTGCTTTGTGGCACATATTTGAGAGAAGAAAAGGCTAAGGAGTGAATCCTACACAAATCCAGAGTGGAGACCCTAAGCCGGCTGGATGGCACCTTGCACGCCTCCTTCCAATAACTCCTGCAGCCAAGCTGGTGCCAAACATCTTGCTCTGTTTTCCTTTAGACTACATCAGCAAAGCCAAGAGGGGGGTCTTGTTGTCTGGGCAGCCCAGGACCTCCAGACCCACTGCCCAGGCTTGCACCCCGGAGAGGTCACTTTGGTGTAGAGGTTTGACCTCACCCCAGAAGGTACACTCCACTCTCCCGGGACATAAGGATGCCAGCAACAAAGTGTCCGTTGGCAAAAATGAGCAAGGCCCAGTGTGGTGTTTTATTACTAAGAAGAAAAATGCCAGTCTAGCTTTGCTTTCTTACCATTTGCTGAAGTCACATTTGTGTCTGCAAACATGTTTTCAAGCTGGCTATACAACATCATGAAGTCTTCATTACGCCCAAGTTCATTTTTGGTACGAGTCATACCTTTCGAGAGAAGTAAACCAATTTAAAGATCTTGGGGGGGAAATGACACATGACTTATATAAGTTGGACACAGGAACTACCCTTTTAGAATTGCTTTCATGATCTGCAACAAGCGAGTCAATAAGCAATAATGCATTGTAACTGCAATGGGTTTTACACTACTTCAAAGTGTCTATTACTTTTCATGCAAGTTGCAAAAGAACCTGCAGAAGAACCTGGGTCATTGGAACTGGGCAAAAGTTAACACAGGAACTCCCCTGCCTCAGACAAGCTGGCAATTATGAGAAATTAGATGCAACCTGGTTTGACTTTGCCGAAGGACTTTCTTGGCTCCTCTCCAACCTGCCCAGCCCTGAGACATCATGTGTTCCTTCCTTCCACGTTCTGGCCATACTTTATAGCTCTCTTACCTCTACTGATGACAAAATGACCCCAACCCTGTCTGTGGACAAAGGCCAGCTCCCTCGGCCTGAAAGAGGACATGAGCGTTGCACCCCATAGTCAAATTTGACTGGACTTAACCGTCCAGGGATCCTTTACCTTTACCTATAAGTTAAATTGTATTATCCTTTGCTGCCCTGGGCTCCTTTGGGTGATGGCACAGGGCATAAATCTAATGAATAAATATTTTCCACAAAAATTGGAAACTTTCATTAATTGTTGCATGCTTGTGATGAGTCAGCTAAACCTCGACCAATTATTAGCATCCACACTCCTGCACAGATGAGCGGGGGAACTTCCTCTCTTGTCTGCCCCATCCGTACCCAAAGCCAGCTGGAAATTTGCCCGTCAGGGTGGAAGTGCTAAACCCCTTCCGACAATAAGAACTGTTATGCTCAGCTGAAATCATTATGAATGTGCATTTTAAAATCTAGGATCTTCCATGCTACTGTCAAACCAATTTATTTTTAAAGCCATTTTGATTCTGAGATGCTTATTCCACATAGCAGATATTACAGCCTTGATATCTAAGAAAGTATTATTTGTCTAAATGGAAATTCTCTCACACTGAATAAATAAAACTTCAACAGTAAATCATTTTAGAGGACCCCAAAGGAATGCTTTTGTCATTAAGATAGAATCACAGAATTGCAGAGTGGGAAGGGATGCCAGGGGTCATCAGGTCCAAGCCCCTGCAATGCAGGAATCTTTTGTCCAATGTGGGGCTCAATCCCATGACCCCAAGGTTAAGAGTCTCATGCTCTGCCAACTGAGCTATCCCAGTAGGTGTGTGTATATATGCACATTTATTATTATGGCATATATAGAGCCGCAATGACTGAAGATTTAAGAGTCTGAAAGCAACTAAGCTCTGTGTCTTTTAAATTTTTTCTAGAGGTTATGTTAAATACATAATTTCCAGTTTTCTTGGGGGGGGGGAACGAGTCTGAGCATCTCTCTAAATGCCCTCAGCTGATCTGGGAAGATAACAGAAGGTGTTCCACATGCAAAGGAATCCCTTACCTTTTGATCCATCCATAATTCCGCATAAGAAGATATATAAGGATCGCATTCCCATTTGCAGCAGTAGCTCATAACCATGATACAAACTAATACAAAGAGCAAAATCTCCTTCTATTGCGCCTTGTTGCATTCCCTGTGGAGACATCAGTTCCAGTGAGAAAGATTTGCACCCAAAAGGACTTGTACCATCATCCTTCCTACCAAATGTAGGCAAACAATATGGTAGAGGAACAAGAGTCTCTTCCTAGCCATGCTAGCGTGCTTTGTTGTTAAGGGTGATGGACTAGGACCTGGGAGACCAGGGTTCAAACCCCCCCCCCCCACTCAGCCACGAAGCTCACTGGGTTACCTTGGGCCAATCACCAGCTCTCAGCATAACCTACCTCACAGGGTTGTTGTGGGGATTAAATGGAGAGAAGGGAGAACTATGTACGCCACCTTTAACTTCTTGGAGGAAAGGTGGGATCTGTATGTTGGCATCCTTCTGTCTCAAGAGGCCTCTGGGGGTGATGACAAACTGCTGCATAAGCAGCATCAAAGTGACCTCTCTGGGGCACTCGACCAGGCACTGTGTCTGGAAGTCCTGGGCTGCTCAGACAACAAGACCCCTTCTTGGCTCCAAAGGAAAGCAGAGCAATACATTTGGCACCAGCTGGGCTGCAGGACTTGTCATAAGGAAGCGTAGAAGGCGCCACCCAACCGGCTTAGGGACTCCACCCTGGATTGTGTAAGGTTTACTCCTGAGCCTTTTCTTCTCCCAAAGACGTCCCACAAGGCAGCAGAGATTTAGGACCAGAGTTTTTCTTCTCCAAAGGTGGGATATATGAATAATAACCTTTAACTGTAGGTGCCAGGGGTTGAACACAGTGTGTACTGCCACTGAGCAACTGCCCTTTGCCCTTCCATGGAGCCAAGTCCCCCAAAGACACATGTGTGAGTCACTCCTTTCAAACTGCCTCCCTGCACCAGTGGCCCGGCTGAATGTCCTGCATCTGAATCACTTCTGAGAAAACCCATGGCCCAGACAACTCTTAATCCATGTAATATGTGGATCATTTGGATCCTCAAGCCAGTTTTCAGAATTAATTATTGCACCCTGGAAACATATTCTAAAAGCGAGAGCAGGGAGTTCTAGACCTCACCGTTTTCCTCCCTCTTTCCTAGACAGACCCCTAAGAATAATTCTGAGAATGGTGCAGTATATCGCTGCAGTGCCTTATTTTACAGGGATGCATGGAAATTAATGTGGATATTCATTGGTAAGAAGTACAAACAAGCTGGCACAGGGTAGTGGCTAAGCAACTGAGCTGTGCATTCAGATTAATCATATCTTTTTTATTTTTTTATTTATTAAATTTGTATATCACCCTTCATCCAAAGGTCACAGGGCGGTTCAGAACATAAAAACCATACCCAGGCTTAAACCTTGTCTGTCTAGTCAACCCACTGGGAGGTTCTTTTAGGTCAGCCACTTTCTTTCAGTCCAATAATGTGGGGGTGCTGCTGACGTGTTTGGGAAAGGTGGTTGCCCAATTTTTGAGAGAATGAACAGGAAGCCCTTCAAACACGCAAGATGTGCATTAAAGGGAAAGAGAGACAGACCCATGTGCTCAGAGAGATGCTGCTTCACTGCTTTTACCTTCAGCCAAACATTCTCTGATAAGAATATCATACTGCAGAGTAATATTTACCACAGTGCGTGAAGGGTTTTTCCTAAACTGATCCCGTGCTAGAATGATCTGATACTTAGTAAGTGCAGGAATTTCACGTTTAGACAAAACCTGGAGCCTAATCAGTCGGCCGGCAAATGTTTCCAGGACCTAAAAGTAAAACAAAGGACACAAAGGAAATTGGATGCATGTCACAATCACAGCCACACTGGGACCCGTACAGAAGAGGAAAGCCACCCTATTTCTGCCCCATTTAAATAAAACTTGATTCATTCCTCAGAAATATATTGCTGCGTATTTATGTAAAAAGCTTACATAAATGGCATACATTAGATGAAACGTAAGACTGTAAGACATTTTCTTTGGGAGGCAATTATTATTCCAGTTAAATAAGATTATTGATGCAATCACAATGTGATGGCTTAGGAAGAAACTCTGATTCCAAGGTGTTATGCTGAGGTGACCCTTTTAATTTTCTTGTGTTCAATCTCTTGACCCGGTTTTACGTAAAAGATATTGATATGGCCAGAATTCACCCTGCGTGTAACACTGTCTGCTCAAGTTATCTTTCACAAAACAAGCTAAAACAGATTATTAAAACAAACAGCAGGAGCCAGTCACCTGGAGCTTCAGACTGGAACTAATGAGTTCAACAAACATAACCTACTTAGAAACAACACAGTGGCCATCTTCACTCCGCTATCTTTGGCAATCTCCTCATTATTTTTACAGAAAGAATAAATGATGTAAGGAGGGAGCTGCAGCCCAAGATAGGAAGAGAGGTAGTAAGGGAACACCTAGCCACTTTAAATGAATTCAAATCTCCAGGGCCTGATGAGCTGCGTCCAAGGGTACTAAAGCACATGCTGTCCCCATCTTCAAAAGGGGGGGGGGGAAGGAAGACCCAGGTAACTACCGACCGGTGAGCTTGACACTGACACCAGGGAAGGTTCTAGAATTCAATGGTTGGTCTGTGGGCATTTAGAAAAGGAAGCTGTGATTACTAAGACCCAGCATGGGTTTCTCAAAAATAAATCATGCCAGACCAATTGATTTATTTCTTTTTTTAAATGGAATTACAAATTTGTTGAATCAGGGAAATGCTGTACACACAGTGTATCTTGATTTCAGTAAGGCTTTTGACAAAGTCCCCCATGATATTCTCGTGAGGAAGCTGGTAAAATGTGGGTTGAAGGAAGTAACTGTTTGGTGGATTTGTAGCTGGTTGACTGACCAAACCCACAGAGGACTCATTAATGGTTCCTCGTCATCCTGGGAAAAAGTGGCAAGTGGGGTGTCGCAGGGTTCTCTGTCCTGGGCCTGTTGTTGTTCAACGTCTTTATAAATGACTTGGATGAAGGAATTGAGAGGATGCTCATCAAATTTGCAGATGACACCAAACTGGGAAGGGTAGCTAATGCTGCAGAAGACAGACTCAGAATCCAAAATGGCCTTAACAGATTGGAGAACTGGGCGCAAGCCAACAAAATGAATTTCAATAGGGACAAATGTCAGGTTCTGCACTTAGGCAGGAAGAACCAGATGCACAAATGTAAGATGGGGGATACCCGGCTTACTAGCAGTACATTGACTGTAGCAAAGGGTCTCAGATTGCCATCTTGGCTAACTCCAATTCCAATTAAACTTTTTATTGCACTAGCCATAGGCCATGGCATCATTCAGAAGGAGAACAAAAAGAAAAAAGAAAAACAACAACAATAACCATAACCATAAAAAACATCGGGCACAGACATACAATAAAACCATGGTGAAGATATGATGCTGCCATAACTATTTAAGACACATGTGGACTGGTGGCAACCCATTCTGGCTAAGTTCTACGCCTACATAAATGATACAGCTCAAATGCCAGCTGGTTGGAAATTGAACATCATCGTGCCAATCTACTAGCAGTACATGTGAAAAGGATCTAGGGGTCTTGGTGGACCACAAGCTTAACATGAGTCAACCGTGTGATGCAGCAGCAATAAGAAAAAGCTAATGCTATTCTAGGTTGAATCAACAGAAGTATAGTGTCCAGACCAAGGGAAGTAATAGTACCACTCTATTCTGCCTTAGTCAGACCACATCTGGAATACTGTGTCCAATTTAAGGAGGATGTTGACAAGCTGGAAGGTGTGCAGAAGAGGCTGACCAAGATGATCAAGGTTCTGGAATCTAAGCCTTATGAGGAGCGCTTGAAGGAGCTGGGGATGTTTAGTCTGGAAGAGGGGAGACTGAGAGGAGATATGATAGCCATCTTCAAATATTTTGGGCTACAACTTGAATCAGGCCCCCTCCCCCGCAGAGCACCATAAAATCAGTCTAAGGACAGGATTCTGCCTACATTTTTCAAACCTTTTTTATGGAATGGAGGCTGGGAAATGGATGCAGCATGCTTGCCCAGCACTACCTTCTTCACATAATTGCACATGATTGATACAGGAGACTCGTGATTAAAAATGGGCTTTGTGCAGGACTTATTCAAGGCCAAGTTCCCTGTACTATTGAATTACTATTCTAAAAACAGCTATTCAGGTACAGTGGTACCTCAGGTTAAGAACTTAATTTGTTCTGGAGGTCCGTTCTTAACCTGAAACTGTTCTTAACCTGAAGCAGCACCACTTTGGCTAATGGGGCCTCCTGCTGCCGCCACACCACTGGTGCACGATTTCTGTTCTCATCCTGAGGTAAAGTTCTTAACCCAAGGTACTATTTCTGGGCTAGTGGAGTCTGTAACCTGAAACGTCTGTAACCTGAGCTACCACTGTACCAGCTATGAATATATTTGTTCATTTACAACCAACCAGTTGATGGTTTTTGACTGAAAAGGTTGAACACGCAGAACTGGGGGAATTATGAGTATGACTCCAACTTGCAGTCACGGTAACAGATGAATGATGGTGCCCTCAGGCTAAAGGATGTCCTTTCTTCCATGGCAGCCACACAAGGAAAAACAGGGCAAGTCAACACTGGTTACATCCTTTTACACCTTCAAACTGTGAAGCATCCTCCTTTTTTCCCTCCCTGGAAGCTGAGGCTGAGAAGAAGTCCAGTTGCACAGTGCAGATAACTGAGTCAGCTCCCTGTGTGATCAAGTTCAGCTTGGCAGCCTCCAAATGCCAGCAGCCTCCTCCACTATGTTGATGAGTCAAGATGGCAGGATGCCATGTCAATTTCAGAGCAGCACACACATGTTGACACATTGCAAAACAGACTGAGGATCTACTTGTCAGTCTGATATGGCAACATGGACTATTTTTGTTTCTGCTCCCTCCAACTTGCCTGGCTTTCTCTTTCCAGTTTGTGCAGAGGGGAACAAAGAGGGAAGAGCTGCTAAGTACCACTTTCCTATAAAGCATCACACTCAGAAACCCAATATTCTGTTCGCCCTGAGACCTCTGGGTACAGGGCGGTATATAATCGCCCTGAGACCTCTGGGTATAGGGCGGTATATAAATTCTAACAACAAGAAGAACATTAGAAAGAGGCATCTCTGCTTTGGAGGGAAATGAAGGAACTGTCAAATCCACTTCCCTAGAAAAATGCATATCTTGGCTGAGTGGGGATGTGAACCCTAATCTCCTAGGCCTAACCACTCTAATCACTACACCACTCTGCCTCAAATTATTTGCATTTAAAGGGCAACTTTGCGAAGGACCATCACTAACCCCCGTCTTTAATCCTGGATAGGGTGCATGGACAGGGCCAGGGCAAGAGGCTCACGCCAGTCAGTCCACTGCCTCCTATGACCCCACAAACAAAGGGAGGTTTTCAAAAATAACGGAGGAGCTTCCTTCTGTCAAAGGAATGTCCTCTACTCCACCTAGGGAGAAGCAAAGCAAAGCAGAAAGCAAGGTAGCCAGCAGAAAATGGGGAATAAGAAGTACTCTGAGCACACACACCCCTGCTTCCTTTCATTGCCTTTATAATTTATTTATATTTATTTCATTTATATCTCGCTTTTTCCTCCAAGGAGCTCAAGGTGCCATACTTGGGTCTGTTGGCCGAAGCCCAGGGGCCGGGCAGAGCCCTGGACGGCTGTCCCTGCTGCCTCTCTCCCTTTCACGGGACAGCCAAGAACAAAGGCTCGCAGTCCAAGCCCCGATCTGCCCAGAAGCAGCCGACTGCAATGCACATGGGAAGGGGGTGCTTCATTTATGGCATTTTCCTCCGAGGCGGTGCACGCACTTCTTCCCCTTCTCCATTCCATCCCATCACCACAAGGACCTTGCGAGGTAGGCTGGTGGTGGCGGCGGCGGAGGCAGGAGACCACCCTTTCATTCCTGGGGGTGGAGTGGGGGGCTTGCTGGGAGCCCCTTGGCACCGGGGAAGGGAGTGCCGATCCCCGGATTCCCTAGGGAGCGGGGCTGGGGGCCACAGGCTCGCGCCCTGGCCGGGCACCTGCAGGCTCCTCCCGAGTCCGACGTGCCTGGAGGGCGGTGTCGCCGCGGCTGCCCGGGCGGACAGGCCCCCTCCCCTCCGCTGGGCAGGGCAGCTTAAGAAAGCAAGCGCCGCCTCCGCGCGATCCAGCCGGCCATGGAGAGCGAAGCGCGCACTTGCCGCCTGAGCGGCGGCGGCGACCCGGCCCCCCCGGGCGCCATCACGCTGGAGGAGCTGGAGAGCGCCGGGGCGGCCGGCGGGGACGAGGCGGAGGAGGCGGCGGCGCCGGGGGCGGCCGGCTGCCCGGACTCGGCGTACGGCAGCAGCCTGGAGGACAACGCCGGCGACGAGCAGGAGCAGGAGCGCCTGCTGAGCTACTGGCAGAGCGTGGGCCGCGGGCACCGCGTGGACGTGCCCAGGGGTAAGCCAGGGGGAGCCAGCCGGGCTCCGGGACCGGGCAGCGCGCTCCCGCCTTGGCGCAAAAGGCGCGGACTTCCCTCGCGCTCCGGCGAAGCCTCTCGCCAGCGGTTTCAGGGGCTTTCGGTTTGAAAAGGATTAGCTTGGAAAGCGGGGGGAGCTGCTCGCCGGCAAGCGCCTGCTCCGCGTTTCCAACGGCGCTTGCAAGGAACGGGCTCCGGGGAGCAGGAGCGTCAGGAAGGGATCCCTTCCCTGGCAGGCCGCCGTCTTCGCCAGCTGTTTCCCATTCACCATCAGGAGGAAGTTAAGGCTGCTTTCAGCTTTGGTAGAGGGAATCTAAGGAAGGGGATGGAGCCGGTGTCCTGAGGAAAAGCGGCAGCATGGGGGGGGGGGGTTAGTTTAGAGAAAAGGCAAGTGAGAGAAGCCTACAAAACTAGGCAAGGAGAGCGTGGACAGAGAGGAAAGTTTTTCTCCCTCTCTCCGTACAATAGAATTCGTGGGCATCCAATGAAGCTGAATGTAGGAAGATTCAGTTCCGATAAAAGAGCACACAGAGTTACAGCGTGGAACTCCCTCCCATAGGACACAGGGAGGGCCACCAACTTGGATGGAATGAAATGAGGATTAGACAAATTCATGGAAGAGGAGAGGGCTACCCTGGCTACTAGCAGCAGTTCTGAATGGCAGCTGGCGGAGGCCACAGGAGGGGAGAGTGGGGCTCATGTGCTCAAATCCAGCTTGTGGGTTCCCCACAGGCCTCTGTTTGGCCACTGTGAAATGCTGGACTAGATGGGCCATCCGCCTAATTCAGCAGGCTCTTCTTGCGATTACAACAGGATGGGCACCTTTTGCCACCTGCTCATTTATGTTTGTCACTCAGCGTGTTTCCAAGCCATGAAATTAGTTCCTCCCACCACGGAGTTTCCAGAGAGTTCATTTGATGGAAGGGTGAGGAGAGATGGTGTGCCAAAGTGTAGGACTGTGCACTGGCCAATGTTACCCTGCAAGTCTGCAGTAGGAATTGCCTTGCTGTGTAAGAGAACCACCCAGTTTAGCCCAGTAATCTGCCTACAACGGGTGATGCCCTGCCCAGCTCTGTAGGAGGAACACCTCATACTATTTGCCCAAGCTAATACGATCTGCTGTGGCTGCAGCTCTCCATGGTCTTAGGGGAAAGAAAGGTCTTCCACATCTCCTTCCACCTGATCCTTTCAGCTGGAGAAGCCGCCTGGGATTGAACTTTCTGCACACAAAACAGATGCTCTAAGCCCCTCCCCAGAGATGATCATTGCCCCCAGCACCTACAAATGTGATCTTTGGTGCTGCTGAAATTGGATGCTCCATCCTTGGCTATTACGATTAATATCCACTGACAGATACATCTCCCACTAATTGTTTAATCCTTTTTGAAAACCATCTAAGTACACACACCCCGGCTGACACTTAATGCTATTATTGGTTTGACATCACAGAACTACAGTGAGGGCTGAAGCTGGCCAAAGGTTTCAAAAATGCTCCGCAAGGAAACCCAGAAAGGTGTATTAGTAGCTCTGAGGGGAGTCTGGGGTGGCGGAAGCGCATCAAATTATGGCAATGGAGCAGGATACTCTGCTCATCACAACTTAAGATCACAGAAAGTACCGGTGAAGAGAAACTAGAACTATTATATACAGGGAAATAACAGACCAATGCTCTAGCACATAATGGCAAAATCCTGCTTACCACACTGCAAGTGGACATAAGCATCAAAGTTACTTTGGGGTGGGAGGTGTTTACTACCTTCCACAAGGCAAAGACTGTCCAGCCACTTGGCCTCAAGAGATGAATATATTCTATCATAACTCAACACACCTATGACTTAAGTGTCGTCCTACAATGAAAGCTTTAATGGACGATCAGTAGCCCTCTGATGGGGGGGTGTGTGTGTGTGTCTGAGAAGTCTCCCTCCAAGCCATGCCCAATTATTAAAACACCAATGAAAGGTCACAAGGTGACAACAAACTGCTTCAGTTATGGTTGTAACACAGCCCACTCTTAAGCATTCGATGGCACAGCAAAAATCAGAGCCATATGAACCAAGCATGGCACCAACCACTGCTTCTCCCCAATGGAGACAGAAAAGTGGTTTGACGTTGGCTTGGTTAGCAACACAATTGGTTATAGTAATTAAAGGTTAGTTAATGGAGCAATCTTACAACTAAGGTCCTGTGCAGAGATGTCATCCATACCAGTCTGTAATGTCTATGTCTTGTACATATTTGCTGTGCTAATGCATTACAGTGGTGCCTCGCAAGACGAAATTAATTCGTTCCGCGAGTTTTGTCGTCTTGCGATTTTTTTCGTCTTGCACGGTGTCGGGAAAGTTTTGGAAAAGCTTCAAAAATCACCAAAGTCTTTAAAAACCTCAAAAAAGGCTACCACACCGCGTTCTATGAGTTGCTCCTCGAAGTCAAGTCGCAACTGTATTAACGGTGTTAAGAAAAAGGAAACAAACTTGCAAGACGTTTCCGTCTTGCAAAGCAAGCCCATAGGGAAAACCGTCTTGCGAAGCAGCTCAAAAAACAAAAAACCTTTCGTCTAGCGAGTTTTTTGTCTTGCGAGGCATTCGTTTTGCGAGGTACCACTGTACACTGAACTAAAAGTCACATAGACCAGTCAAAAAAAGTTATGCAAATATTGCAATTAATTTTACTTTGGCATCAAAACAAAACTAGCTGGTTGTTCTTAAGTCCAATAAATATTAGTGTATCTTGGAAATAAGCCTTTTCCAAACTGTTCTAGTCTTACTACCTGTGTTCTCACCCACATAAGAATTTTCATATGTGAATCAGGCATATTTACTTCTATAAACAACAATTTAATCACGTTCTTACAGATATGGCAGAGCCAATCCAACAGCTGACCAGAAATAACCATCCTCAGGAGAGAGAAAGTGTTCCATTTGTTGTGATAGCCCGTAAAGAACAGGTATCATCTCTTCATTAAAATACACCTTCGTGCATTATAGCAAGAGTGGGAAGAGAAACAGGCATGGTTTCTACTTTTGTTTATCTAACAAGCAGTCAAATTTAGTGAATGGAAAGTGGTCTGAAAACTAGTTTTTAAAAGCTCTCTTTGTTCCTTCCCAATTTTAATTGTGCTTTTTAAAAAAAAATGTTCCCTACCTAACATGTTCTAACCCTACTGCAGAGAGAAAAATGCACTTTTTCTTACTTTAGGTGATTAAATATAGAAATGCAACTTTAAATAATTCATATGTTTAAAATTTAAGCTAAATCCCAGCATGACAGAGGTGCTATTGGTGAGATGGGGTTCTGGAAGGGGGTTGTACCCTCCCAGAGGGACTGCATGCTCAGTTTAGGGGTGCGCACAAGTCATCATTGTCAATGGATGCACAAGTGGTCTCAAAGGCATGAAATAATGGTCAGCTATAGCTAATATTCCCCATTGGTACCCTAGCCTCATGGAGAAAGGTACCCTAGCCTTAGCTGTAGTCTGGTAACCCTTGGGTTGGATGAGTTCTTCTCAGCCTAGCTGCATTCTGAAAGACCAAGAGGGCAGGTAGACTGTGTATATATGAACAAATTCTGTGTTATGAATTACCCTAACCAGCTATCACAAATATTGATTATTTCTGAACGCGTTTACCCCTTTCAGAGCCAAACTCACAGTCTACAACAGTGGTGGATGTTAAATACTGGTAGAAGTAAAAGCTTTCCTGAAGGCCCACCACCTGTGTGCCTTAGTCTTCCTTTAACACTTTAACTCACCTTAGGGTGGTGGTATGTGGGTAATAAATTATAATAATAACAGCAATTTTGAAAATTTACAGCTTGGGAATCTTCTTTATGAAAAACGCCACTATGAAAAGGCGAAATGGGCTTGCGTCAAAGTGCAAGAAAAGCAGTATGAACAGAGCATATGCCTAGGATTCATGAAGATTATGAGATACATTTGTCAGCAGAATTCATCAGGTAAATAATCAACTGTCAGACACACATACTACACTATCTTTTGTTCTGACTGCACCACATTACTTATAAATGCGCCATTTGATCCTGCAAGGAGAATTCCCAAATGCAAAATTTCCCAAGGCTGCAAAATTTGATTCCGCATATGTGATTTAACTTCACAACTAGCTGACAGGTAATGTCAGGAAATTACTAATGACGCTATGCTTTCCTCAGGCCTATACTTGGGGATGACTGTTCCCATTGCAACCATAGTTCGCACCAGTGAGAGCACTCCAGGCATCACGAGATTTGTGACTGTAGCATATTACCTCCCCAGTGGGCTGCAAGAACAGCCACCTGCACCCAATGATCCGGATGTTGTCATTGAAGAGTGGCCTCCAACCGTTATTTATGCCAGGTAAGAATCAAAAGTTGCCTATCTAAGTGCCAGGGTTGATTAGCTGAAAATCTCATCATCATGACACATTCTTTTCCACGGATTCATTCCAAACACTGAACAATTCAAAACCAAAATCCTTTCATCCAAATACTCAGCGTTTCATGTTTACTTTTGCTTAGAGTTCTGTCATTACAGTTGTGAAGTCCAGTTCAGATTTAACGATCTTGGCTGAATAAATTCATGGTTTATTAGGCAAAGAATGTACTGAGCTGGTTTGCATGTAGTTACAGTACTTACAGTTTAAGACACAAGCTGGAATTAGACTGAGCAAAGCCTTCATGCTCACACTGTCCTACAAACCTAACTGCAGCTTGAAATATACAAAGTGATACGGTTCCTTTGTGCTACTTAACCTTGGCTGTGAGTCCTGCAACAGCTGCTCCCTGCCTTGCTGGTCTTTTTCCACCTGGCCTGAGAGGGCAGGGCCCGGACTGACTCCAACTGCAGCAAAAGCTGAGGCTGCTGAACAGAATCTTGAGCTGGAGTGTTGTTTAGGGGTCGCTGGGGTGGGAGGTTATTGCTGTTAGAAATAAAATGATCATGAAGGTTTGCATGTCATGCCAAACCAAGGCTTTGCATGTTGTCTGAACTGGTCACATGGTGAAACTCTCTTCACTAACCATGAGCTGTAACCACAGTTTTTTCTCGCACCTGGAAAGGAGCTAAGCCCCTTTTGACCTCACCTCTGGGAACTCTCACACTCTCAGTAAGCCTAGTTTGGCTTAGTGTGACAAACCAGGCAAATGTGCGATTATAGGTAACTAATTTTAATTAAGCAAGGAGCAGTCTGAGACAAAACCAAGCAAGTGTTAAGACCTTGTCAGGTATCTTGGCTCCAGCTACACAGTGCCTTCTGGATATTTCTTTAAGTTGATGAAAAAGCAGGCTATGTTTGTTTAAGCACATTTGTATCCTGGTTTTGGGCTTCTAAAGCAGCTTAACTATAACTACCAACACACACACCAACTAAAATATCAGTCTGGAAATCACTCACTCAACTAATTCTTTCTCCCTCTTCTACCCTGCAGCCCCTTGCTACCCTCCCCAGCCCCACTCAAAAGCCTCTCCAGAGGGTCAAAGCTGGCTGCCCAGACCCTTTGGAGGAGCTTTTTATGGGAGAGGGCAGGAGGGGAGGGGAAGATTGGTTATGCGAGCTGCCTTCTACTCACCCTAAATTTATTTAAAATTCTATTTTCATTACTGAAATGTTTGCTATTCTGGGTTCCCATGGGAGGAAGGACACCAGACTATAAGTGTAGAATATCTGTATCAAATAGTTGTGTGGAAACAAACACAAAAATCAACAAGCACTGAGAATGATACATGGCATGCAGAATTCAGCCTCTAACAATCTCAACACTCTCCCCAGCCCACTATGTGTGTGTGCACGCACATATATAATATAAACAGAGAAATGGGTAGTTTCTAGCGTTTGTGACTTCAGGGATCTTGTTGATGTCATGGTCCCACTTTCAATCTACAATCAAGGGATTGCTGTAAGTCTAAAACGAATAAAATATTATTTTAAAATGGCTTGTTCACAGGGCCTTCAGAGGAGTCACCAACGAAACGTCCATTGCAAGAGAAATTAATATGCTGGCCGAACTTCTGGAGAGTCCTGAGCTGTGTTTGCAAGATACCTTCATAGTTGCAGGATACACAAATCCAGCTGCTACAAATCGACAGAACGAAATATGGTTTCTTGAAAGACCATAGCTGGCTATTTTTTGAGCTACAAGACAGCCAAGCTCCATTGACGGATCACCCATGAAACACGCAAGTGAACTCTAGTCAGCTAGCTGGAATGATCAAGAATGATATGTAGCCATTAACTTTATAAAGCCTATTTCCTAAGAAAACACGAATATCACATTCCACCAGCATAGCCTGACAGACAAACCAGCTTCCTTCCTCAGCAATTAAGAAGGCAAACTTGGAGTGTCTGTTGCCAGTTTTGAAGGGTTTTTCCTAGTTGTTGCTTCAGTTATGTATAGTCACTACAATTTCAAGCACTTTCACCAAAATTAAGACACAGGAGATATTCTGTATTAAGAGAAATAAAGTGTTCTGTTCCCTTGGCATCCCTCCCAACTCTACACTCCTGTGATTCTTCCCAGTATTTATTCTGACATGCAAAAGTGCTTCACTAACTCAATGGAAGTTGAAGTTGTAGGTAAAACTGCACAATTTCTGAACATTTTATCTGATGCTACACAGTCGCCATTCATTTGAGAGAGGCTACAGAGGTAGCTCCACCAAAATGAACTGCATTGTCTGTAAGCAAATAATACCCTAGCAGATGCTAACAGTAATTATTCCTCATTATTACACAAGTTTATTTTTATAGATACAATGCTATTGACTATTTTCTTCTGAATATCTAATATAGGTGAACAGAAATTGCTACCTCCTTTATCAACAGAAGTAGGGTTTTATTGTATAGTGGTACCTCTGGTTGCGAACGGGATCCGTTCTGGAGGCCTGTTCGCAACCTGAAAAGAACGCAACCCGCGTCTGCGCGGGTCGCGATTCGCCGCTTCTGCTCATAACGTCATTTTGCACGTCTGCACATGAGCGAGCGGCGAAACCTGGAAGTAACCCTTTCTGGTACTTCCAGGTCGCAGCGGGAGGCTGACTGAAAACGTGCAACCTGAAGCAAACATAACATGAGGTATGACTGTATACATTGTTGGTATCTTGGCTGTGAGTCCTGGAAGACTTGTTCCCTGCCCTGCAGGCCTTTTTCCACCTGCCCTGGTAGGGCGAGGCCCGGACTGACTCCAGCTACAAAAGCTGAGGCTGCTGAACAGACTCTAGAGGGTTTTGTTGGAGGTGGGGTGTTGCTGTTAATTTTTTGTATCTTTATTTTGGTTCATACAGTTTGTGTGGCAATTGTTCAGTTTGGTTGTGTACTTTTTGATGTTTTGTTTATTGTTTATGACTACTTTTGTTATGTTTTTAGCTATGTATTTTTTATATGTTGTAAGCCACCTTCAGCACAGTTTAAACTTTGCTAGCCCACAAGCAAATAAAATGATTGACTGATATTTAATTTGAAGGATTATCAGAAGGAAATTTCACATTCTGAAAATACCATGTTTTTACTCATTTTGAAATTATCCACTTAGCCAACTAGGATACAAAATGAAATCTTTTGTAAGTCGTATTAAAAAAAAAACTAATTCAAGTCTAGAAATAATAAAGCTGGAATCCTAATTGCTAATTTACCTGTGAAAGATATACGTCATATATTGTTTACTGTTGGAAGTTGCCATGAATAAAAACTTTATTGCTCTGTGTTATCCCGAGTTTATTATTTATTTCATAAATTTACACACCATTTGATTGCAACCTAAAAGCAATTTTGATATATTAGTTAAGTCACCGGCATCTTTTTCTAAAAAAAGTTAGCAAAGCGTCCAGGTGAACTTTTGTTGCTCTCAGTTTCCCCACTTGTACTGGATACCTTCCTCTATTTCAACACCACAGACAGAATTTTATAAAAATAATCAGTAAAATTACTTGTATTGGAAGAGGAACGCATTGTACAACCTGGATAATATGGAACGGAGACTTTAATTTCAGCAAGTCATATTAGATAGGAAATGGGCATAGAACTTGGCAATATAGTTGTCTAGGGTCACCTGGCCCGCCTCCCCAGTCAGGTGGGAGCATTGCAAAAGTTTCCTGCATTGCAGGGGGTTGGACTAGATGACCCTCAGGGTCCCTTCCGACTCTACAATTCTATTATTAAGGAGCTCGGGTTATGGAGCGATCCTCAGAAACTATTTTCAATAGCCCACATGCCCCAGGCTTACAGAGCAGCTGCCACTATGTGCTTGTAAACTACCAACCTGGGGATGTATCATACCAATTCCATTTAGCACCCACAAGTACAAAAAAAAATTGAACAACTGGCCTCTACAAGTTCTCTGAAAGGAACTGCTCTTTTTGCAGCTGTTCTCCCATCTGTCACTGCACACCTGTCTTTAACCCTACACAGACACAGAGCCTCAAGGTAGACTCCGCTAAAACGCACACAGAAATCAAACAAAAGCTCTGTAGAAGACAGTAAAGGTGGCCTGAAATACCTCTGCATCACACTATTACTTGCTCAATGCACTTTTATGTTTTGTGTGGCTTTTCAGCAATGATGGCTTCATTTCAAGACAGGCTCATCTGAGACTGAGACACAAAAAGCAACAATACCACTTGCATTCTTTCACCACCCAAGAAAAACCAGGACAATGCCCATAATCCCTGCCAGCAGAAGATCCCAACCCCAGTTGGCTATGTAATATACACTGGTCAGATTGGAGCTCCAAAGGCCACTTTCTCCTAGGGACAGGACCCACTTAAGGAAAATAGGATGACAGTTTCCTAAGGCTTCTTCACTGCATTCTTACAAGGAAGCCAACACTAGAAGCGTCCACTCAGATGCCATTTAGTGAGAGACTAAAACCAACCGTCATGATCAGGTACCAGTGACATTTTTGAAAGATTAAAGCAGCACTTGGAAAACAAATCCAAAAACAAATCCAGTTACAAAAGCGAAGCTGACCTTCTGTTTCACAGAACGAAGAGACCTCTTTAGAAGAACAAAAACAAGCTGCTTTCAACAAATGTTTCACCACCATTTCTGAAGTCCTGCCTGCTGCCATTCTTACCCACTCAATACGAAGTTTCTGACTCACCTTGATGTAAGCATTACGAACTTCAGCCAGCTCCTTCCCAAGTGGAACAACACATTTTTCAACCTGCCGCTGGTGAGTGTAAGGCTGGATATCAGGAGAATCTTCAGTACATAGTTCTATGTGTGAAATCAGCAGGTTGGAAATAACTTGTTGCACAGCCTGCAAAGAAATCGTAAAAAAAATACCATCTGGCTGTATTTTACTTAGCATCATGTTAGCACAGTAAAAATCGGGCATACAGTAGCGCCTGGGTTACCTTGCCCTCGGGTAACGTAAACTTCAGGTTGCAAAAGCGGCAAACCCGGGAGTGCCCCCCCCCCCACGCACGCATGCGCAGAAGTGGTCTACCACCGCGCGCATGCGTGTAACAGTGATCCTCAGGTTGTGAAAACCTCGGGATCCAGACGGACCTCCGGAACAGATCCCATTCGCAACCGGAGGTAGCAATGTAGTTTAATGTAGATACTATATATTATTATATATTACACTGTATCAGGGGTGTACAACTTCCGAGAGACTGAGATCTGCTCCCACTATAAATAAACTGGCAGTGATCTACCCATTGGAATGACCAGAGCTGAGATTTTTTTGGAAAGAAGGACCAAAGTTGTTGAGTTGTTGGACAGGCCTGCACTATATCATCTAACATTCCTAGGTTAGATTAATAGTATTATCACAAGGACACACGTCCAGCATTCTCTTCTCACACCCGCCAACCAGTTGTCCCAAAGGCCTTGAGCAGGACAGAAGCCCTCTCCCACCTCACAATTCCCAGCAGCTGGCATTCAGAGGTGCCACGGATGGTGCAAGTGGAACACCAGCTGACTGGGGGCTTCAGCGAGATTTATTTATTGATTGATTTTATATACCGCCCTATCCCCTTCATGGATCACTGCCTTGCCGTGGCGAAGGGGCTTGAAGAACTCAAAGAAGCTATGAACTATGCCGAGCAGGGCACCCAAGATGAACAGATCATAGTGGAGAGTTTTGACCAAACGTGATCCACCTGGAGGAGGAACCGGCAAGCCACTCCAGTATCCCTGCCAAGAAAACTCCATGGACAAAGGCAACAGGTATATAAAAGTTATGACGCTGGAAGATGAGCCCCTCAGGTCGGAAGGCGTCCAACATGCTACTGGGGAAGAGCGGAGGACAAGTACAAGTAGATCCAGAGCTGATGAAGCGGCTGGGCTAGAGCCGAAAGGACGTTCAGTTGCGGAAATGCCTGGAAGCGAAAGGAAAGTCCAATGCTGTAAAGAAAAATATTGCATAGGAACCTGGAATGTAAGAACCATGAACCTGGGTAAGTTGGATGTGGTCAAAAATGAGATGGCAAGAATAAATATTGACATCCTGGGCATCAGTGAACTAAAATGGACGGGAATGGGCGAATTCAGTTTGGATGACCATCATATCTACTACTGTGGGCAAGAAACCCGCAAAAGAAATGGAGTGGCCCTCATAGTCAACAAAAGAGTGGCGAAAGCAGTACTGGGATGCAATCTCATAAATGATAGAATGATCTCGATACGAATCCAAGGCAGACCTTTTAACAGAACAGTAATCCAAGTTTATGCACCAACTACTGGTGCTGAAGAAACTGAAATTGACCAATTCTATGAAGACTTACAACACCTTATAGAAGTGACACCAAAGAAGGATGTTCTTCTCATTATAGGGGATTGGAATGCTAAAGTAGGGAATCAAGTGATAAAAGGAACAACTGGCAAGTTTGGCCTTGGAGAGCAAAATGAAGCAGGGCAAAGGCTAATAGAGTTCTGTCAAGAGAACAAGCTGGTCATCACAAACACACTTTTCCAACAACACAAGAGACGACTCTACACATGGACATCACCAGATGGGCAGCATCAAAATCAGATTGATTATATTCTCTGCAGCCAAAGATGGAGAAGCTCAATACAGTCAGCAAAAACAAGACCTGGAGCTGACTGTGGCTCAGATCATCAGCTTCTTATAGCAAAATTCAAGCTTAAACTGAAGAAAGTAGGAAAAACTACTGGGCCGGTAAGATACAATCTAAATCAAATCCCTTATGAATACACAGTGGAAGTGAGGAACAGGTTTAAGGATTTAGATTTGCTAGACAGAGTGCCTGAAGAACTATGGATGGAGGCTCGCAACATTATACAGGAGGCAGCAACGAAAACCATCCCAATGAAAAGGAAATGCAAGAAAGCAAAGTGGCTGTCCAATGAGGCCTTACAAATAGCGGGGGAGAGAAGGCAAGCAAAATGCGAGGGAGATAGAGAAAGATACAGGAAACTGAATGCAGATTTCCAAAAAATAGCAAGGAGAGATAAGAAGGCCTTCTTAAACAAGCAATGCAAAGAAATAGAGGAAAACAACAGAATGGGAAGAACCAGAGATCTGTTCAAGAAAATTGGAGATATGAAAGGAACATTTCGTTCAAAGATTGCCATAATAAAGGACAAAAGTGGTAAGGACCTAACAGAAGCAGAAGACATCAAGAAGAGGTGGCAAGAATACACAGAGGAATTATACCAGAAAGATATGGATGTCTCGTACACCCCAGGTAGTGGGGTTGCTGACCTTGAGCCAGACATCCTGGAGAGTGAAGTCAAATGGGCCTTAGAAAGCACTGCAAATAACAAGGCCAGTGGAAGTGATGGTATTCCAGCTGAACTATTTAAAATTTTAAAAGATGATGCTGTTAAGGTGCTACACTCAATATGTCACCAAGTTTGGAAAACTCAGCAGTGGCCAGAGGATTGGAGATCAGTCTACATCCCAATCCCAAAGAAGGGCAGTGCTAAAGAATGCTCCAACTACCGCACAATTGCACTCATTTCACACGCTAGCAAGGTTATGCTTAAAATTCTACAAGGAAGGCTCAAGCAGTATGTGGACCGAGAACTCCCAGAAGTGCAAGCTGGATTTAGAAGAGGCAGAGGAACCAGAGACCAAATTGCAAACATGCGCTGGATTATGGAGAAAGCTAGAGAGTTCCAGAAAGACATCTACTTCTGCTTCATTGACTATGCAAAAGCCTTTGACTGCGTCGACCACAGCAAACTATGGCAAGTTCTTAAAGAAATGGGAGTGCCTGATCACCTCATCTGTCTCCTGAGAAATCTCTATGTGGGACAAGAAGCTACAGTTAGAACTGGATATGGAACAACTGATTGGTTCAAAATTGGGAAAGGAGTACGACAAGGCTGTATATTGTCTCCCTGGTTATTTAACTTATATGCAGAATTCATCATGCGAAAGGCTGGGCTGGATGAATCCCTAGCCGGAATTAAGATGGCTGGAAGAAATATCAACAACCTCAGATATGCAGATGACACAACCTTGATGGCAGAAAGTGAGGTGGAATTAAAGAACCTTTTATTGAGGGTGAAAGAGGAGAGCGCAAAATATGGTCTGAAGCTCAACATCAAAAAAAAGATCATGGCCACTGGTCCCATCACCTCCTGGCAAATAGAGGGAGAGGAAATGGAGGCAGTGAGAGATTTTACTTTCTTGGGCTCCATGATCACTGCAGATGGTGACAGCAGCCACGAAATTAAGAGACGCCTGCTTCTTGGGAGGAAAGCAATGACCAACCTAGACAGCATCTTAAAAAGTAGAGACATCACCTTGCCAACAAAGGTCCGTACAGTAAAAGCTATGGTTTTCCCAGTAGTGATGTATGGAAGTGAGAGCTGGACCATAAAGAAGAATCGCCGAAGAATTGATGCTTTTGAATTCTGTTGCTGGAGGAGACTCTTGAGAGTCCCATGGACTGCAAGAAGATCAAACCTCTCCATTCTGAAGGAAATCAGCCCTGAGTGCTCACTGGAAGGACAGATCCTAAAGCTGAGGCTCCAAGACTTTGGCCACCTCCTGAGAAGAGAAGACTCCCTGGAAAAGACCCTGATGTTGGGAAAGATGGAGGGCAGAAGGAGAAGGGGACGACAGAGGACGAGATGGTTGGATAGTGTCTTCGAAGCTACAAACATGAGTCTGACCAAACTGCGGGAGGCAGTGGAAGACAGAAGTGCCTGGCGTGCTCTGGTCCATGGGGTCACGAAGAGTCGGACACGACTAAACGACTAAACAACAACAACAACAACACCGCCCTATACCCAGATATCTCAGGGCAGTTCACAGAAAAGATCAACATAAAAACCACAAAATATATAATCAAAATAAAAACAACCCAATAATTCCCCCCTCCTAAAAAGAGCCACATTTTAAACCAACATAGGATGCCAAAGCAAGCCCCTTCATCCCCAGGTCCTTGGATTAACAGAACTTGAATTACCTTTGTGTCACTGCCAGGAGTGGCACTTAGAGCCAAAATACGGAACTGCCGTGTATATTTGCATAATTCTTTCACAACCTGAAGAAAGAAATAAAATTTCAACCAGACAGGCTCCCAAATGACATGCGAAAGCCCTCCTAGTTCACACCAAAAGCTCAACTAGAGCAGCATTTTATTTATTTTTCATTGGTTTACTGTTTCTGGCATACCGGGGGGGGGGGGTGTTGGGGAGAACAAACAATATCTCCTGGCTTGGATGCAACGCTAATCCAGGGTTCATGGTCGGTTTCTTCTATATGCTAAGAGAAAGAGACCAGCAGCACAGAAAGCCACGTTGATTGCAAAGCTCTACTTGTTTACTGTGACCTGTGAAGTGGGGATTGAGACAGCTAGCTTTTGCTTCCCAGTTAAATCACAGGACCTCAGAGCCCTCTAGAGGCACAAGACAGGCATCCATCTGATACTTCTGCTGCTAAACTTCTTGTAAATATTGCAATAAGAAAACCCAAAAGTACAGTGTTTTTTTCTGCATAATACAGCATATGAAAGACTTCAAGTTAAAAACAACCTTTCAGGAGACAAACTTCATTTACTCACTACTCTTCCACTTGTTCAGAATGGATTACTTGGAGTCTCCAAAACCTTATTCAGTTAGGAACCAACAAGGCTGGGACCTGGTTAGTTTTAACAAAATTAACAGCAACTAAAATGTTTTTTTGAACCCCTTGCTTCATGGCATTTTTAATATCACTTTTAAAGCAAGGATGTGACATACATAAATCCTCAGAAAGTCATAATCAAACCCCTTACCACGGATCTAAATTTATAGTTAAAAATTTATGTTTCAAGTTGCAAACTGTCACCCTACCTGACAATAAGCATGATTTCCAAGAGCTCTGTGGGCTTCATCAATAACCAGACATTTAATTTTCACTGCAGGACACACTCCACGGGAAAGGTCATTTGCCATTATCTGAGGCGTAAGAAAGAAAACCCTCTTATTTTGCCAGATTTCTTTCCGATCAGCCACTTGGGTACCTCCTGAAACAACATAAGCAAGCATTTAGAAAGGCACCTAAAACCCCACAATGGTTTCACTGGCGATTCACAGAAAGGCCACACTTCAGCAGTGTTTGCTGCCAACAAATCCATTCTTACACTTAAAACAAAGTGTCCAAAAATAAACAAACACAGGAGTCTTTACATTTCTAGCCAGAAACCAGTTTTCCACGTTAGAGCATCTTGGAGTAAAAGGCAAAATATGGCACATATCACATGCGAAAAGAAGACATTGGTCCAGATGCTTATTGTGAACTGCCCTAGAACTAAATCTGGCCAAGGGAAATCCCTTCTAACTCTATAATTCTTTGATATATTTTTTTAGCCAAGATTCCCTTGCCTACCTCTGGGGTGCCTGAAAACCACCAGTTCCTGCATCCACAGCAGTGAGCAGAGGAGGAATGACTGCTGGGAGGAGTGCTGCGAAGAAACGCCCTGGTGCATCTGCAGGAACGCAACTGTACGCCTTCCTCTGCCCCAAGCGTGTCTCTCCCGTATCAACCTCTAAAGCCATGACAGGTGCTGCAACTCTCCAACCACTTGCTTTTATTCCTCCACTGTCTCCAAAGACAGACGGGTGCCACAGGAATGTTTAACTGCCTTTAAAAAGAAAAAAAGTTTGCTTCCCCCTCCCCAAGTTTTTAGCTGTTCTTAATTTTATCCGTAAACTGCTGTGAGCCCGTCAGAAGAATAAATGTTGTTGTTTTTTAAATTATTATTATTATTATTAGGCTCCTAACCCCCACTGTTCATTGTTACTATTATTGTTGTAAGCCAGAAAATAGCTTATCTCCTGAGTTTATTCCAATAAAACTCAGAAATGTGAGAAGTTAAGGGTCCAACGTTGTTTATTGCAAAGCAATAGGTTACAGTCAGATCGTTCTGCAAAACCGCAACCCTACCCGGTGGTCCAGGAAGTGGTATTTATAAAATTTCAAACAAAGTATTTCATTTTTCACCAATCATACACATCATTACCTCATTTCATCTTTAACACACATGCACAATAAGCACTGGCAAATTCTGCTGATTAAGTTCTGATTCCCACCGTGTTCTGTTACATTGCGTTAGTACGCACGTTGGGAACCTGTGTTGCGTGCAGCCATTTGCGCCATGTAGCAACTTATGTTCTAGCTTACAGCTGAATCTTTGTGATTCACATATTAGCTGTATTTCTGCCCCAATTCGGGGGGGGGGTCAACTTGCAAAATCATCAGTTTCATAAAGCAACAGGTTGCCATAACTTCTCTATTAGAAGCGCACTCTGGGATTTCTGGGGCTACACATTATCACATTATCTGGGCCACTGCCACATTATTGCGTAATTAAATTGGTCAGAGTTTAACTAAATTAATAACAGTAACAACAGTAATAATAATAATAATAATAACAACGATAGTAATTCCTGGGATCTGTGAGGAGGGTCATCCTTGGGCTCCCCTGTTGGGAATCTGAATACATGCAGCTACTCACACAGAGTCAATTAGGGTTTGGTCGACAGCCAAGGCAATGTAAAGGAGTAAAGTCTGCCTGGTGATACAGAGGCATGGAGACAGCTCCATGATTGGTTAAGCTCTCTCATGGGAATAATGATTAATGGCCTACTAACTGGAATATGTTTGTACGAGTATGAGTACAAGTTTGAGTTCAGGAGTTGAGAGTCCTGTATGAGAGAGCTAGTCAAAGATCCGTGTTCTGTTCTGTCCCTGTAAATAGTCCACTGTATCTAATAAACACCTAACTACAAGTTCCTGGTTCCTGCTTCGTCCATCCTGTCTGCAGCCAAGTCGCCAATTGCTTCCGTGGATTCTGCGTTTACTCTGCTAGGTCTGGCTAAGGTCCTGCAACTAGCCAGAAAGTTGTGAAACACCAATAGGTTTTGCCAATATCCCCCACCCACCTCTGGATAATAAATAATAATAAAGCCGCTTATTATTATTAACAGTAACAACAACAACAATAGTAATTCCTGTGACCCATGAGGAGGACCATTCTTGGGTTCCCCCCGCCTCTTTATAATAAATAATAAAGCTGCTTTATAAGAATAATAACAGGAGTATTAGTAATAACAATAATAAGAGTAGTAATTACTGTGACCCATGAGGAGGGCCATCCTTGGGCTCCCCCCCCCCCTCTTTATAATAAATAATAACAGTAATAATAATAATAGTAATTCCTGGCACCCGTGAGGAGGGCCCTCCTTGGGCTCCCCCCCCCGCCTCTTTATAATAATAACAGTAATAATAATAATAATAGTAATTCCTGGCACCCGTGAGGAGGGCCATCCTTGGGCTCCTCTTTATAATAATAGTAGCAGTAATTCCCGCCCCCCCCCGCTGTCCCCCCCCCGTCTCACCGGTGAGGGCGGCCATGTGGCGGGCGGGGATGGCCATGAGGGCGGCGCAGGCGTCCCTCTGCTGGGCGACGAGGGGCTTGGTGGGCGCCAGGAAGAGCGCCTTCCCTCCGGGGAACCAGCGGTAGAAGTTGCCCAGCACCACGGCCGCCACCAGGGTCTTGCCCAGCCCGGTGGGCAGGCACAGCAGCGTGTTCTGGAAGAGCGCCGCCCGCGCCGCCCGGGCCTGGTAGCCGCGCTCCTCCACGCCGGCGCCCGCCGGGAACAGCCACACGCCGCCCGCCGCGCCGCCCGCGAAGCCGACCCCAGAGGGAGGCCCCGGGGGCGGCTCCTCCTCGGCAGGCGGCGGCGTCCCCCACACCTGGAAGAGCGTCGCTTGCCGGTCGCCCCGGCCGAGGCCCCTCATGCCGCCGCCGCCGCCGCCGCCTTCCCCTCACGAGCAGCTCCCCTCAGGCAGCGGCGGGCGGAGCAGCCGCCATCTTGAAAGGGCCGCTCGGCCGCCCTCAAAAAGCCGCGCCATCCCCGCCCCCGGGGGCTGCGCGCCGTGATTGGCCGGACGGCCGCCTGGGCGGGGTTTCCCCAGAGGCTCACGGGGTGAAGGGGAGCCCGGGAGCGCATGCGCCGAGCGCATGCTGACGCCGCCTGTTTCCCGACAATGAAGTTCGCCCTTTCACTGAAGTTCGCCGCGTCAAAAGCCTCGTTTGCAAGAAAGATAGAGCGAGATCAGGAAGGGAATGGACAGCCGTAAGTTGAAACGTACGGGAGTTTGAAGCCGTGAGAGAGTAGGCTGAAACAAAGTAAAAATCATATGAACTTTCTCTTCTTTTAAAAAAAATCTGCAATAGTTGCTCTTTTTTAAAAATTGCTTTTTATTGATTTTCCAACACGACAAAAATTACACATTCCAAATAAAACACACACACAAAAACAAATTTCCACATAAACCAAGTCTGGCAAGGCAAATCCCCCTCTTTCCTTACTATCTATCAGTAATTTATGTTTTATCCTGTTTTTGTTTTTGCCTTGCCAGATAAGCAGGGGGCCAGCAGGGTTTCGAGTTGGATGGGTGACCAAGGGGGGAAATCCCAGAAGTGCATGGGGCTGGACTAGATGGCCCTTGGGTCCCTTCCATCTCCACCAGTTCTTTGATTCTATGTACCTGGCAGGCACTGAAAAGAGGACAGTGGATGCACCTGCTTGACATTAATAGGCAGGGAGTTCCAGAGTGTAGGTGCTACCTGCCAGACTGAATTATCGAGTTTTTACAAATCATCACAGAATTTTGTTTCCCACTTGGGTACCGAAAGGTGCAGCTAACCAGTGAAATAAAAAATCTAAGGTCGTACATATTTAATAAATGTTCATAAATGTACCAATATATAAACATATATAAACAACATGTCTGAAACAGCACAGGAAAACAGCCCTGGAACCATTTTGACTCCCAAACTGACCAAATGATTTTTCTGTAAGGTCAAGGAAAATGGAAAAGCCTCCCCATTGTCTTTTCATTCACAAATCCTGTCTTAAGGGTATGTCTGCGTATGAATAGGGTGAGCCTGTGACCTGGCTCAGGAACTAAGTATTTATCATTACAAAAGACTGGCCAGGCTCCCCAGGGTAGCCAATCAAGTAAGCATTAACAGGTAACCTGCCAGACAGGAGGTAAACACTGCACGCGGATTTCTGTTGTAGACCGCCCTTTCCGTGATGTACGTATGATGTTTCTGGGGGTGGTTTTGGACTCCAGGGCGGGCAATTTAAAATGTCTATATTTTTTTTTTTTAAATGATATTTATTAAAGTTTCACAAAAATACAGAAAACAGAGAAAAAAGTATAAATTACAGCAAAAAAATTAAAAGTAAGAAAAAACATACAAAATAAAACAATTAAAAACACAATGATGTTCCATAACCTATCTTCCTTACTCTTATTTCCCCAGACCTCCTCATACCTCCCTTCTTTGTATTCCAATTCAGTTTGTTGGTTCAGCAAATCCTTACCATTAATCTTTTACCCAATTGTTAACCTTTTTTTTTTCATGTCTCTTAAAGCATTACAGCTAAAAACCTCTTAATTTCTATCCAACATCCTTCTAAAGTTCCTTAATTTTACAATATTTCTGTAAATAGTCCTCAAATTTTTTCCATCTTCTTTCACCGACTCTTCTCCCTGGTCTCGGATTCTGCCAGTCATTTCCGCCAATTCCATGTAGTCAATCACCTTCATCTGCCATTCTTCCAAAGTGGGTAGATCTTGTGTCTTCCAATACTTTGCGATAAGTATTCTTGCTGCTGTTGTAGCATACATGAAAAAGGTTCTGTCCTTCTTTGGCACCAGTTGGCCGACAATGCCCAAGAGAAAGGCCTCTGGTTTCTTCAGAAAGGTATATTTAAATACCTTTTTCAGTTCATTGTATATCATTTCCCAGAAAGCCTTAATCTTTGGGCACGTCCACCAAAGGTGAAAGAATGTACCTTCAGTTTCTTTACATTTCCAACATTTATTATCGGGCAAATGATAAATTTTTGCAAGCTTGACTGGGGTCATGTACCACCTGTATATCATTTTCATAATATTCTCTCTTAAGGCATTACATGCCGTAAACTTCATACCTGTGGTCCATAACTGTTCCCAGTCAGCAAACATAATGTTATGTCCAACATCTTGTGCCCATTTAATCATAGCAGATTTCACCGTTTCATCCTGAGTATTCCATTTCAACAGCAAGTTATACATTCTTGACAAATTTTTAGTTTTGGGTTCTAACAATTCTGTTTCTAATTTTGACTTTTCCACTTGGAAGCCTCTTTTCTTATCGAAATTATATGCCTCCATTATCTGATAGTAGTGGAGCCAATCTCTCACTTTATTTTTTAATTTTTCAAAACTCTGCAGTCTCAATTTATCTCCTTCTTGCTCCAAAATTTCCCAATATGTCGGCCATTTGGCCTCCATATTAAGCCTTTTCAGAGCTTTTGCTTCCATTGATGACAGCCACCTTGGGGTTTTATTTTCCAATAAGTCTTTGTATCTTATCCAGACATTAAACAATGCTTTCCTAACAATATGATTTTTGAATGCTTTGTGTGCTTTGACCTTATCATACCATAAATATGCATGCCATCCAAATACATTGTTAAAACCTTCTAAATCCAAAATGTCTGTGTTTTCAAGAAGTAGCCATTCTTTCAGCCAGCAAAAAGCTGCTGATTCATAATAAAGTTTAAGGTCTGGCAGGGCAAATCCACCTCTTTCCTTAGCGTCAGTTAATATCTTAAATTTTATTCTGGGCTTCTTGCCCTGCCAGACAAATCTAGAAATATCTCTCTGCCACTTCTTGAAACAGTCCATCTTATCTACAATTTGTAATGTCTGAAACAAAAACAACATTCTAGGCAATACATTCATCTTTATCACAGCAATACGGCCCAGCAACGAGAGTTTCAAATTTGACCAAATTTCTAAATCTTTTTCACTTCCGTCCAACATTTTTCGTAATTATCTTTAAATAAGTTCCCATTTTTGGCTGTCATATTAATCCCCAAGTATTTCACTTTCTTTACCACATTCAATCCTGTCTCATTCTGAAACCTCTCTCTTTCAATCGGTGTTTTCTCTAAAACCTTAGTTTTTAACTTGTTCAATTTAAAACCTGCCACCTGACCAAATTCCTGAATTAATTCTAAAACTCTTTTAGTACTAGATTCTGGCTCCTGTAACGTCAATACTAGGTCATCTGCAAATGCTCTCAATTTGTACTGTTTAGCTCCGACCTGTATGCCCTTAACCAACCGGTCCTTTCTAATCATATTTAGCAAAACCTCCAGGACCGATATAAAAAGCAGTGGGGAAATTGGGCACCCCTGTCGTGTCCCTTTTTCTATCTTAAATTCTTCCGTAACCACATTATTTACAATTAATTTAGCCTTTTGTTCAGAGTATATTGCACCTATACCATTTTCAAAACCTTGGCCTACCCTCATCCCATGCAGATTCTTCTTCATAAAACTCCAAGAGATATTATCAAAAGCTTTCTCCGCGTCAACAAATATCAATACTGCTTTGGTGTTTATATTCACTTCTAATTTTTCCAAAATATCAATTATATTCCTCAAGTTATCAGACAGATGTCTTCCCGGGAGAAAGCCCGCTTGGTCTTTATGAATCTCTTTCATCAATATTTTTTTCAGTCTCTTGGCCAAAATGTCTGCAAAAATTTTGTAATCCACATTAAGTAACGATATAGGGCGATAGTTCTTAAGCTGAGTCTTTTCAGTCTCTGTTTTCGGTATAAGTGTGATGTACGCCTCTTTCCACGATTCTGGTGCCCTTTTCCCCTCCAGTATTTCATTGCAGACTTCCTTCAAAGGTTGCAGTAACCACTCTTTCAAAGATCTATAGTATCTGGAAGTCAGCCCGTCCGGTCCTGGAGATTTGCCCAATTGCATATTTTGTATGGCACCTTCTACTTCCTGTTCAGATATTTTATAGTTCAGCATTAATTTACTTTCTTGAGAGATTTTTTGTAGGCCATTTGTCTTCAAAAATTGGTCTGCAATTTAAAATGTCTATATAAGGGCGGACACACCTTTGTTCTGGGTCCTCCTCCTTTCCTGTGTGTGAGGGGAGCACCCTGTTGCAACAGTTCAATAAAGATCAGGCTTACTAGCTGCTTTGCTTGTCAATATTCTCTGGTTGGCGTCTGTTATTTTCTCCAACCGATGGAGAACCTGCAAAGGACTCTATAGGGGCTCTTGTGTCCCCCATAAGGGAATAAGGGCAGATTTACGATTATTACACCAGCAACCTGGAAAGCTGGTTATTTAAAAGGTATGACCCTCTCTCTTGGTCAGGGGAGATCTTTCATATCTATCCAACATAACTAAAGGACAATTAGTCCTGCAGTCAAGAAAGCAGACGTGGGAATTCCTGCTCAGTCCACAACTGCCACAACTCCTTTCTTCAAGGGCAGATGGACAGGCTGTCATACTCTTCATACTCTCTCCTTTGGTATGCATGGTTATTCTGATAGGGAGAGCATGAACTAGTTATTCTGAAGTATCTGAAGAAGTGTGCATGCACACGGAAGCTTATACCAAACTTAGTTGGTCTCTAAGGTGCTACTGGACAATTTCATATATATATATATATATATATATAGTTCTTTGTTCTTTGTATAAGAGCAGTTTTGTCTCATCATCAGAGTCTCCAGGAGGAATGTAAGAGGAGGGAAAGGAAGTGGGAAGTTCCAGTGCCAGGGAAAGGATCATATTATCAAGCCTAAAGGGGGAGCCAAGTAAAATATCTTGAATAATAAAAAGGAAAGCCTGGTGGTGTCATTGTTTTGGTTTGGCAAGAAACTTTGCAAGATCAGAGGTCCCACAACATAACCGAAGAGGATTCTTTTTCTCTCCCTTCAGCTTCTCCAGCAAAAGAGAAAACTAGCAGCCTTGTGGCATTTGCGAGAGATGAAATGCATATCTGAAATAACTGTACAGCGAAGGGTCAGCACTAGAATGCTTTTACTGCTCTGGTGGGAGTGCTGTTACTGTTACCCATTTCAATAAATTTCAGAGGAGTTTCTGTTATCACCTGTCAAAGCAAAACTAAATGAAACAGGGATAACAAAGTCCCCTTGAAGTATCTATTTACCTACCCACATCCTGCTATTTTTATAATTTAAATTTATATACCGTCATTTATCCGAGGATCACAGGATGGTTTACACTATAATATATTTTTTTATATTTGCATACAACTGTGTCATAAAAAATACAGCAGAGTGGCTTACACCGATGAAAGCAAAACCATAAAATAAAAACAGTTGAAATTTTTAAAAACAAATATCAGTTACTGATTGTGCATTATTAATTGTCCACACCAGTCAATTATATATATATATATATATATATATATATAAAACCTATTAAAAATATCACTTAAGCGGTTTACAAAAAACTGAAGGAACAACGGACAACTTAAAAGAAATATCACAACAATGCACAGCTACCCAAAAAAACACGTTACATGGATAGAAAGCTTATTCATTTTCCTTTTGACGCATCCCGTCAGTCTCCCTCGCAGCCCCCTCTATCTATTATATATCTATGGACCTCTGCAGAGAGAGCAGAGCGGCCCGAACAGCAGCAGCTGCAGCCCTGAGCCCTACCCAGCATGCATCGGGGGCCCCCTTAAGAAGCTCCGCCATTGGCCGGCCGGTCTCCGCTCACCCCGCGCGGACTACATTTCCCAGCATGCCGAGCGGGCGAAGCGGCGGCGTGAGGCTCCCGCGGGCGCGCTGGGAAATGTAGTCCCGGCGTCGTGAGGGAGCGCTGGCGTGTGTGAGGAGGCGAGGCCATGGCGGCCCCCGCGCGGCCCTGGAGCCCCGAGGAGCTCCGCGGAGACGCCCTGCCCAAGAAGGAGATCGTCCGCTTCCTGCAGGAGCAGGCGGCGCACAAGGTGGGCGCCCGCTCGTCCTCCCTTCACACGTTCGCGGGGACACGCGTGTCGGGCGGAGATGCCGCCGCCGCAGCCTCTCTCTCTCTTTCTCTCTCTCTCGGCCAGGGCGGGAGACACGCGAGGAGCGGGCGGGGCCGCCTCCCGCCCGACACGCGTGCGGGGAGAACGTCTGAACGCGCGTGTCCCGCCAGCGCCTCCCGCCTCCCTTTTTCCTTCGACCTCGTTGCGCGCGGCATGGGCACGGAGCAGAATCGCAAGGGTGTTCGGGTCCCCCGAAGGTCATCCAGCCCAACCCCTGCAGTGGAGCCCGCCCGCCCCCCTGGCCAGCCCAGCTCCTGCCTCCCACCGCCCAATGGCTCTTTCTCATTGTGGGGCATTCAAATAATTTTTAAGCATATATAATCACATCATTATTATTATCCACTTTACTTCCTTGGCTCCTCAGAGCCTGTCGCCTTCCTTCCCTGCCACCTCCTGGCTTTCAAAGCTAACCTTTATATCACAGCATTTTATATGTTTTCCAATTCTAATATAACTCATTACTAAAATTCAAATAAATATAGAAAGGTTAAAAAAATTCTCATTAGAAGTCTTCAGTCAACCCTACTAGCGTTGTTAATTGCTTACAATGATCTTTCAAATATTGTATAAATTTACTCCAGACTTTTTGGAATACTTGATTGTGCTGGTTTCAGATTTTTCCCGTCAGCTTTGCCAGCATTTTCACCTGCCCCTCTTCTTTCGTCTCTGTGGGGCATTCAAAGCTCCCCTCCTTTTATAATTGTAAAATAAAGATCACCCCCAGAAAGAAATGGAGGGACCAAGTCCGCCTCCCCCCAAAGAGTTTTGGCAACCAGTTATGAGCCCCCACTTTGCAGACAGAAGGGCAGAGGCGGCTGGGAAGGTTCCTGCCCGAAACCCTTGCGGGCTGTTGCTGCCGGTCAGAGTAGACATCAGTGAGCTGGTTGTGGGTCTGACTCTGGGCAAAGCAGCTTCCTTATGTTCATGGATCTGCGCTGGCAAATGGAGTCGCCTTTGCTTTCATCTGTAAGCCACCTTGAGTCACCGACAGGGGTAAAGGGTAAAGTCAATAAATGTCAAAGGAGAAGCAACTTTGGGGTTTCGTTTAATTGCAGGGCCTTCTTTTGTACCTATAGGTAAAGGTAAAGGGATCCCTGACCACTAGGTCCAGTCGTGACCGACTCTGGGGTTGCGGCACTCATCTCGCTTTATTGGCCGAGGGAGCCGGCGTACAGCTTCCAGGTCAAGTGGCCAGCATGACTAAGCCGCTTCTGGCGAACCAGAGCAGTGCACGGAAACGCCATTTACCTTCCTGCTGGAGTGGTACCTATTTAACCCACAGCGCCATCTGCGTCCCTTTTGTACCTATAGAACTTGCAAAAAATACTCTTGATCCAAAGCAGTCTCGGGCTGAGGACTGCGACTGAGGTCACCCTTGCAGGGGGATCCCTCTGGGTTGGGTGACAGCTGCTGATTCCTGCAGCTGGGTGGGGAGGGGGGGTCACAAGGGCAGCACTGGCTCTCTTTCCTTTTTTATTATTATATTTTTTATTAATTTTCCATTTAATAACATATATTCACATCATTATTATCCTCTTTGACTCTTTAGAGCCTGTCGACTTTCCTCCCCCCCTCATGGATTTCTTTCTTAACCTTCATATTATAGCATTTTGTACATTTTCCAGTTATAATTACACACATTGCAAAATATCTCAAAATTTATATAAATATAACATTTCTCATTACAAGTCTTCAGACAACCCTATTAGTGTTGTTAATTGTTTATAATACTCTTAAATATCGTACAAATTTACTCCAGTCCATTTGGAATACTTGATCAGGCTGGTTTTGGATTTTCCCCGTCAGCTTTGCCAGTTCCACAAAGTTCATCATTTTCACCTGCCACTCTTCTTTCCTTGGTACTTATTGTTTCCATTTTTTGGCTAAAAGAATTCTTGCCGCTGTTGTTGTATACGTGAACAGCACATATACTAAAATTGGAACGCCACTGGGTTGTGTTCAGGGTTTATAGTTCACCCCCAGTGTGTGGCCACAAGGTATTACCTGTGAATGCCTACGTGAGATTTTTGAGCTTGGTTGGAAGAAGAGGCTTCAGTTGATTTCATTCATTGGATGTGGTCTGGTTCAAGCAGAATACAGTGGTACCTCTGGTTACGTACTTAATTCGTTCCGGAGGTCCGTTCTTAACCTGAAACTGTTCTTAACCTGAGACACCACTTTAGCTAATGGTGCCTCCCACTGCTGCCGCACCTCCGGAGCACAATCTCTGTTCTCATCCTGAAGCAAAGTTCTTAAGCCGAGGTAATATTTCTGGGTTAGCGGACTCTGTAACCTGAAGCGTATGTAACCCGAGGTACCACTGTATTCCACTCTGTAAAATGCACTTCCCATAATCCCAATTGCATGGCAGGAGAGCGACGTGATTCCTTTCTTTCCCAGTATTGAACTAACGCTCTTGCTTTTGCTTTTAGTTCCTGTCAGAGCACAAACTACTAGGACAGATAAAAAATGTGGCCAAGACCGCCAGTAAGGAGCAGCTGATCACGGCATATAACGAGCTCTTTGAAACCAAGGTAGGTACCCTGCCTTGTCTGAGCAGATCTTATTACTAGAATCTTTGTGACTAATGTTCATAATAATCAAATTTATTACCAGCCCTTCACTACCTGGTTCTAGGGCAGCTTACAACAATTAACAAAATCAAAATTAGGAAACAGTTGCCTTGGGGACAGAACAAATGCTTTGCTTTTCTCCTGCATCTTGCAGGGCTAGGAGAGACCTCTGCCTTCAGTCCTGGAGAACTGCTGCCATTCAGAGTGGGCGGCATGAGGCTTGATCCCACCTTATATGTTCATATATTGCTGAAATGCTCTGTGTATCAGTTTTTTAACTGAAATGTAAGAGGTTTAACATCAGCTGGGGAAAGGTAGAAATGGGCTATTTAAAATAAGCTATGACACAAATCCATTTTCAGTAGCCATTGATAGTAGTGGGGAGAGGGAGATATGTCCTTTGCCATACAAGCTCCTACTTAAGTTCTCTAAAAACCTGGTAATTATTTGCTGTGGATCAATATAGTTAACCAAATGACTATGAAGGCCCAGTATAGGTGGAGCTCTCCAGGAAGCTCAGCCATCAGCGTTTCCGTGCTCATTTGTGCAGTCTGCTTGTTGGCTTGGTAGTCAGTGTTGTAGGATCTGTGGTTTGTGGCATTTTCCATAAGTCTTTTCCCTGTAAGTTAAAGCTCAGTGTGGCCTGTGTGACTCAGCTTCCTTCCTTTATAAGGTATACGAAATGATATGGATTGACCGGGCCCAAGACAGAACCCTGTGGCACCCCACTAGTCACTCTTCTCCAGGATGAAGAGGAAGCATTGATGAGCACCCTTTGGGTTCGGTCAGTCAGCCAGTTACAAATCCACTGAGTGGTAGCATAGTCAAGACCGCATTTTACCAGCTTCTTTACAAGAATATCATGGGGCACCTTGTCAAATGCCTTGCTGAAATCAAGGTAGGCTACATCCACTGCGTTCCCTTCATCTACAAGGCTTGTAATTCTGTCAAAAAACGAGATCAGGTTAGTCTGGCATGACTTATTTTTCAGAAATCCATGCTGACTATTGGTGATCACAGCATTCCTTTCTAGGTGCTCACAGACTGTTTGCTTAATGATCTGCTCCAGAATCTTCCCTGGTGTTGATGTCAGACTGACTGGGCGGTAATTATTTGGGTCCTCTCTTTTCCCCTTTTTGAAAATAGGGACAACATTTGCCCTCCTCCAGTCTGCCGGGACTTCGCCTGTATTTCCTTTACAATGAGTATGTAAGAAGAGTGTGCTGGATCAGGCTAATGGCATCCTGACCTGGGACAGGAATTTCTTCACCGATGTAACACATTTTCTTTCTAGAGATTTAAGGGTACTGAGAGTCCAGAGCATGTAGCAGAGCAAGTGAAAAATGTCAAGATTGATGAGGAGAAGCCCAAGGAGACAAAGCCTGAGGAAGCTGTGGATGAGGTAGGTGAGGAGAACAATCAGGTATGATTTGCAGACTGGCTGGTGGGAAGAGGCAGCCCTTGCAGGAATGTAAGGGAGCAGGCAAAATGGGCAGGAGGGGGGCGGGGTGCACCTCTTCTGGACATAGAAGAGCCACTTCAGAATTTCAGGATCTTACTCACCGAGAAAATGCAGTGCTGTAATGGTGGGAACTGAGAAAGTGCAGCTGTGTGCCTGGAAGTCCCAGTTCATCCCCTCACGAAGGGTTTGAATATCTGGATTGGAACCAGCTGTCGGTTCCATTTGCAATTTCCTCCAGGGAACTCTGTTCCCTTGGAGATTTCTCAAATCTGTTGCAGCATTTTCTGGACAGGCGACCTTAAATCAGGCAGACTTCAGCACATATTCTAAGAGCTCAGAATTTAAGATCCTCCCTGAACATAGGCACAGAGTCTTAAGTGACTTACTTCGCAGTCTGACGCACATCCTCACAGAAATAAGTCCCATTGTATTTCATAGGGCTTACTCCCAGGGAACTGTGTGTAGTATTGCAGCCGTCACCCTGTTGTCCAGCGTAGGTCATGGCTGCACATCATTTTGTGATCTCGTCTGCTAGCTGTGTGGAGCATTGTGTTTAGTCATATTGAGGCTTTAATATTAAATAGCAGAGCTAATGGTTGGCCGTCTTTCCTTTCTGCCCTCAGAAGCCATTTCTTCATTGGCTTTTGTGCGATTCTTTGGTCAACTTCTGTACCTTTTGGAACAGTGAGAGCGGGACCATGACACTTGTTTCATCCCTCTTCCCATTTCAGGGTCCCCCAAAATATACAAAGTCAGTACTGAAGAAGGGGGATAAAATCAACTTTCCCAAAAAGGGCGATGTCGTTCACTGTTGGTATACAGGGAAGCTGCAAGATGGAACAGTCTTCGATAGTAATATTCAGACAAGTAAGTGTTCAGAAAAGGTGGCATTTCTCTTCTTCACAGAGATGGAGAAGCTGTGGGCTTTAAAGACCAGAGTAGCTGTGACTGAAGGCACAGCTTTATTTTCTCTCATTTATACCCCACCTGTCTTCTGCCACGGAACCCAAGGTAGCTTCTACTTGTGGTTCCCAGTCACTCACTAGACCCAGACCTGCCTAGCTTTAGCCAGGTGGTGGCCTTGTGCACCTACAGAGCATCTCCTGGGAACACGATGCAGCAGATGTGTTGCCTGTGAAGTGAACGGGTCTTGCACAAGGCCACGCCTCTGCTTCTGGGCTGCAGTTTGCATTTTTTTTTTCTTCCCGTCTGGGGATTCCAGTTTGCATTCCCCATGGATTCTCGAGGGCATGGTCTGTTTAGCACTGGGGAATCAAATTTTGCCTTCTGACAAATGGGTTGGATCTGAATGGACTTGAGTCTCATTGTCTGAATGAAATGATTTTCATTCAGTGATTTCTTCCTACTCCCGCACCCCTAATCTACAGCCCACATGCTGTCATGTTCCATGTGCTTCTAGAGGGTCCCTGACCTTCAGCATCAGCTCTCCCAGGAGCTGCAGTGGAGAGAAGGAAGCAGAGTCCCATTCCATGAGCAGTGTTCCACTTACAGTATTGTAGCCGATGCGATGTATTCAGTGTGTCTGGGTTGACACATGTACGTACAAATATGTACACACACACACACACCACTCATGGGCACAGTCAGAACTTCTTCCTGAAGTCCTGGAGAACCTCTGCTGCCTCTCACTATAGAAGACAGTTCAGGCCTAGATGGTCCAGTGGTCCGACTCTGTATAAGGCAGGAGTTTCTTGTGGTCCCCTGTTGCCACCTCTGCATGTCTGCTTGGCCTCTGGCCTAGAAGTGTACTGTACCCAAAGACCTGGGTGTTTGGGCAGATCAGGGGTGGCCTCTTGCCCTCAGGATTGTGGATGCCCGATTTGTGACGTCACACACCCAAAGTCTGTGGCTCCTCTTCCTCCTCCTTGCCACAGCGAGTGAGGCAACGTTTTCCATGTCTGAGTCCCCCACTCCCGGCCCGGAAAAGGGCGCCTCGCTAGCTGGCTGCAGAGGGCAGAGCTGAACAGCTTCTCCCTCAGAGGTAGTGCTGGCTTTTCTCAATGCCTTTGTGGGTGCCCCACCTCCACAGTTGTATTATTGTGGGTGCCCAAGCACCCACGGCCCCCTGGAGTTGGCTCCTATGGTGCGGATGTCTCTTTCTCAAGGACAATTTAGGGAGCCTTTGTTCAGTGCAAAATGCCCTGAAATATAGTAGACGGAAGCTGTTTCACATGTCGCTTGCCTTCCAGTGCATCTTGCGCCACAGATTCCCCTCGTGAGGCTGCACCACCAGGCTTCCAAAGGAGAGTGGGATGGAAATCGCAGTGTTTCTCAGTCTTCCACGCTCCTTTTATACACTAAATATTTAGCAAACTAGCTTTGACTGAGAAACTCCTTTCTTGACAGTTACGCAGAGGGGTGGGAGTTTTGTTGGCGTTCAGCAACTATCAAAACAGCTTCACTCCTTGGTTGGAATGCCTGCCTGCTTGTGACCAGGCTAGTCTTGCCCCCTAGTTACCTAGTGAATTTGCGTGACCTGGAATGTGGGTGACTCCTCAGGAATCCTTTCCCAAAGCAGTGCCCTCCAGATGTTTTGGTCTCCCAAAACATCGCTCTTGCTCAGTGGGACCACCTTTCGGTATTATTGTTGCATGCTTTGAATATTTGTTTTGTATCTAAGTTGCCTTGAGACCTTTGGGCAGAAGGCAAACTTTCTCATCGCCCTTGACCACCAGCAATACTTTCCGGGTGGGGAGTTGTAGTCCAGAACATCTGGAGCACACCAAATGGGGGGAGGCTGGTGTAGAGCGAGAAGCCAGCTGGGAGAGGGATAAGAGCTCCAGAATGTTGGTGTCGTTTCAGGTTCAAAGAAAAAAAAAGCTGCAAAACCACTGAGCTTCAAAGTCGGCGTTGGAAAAGTGATACGAGGCGTGAGTATGCTGGCGGAAGGGTGGGTGGGTGCAGCTAGCATGTCTTTGGGCCTCCCACCTCCTGCGCCCATCCGTCAGGGAGGAGCTCCTGTTGCCAGGCAGCTGTCAGGCTATTTGCTTGAATCCTCCCAGAAGAGAAGCTGATGCATGTTGTCTGTCAGCCTTCCTCCATAGCACATCTGACAAAATTCATTTTCCTTTCCTGTGCTCGGTGGTCTTTGCATCAGAGCCCATTGAAACAGATTATGCTGCCCACCAAGATGGAGGGAGGAGGTGGGGGAGTTAAATGTTTTACCTGAGCGCAGGTTAGGATGATTGGCATTAAGATACCCAAGTGTATACAGTGGTACCTCGGGTTAAGAACTTAATTCGTTCTGGAGGTCCGTTCTTAACCTGAAACTGTTCTTAACCTGAAGCATCACTTTAGCTAATGGGGCCTCCCGCTGCCGGAGCACGATTTCTATTCTCATCCTGAAGCAAAGTTCTTAACAGCGGAGTCTGTAACCTGAAGTGTCTGTAACCCGAGGTACCACTGTATGCCGTTTTAAGGATGGCCAGGATTTATTTATTTCACTATTTGGCTGTTTCTATGTGTCCTTTGTTACCTTTCTGCACTCCCTGGGCTACTTGTCACATCTGACAAGTGCAGTGGCCAACAAGTTGCAGCGAGACCCACAACTTTGGATGTCCCTGACCTCTCCCTTCCCTGACTCCCATGGCGTGTGCAGAGGGAGGGAGATGTGCCCTTGGGTGATCTTCTGCAGAAGGTGCAACCTTTTGCTACAGCCTCCTGAAAAGGTTCCAAAGAATAGGAAACTGATTCCTTTATCTAATAGGAGGGAGGAGGAGAAATGGCTTCCATCAGATCAGTTGTGCAGAATACAGCAGTGTTAATGAGCCCCTAAGGAAGAGAGAGGCAGAGAAAGGGGTTGTTTATTTCCTTCCAATTGGCATTTTGCAGGAGGCTCAAACAGTAGGGACAATGACAGTGGTGGCTTCTTCTGCAGAAACTTGTGGGATGGACATCACTTCTCCTTCGTATACAGCTGTGGCACTTTGGTCTAAACCACTGAGCCTCTTGGGCTTGCTGATCGGAAGGTCAGCGGTTCGAATCCCCACGATGGAGTGAGCTCCCTTTGCTCTGTCCCAGCTCCTGCCAACCTAGCAGTTCGAAAGCACGCCAGCACAAGTAGATAAATAGGTACCGCTCCGGCGGGAAGGTAAATGCCGTTTCCATGTGCTCTGGCACTCATCACGGTCCTCCGTGCGCCAGAAGCGGTTTAGTCCTGCTGACCACATGACCCGGAAAACTGTCTGTACACAAACGCTGGCTCCCTCGGCCTGAAAGCAAGATGAGCACCACAACCCCATAGTCGCCTTTGACTGGACTTAACAGTCCAGGGGTCCTTTACCTTTTTTTACATATCCTGCATCAGTCTGTCTCTACCTTTCTGATAATCTTAAAAGCACTAGAATGCATTCATTAAACATGATTTTTGCAGTAATTCATCTGAACCAGATTTTCAATAAGACAGACATCTTGTAAAACATTTAACCTAAAAATACTGGCTCTCTAGTCCTCCTCAAAACACAAAGATCTTAGCCTGCTGAGTTCATTAACTTACCCAGCAGAGGGAACTTGCTCCACTCACCCTTATTGTTTCAGCTTATCTTCTAATAGCCCAGGTCAAAAACAGTCCTTCCAGCCTGTTTCTCAGGTAGATTTGGTTTTGTTTTTTTCCCAGTGGGACGAAGCTCTGCTGACCATGAGCAAAGGAGAGAAGGCTCACCTGGAAATCGAACCGGAATGGGCTTATGGGAAGAAAGGGCAGCCGGATGCCAAGTATCCTTGCAAAGTGTGCCGCTGAGCAGTCTACTAATCTGATGGAAAATGTGGGTGCACAAAATTCTCTGGCTCAGAAAGCCAGGTGCTGGTGAAGGAATTCCCTAGGTCTAAGCATGGGGCAAGTGCAGGTAAGACCATCACAGCCTGCTGGATCAGGCCAATGGCCCATCTAGTCCAGCAGCCTCTTCTCACAGGGGCCAACCAGATGCCCCAATAGGAAACCTGCAAGTGGGATTGGAGTACAAGAGGCTTCTCTCCTGATGTGGCCTCCAGCACTGCTGCTCCAACTGTGGAGGGAGAGCACAGCCATCATGGCTAGTGCCCCCCCCCCGCTTCCATAATTTTTGGGGAGCATGGGAAGCAAACGGGCAGAAATGCCTGCAGCATGGCAGGCATCACCAGCACGCTTTCCACAAGGGCAAAGCACAGCTCCGACACGAAGTTGGTCAACTGAATCCCTATGTGCTGCCAAATAGAATGTGATCTCTAAAATTGGGCATGATGGCAGTGCCAAGATGTTTGAAGATGAGGCAAGAGGATCTGGAAATAAGGAACTGAAGCGGCAGGCTAGAGCATTGCACTTCCCCCTTCATGTGACAATGCTTGCTGCAGCCCAGTCCATGTGGCGTGTCCTGTGGCTGGGAATTGTAACTGAAGTTGTTCTGGAACAGAGTCAAACTGCCTATCTAGTTTTAAGTACTTGTGTTCTCCATTGACTGAATATTTAAAGGGAAGGTGATGCCAACTCTGAACCAGACAGATCATGTACTTGAAGAACTTTGGGGAGCGGGGAATGTTATATAGCAGGTAATTATAGAATATGTAACAACAACAAACAATTGGCAAATGCTTACTACATTTTGCTCCTCCCTCCCCCTTCTATTCCTGTGAACTTTGTGATCTGACTCTCTTCAGAACTGCCACTCTGCAAGTGTAACTTCTACTGTAGAACGAATTCCTTAACTTGCATACTTTAGAATTCCACCAAATGCAAAACTTTTCTTTGAAGTGGAACTGGTGGATATTGAATGATGGGTTGTTCCTCCTGGCCCCCCATCTTTGAAAACTGTGAAGATGCTCTTGGAAGTCCAGGAAATGTGTTTGTGGCCTTGTTTCGCACACAGCAAAGGTGGGGTGGGGGTGAAAAAGCTTTTATTCCAGTTGCTGTGTACAGCATCACTTTAACTAAAGACTGGTTTATATACATGGCTCTGACTGTCATTGGCCATCTGTGGCTGTCATATTTTTTACTTTGGCACATTTAAATGGTGCAGTTGTCATAACATTTGAAGAGGTCCTGCTTTCACGTGTTTTGAGGCAGCCCCTACAGTTAGAGACTATTCAAGGCAGCCACTTTTTCTGCTATAGGGCAGGGAACACTTCTGAATATCAGGTTGACGGAAGGGACAAGAGCCTAATTAGCACTGGCTGCTGATCTCCAGCTATTACTAGTGTAGACTGTAGCTTTCTCATGAGAAAAACATATTCTTGCCCTGTAGAAGCTTTCGAGCCTCTGAAATGTTACTAGGTAGTGTATTTGACAACTGTGATACTGTTCAGGACCAAAAGAGAAACGAGAAGTAGCTCAATTTGCACAATTTTATTAAAAAAAGGACATTTTAAACAAACCTTTCTAAACTTATACATGAAAATTCAATACAAAACCCACCCCAAACACAGCATGGTTCTAGCAACACACTTCATTTGTCACTTCTTTAAATCCAAAAGATGCCCTTCCACATTATGTAGTCCCACCCACCCATATATATATATATATATATTTAAAAATCTCTCTTTTTTGGATGCTGCAACTGTAAACTCAAAGCCAAAACAGACCTGGATGAGGGTGTAGATTTGAAACTTATTGAGGGACAGGAGCAGGAAACTCACATAGAGCACCATTTCCTGGAGTGGCGCAAACCTGTTCTAGCCGCCTTCAGATCATTGCCGAGAGCCGACTTTAGCCAGCATTCAATAGATGTTATTGCAATTTCTTGGAATTTTTTGTAACAGGAAAGCCAAAATCCTGATAAAACTATGTATACAGCAAGATACCAATTAATACAAGAATTTGTCACAAGAACCCTGTGGACATCAGTTCACCGCACATGCAGAAAACACAAAAGGATTGTGTGACTCTGTTCACATCCCCATTTATATATATATATATATATATATATATATATATATATATATATATATATAAACCAAAAACACTTTCACACCCCATTTCTGCTCAAATTGTTCTTCTGCTCAGGTGGAAGAAGTCTGATAGTATTGTCCGTAATTCCATGCATTTGGGTAGTTGTACTAGAGGAGGAAGCAAAAGGGGGAGGTGGGTTAGCAAACTTTTTGCGCATTCCACACTTGCGCAAAACTCTGCAAAGGGCCAAGAGCTAAACGGCTCCACCGTTGCAATATTGCAGCTGCAGAGGCCCTTGGCATTTTTAAAGCCTGAATCCCTGTCATGGCAGAGCTTGAGTTTGGGAGGGGTTGCGTGGCAAAGAGGAGCCCGAAAACTTCCCCCGTATCCGCTGCTCACCTGGTACCAAGCGTTGTAGTTGTAGGCAGCCTGGTTCGCTTGCATGTCTCCGTCCGCCATCTGCCCAGATGCCAGAGCTGCCTCGTCACCCTGCGCTCGCTTCTCGTCTGGCTCTTCGCAGCTGCAAGATGCGACAAATGCGCTGCTGTTATTCGACAGAGCAGAGGGCCCAGAGATGGAAACGTCACCAGCTAGCTAGCAAGTCCTCGACTCGCTGGGTCTGCTTTGCCTTGAATCTTAACACCACTGTCTGGTATCCCAGCATGGTAAGGAGCTGGTGGAGAAGGGGGCTTCTCACACCCCCAACTCCGTCTGTCACCTCCCCTGCCCACCCTCTAGGGAACGACAAACGGTGGCCCACTTTGTAAGGGCAGGACAACTCACCTGTCTTGGGGGGGTGGAGAACAAAACATCTCTGTTCCCCTGACCCCCACTTCAGGAAGGGATCCAGGCCCCTCCCTTTGAGATACTGCACTTGCCTCTCTGCTCTGAAACATTTCCTTTATTTAACATAATTTATATAGCACTCGACTGTAAGTAAACCTCTAAGCTGTTTACAAAAGAATTATATCTTATTCCTCAGTTCTAAAAGGACTGCCTTTTCCAATATTAACAAAATAATAATAATAATAATAATAATAATAATAATAGCAGCAGCAATAATTTATTTATACCCCACCCATCTGGCTGGGTTTCCCCAGCATCTAAGCCCTCCTCAACAGTCCCTACCCCAAACCTTTTGAAATTAGGCAGGAGGTGATCGGTGAGGGGAACTTTCTGGCTGCAACACCCAACATGTGGAATACCCTCAACCCCAGCAAGGCTCACCTGGCACCAAATCTGGTGTCTTTCCAATGCCAGGCAAATACCTTTTTATTTGCTCAGGCCTTCAAGCTATTGATTATCTCCTTTTATTGTTAGGAGTTTTTTTCCCCTGATTCTGATGAGCTAATTATATTAATTTATGTTGGGGGGGGAGATGTCTTTCTACTGTCGTGTGCTACCTTGCGAGTTTTTTAAACAAAGACTTGACATCCCAATAACTAAATGTCATTTGTCAGAAAGCAAATAAACCCTGCTACACATCTGACAAGGCATTCAAGCCATGGACGCTATTCAATCCTATCAACCCAGGGAGGGGGGCTGTTAAACTTAAAGCCACCTGCTCCTCATCTATCTTCAGCACAACAAGAAGCCAGTTGCCTGGCCACCCCTTAATATGAAGAACAGCCTTGGAAGTTTCCAAAGTTTGAAGAACCCGAGCCGCTACTTGAATGGTGCTCCTAATGCTTCATGGGAAAAGAGTAAAAAGCTCTCGAGTGCTTGCGTTTAAATGAGGCGCATTTTCATGAGTGGCGCATCAGATCATTCGCAACTGTCAAGGGGCATGCAAAAAAATAGAATAAAATAAATCCTCAACTTCAGACGTGCTAAGGTATTAGCCAAACTTTGTCGTAATTCTCACGGAGTTGGTAATCCTGAGGCACTGCCCACCTCCATGCAGAGGCAGCTTTTTCAGAAAAGCTCTTTAGCACATCTGGGAATAGAGCTTCCACCCTGGCCTGCCTGCCTGTCTGTCTGTGTCTCTATCCCCCCCCCCCCCAGAAGCATGGTCATATCGGGTGAACCAAAATGTATGGTTTGGAGTAGGCAGCCCTGATACACTTTTGCAGTCAAGCCTTAACGCCATCACTGCTCTCTGCTAAACAAGACAGTCCATACCCATTTTCTGCTTTCCTTTTCAAAGACTCTTGCTCCTTCAGAAGGGATTGATGCTCTTCATAGGCATCCATAAGCCTGCAAAGAGGAGAGGGGAGAAAAAACAGGCTGCAGGTTAGGCCTTTCTGCTCATCAGCGCAGGATGCACAAACATTTCCATTTTGAAAGTTTGTGAACTGGATCACACTAGTTTAAATTCTCTACTGAAGTTGGCATCAGCGAAGAGAGAACCCCACTTACTCCCAGGGCCAGAATTTCTGCAACCTTTAGCAGGAAGAACAGTTTTCTACAAAGAATGGCCTCTCGTCAACCCTCCTGAACTTTGTCTGCAGCGTACATGCCATTAATAGGCATTAAAATGGGCTCAGATGCTGTCCAGTTCCCCTAAGGCTGTTAAGCACATGTAAAACCTCACTTGTTCACATCCAGACCAAAATCTTCAAGGAATTCCACCTTTCGCTGAGAAAATATAATCCTCATTTTTATAGCCAACGTGCCACTGATCGCTTTGTCAAAACATGCAATGATGTTCTCTTCATTTTGTTTCAGGTCTCCATTGTACTCTATTTCCAGCAAGTTGAGATACAGTTTGGGGTTATCCTAGGCAAAATAAATTAAATACAGAAACATTCAGATGGCAATATTCAAGAGTAGTACACAAATTATTACAACCGCAATGATGAAGTAGTTAAATATATTGAAATTACAGGAGAGAATGTCTGAATGGTATGTCAGCGGTGGAGCCTCTGCTTGGGTGCAGGGGGAGCAAGCTGCGCATGCAAGATCTCTTCCTCTCAGAACTACCTCTTTCAGAAATGTTTTCATGCCGAGACTAATTTGCAACTACACTTCCAAAAATTAGACGGCTCAATTTAGCCATGTACAAGATCCTCTAAGTAAGCATACGCACAGCAAACCAAGAATCCCATGAGCACCAGTCTTCTCTGCATTCTCCTCAGGGATTCATGGTATCATCAAGGTGCATCTTAGAACACCAGAATTATCCCTCCACCTCCTGGCCCAATCAAGGCACAAAAGTCTTGCAGGAGGTTAGGGAGGGGCTGGTACCTTCCTGAGGAGGATAAACTTTTGCTTGCCTAGAGACATGCACCAGATCTGAATGCCTTGAAAAAAATGAATTTTAGTGAGTGCACCTCTATGTGTTTATTATGGAATCGAACATAAATATGCATATTTGTAATGCGCAGAACTTTGTGGAGTGCCCCCCGCCGCCGCCTTAAGCCAGTACTGAGAAGGGTCTTCTGCCGTGAGGTATGGGGCTCCTTTCCCATTTAAATGTCTCTATTGATTCTTCTGTAAATGCATCTACATCTATGGCCCAGGAACTGCGGAAAGTGAGAGAGCTGCACCCCTGGCCACATTACAGCCCCAGGATCTGGCACCCCAGACATGGCCATGCTAAGCTAGCTCTGCTCTGGTGGGAAGCCTGGAGTTTGGGGCGGGGTGTGTAGGGAAGGGAGCCTGGCAACATCAGTTTAGAGGGACTGGTGTCTCCAAGTTGCAGCAACACGCATTGCAGAGTCAAGAGTCGTCATCACTGTTGCCAGGCACGGGAGCCCCTTGGCAGAGGTGGCAAGGAAGTGGTCCAGTTAACCCTCCTCCAATAGCTGCCTACCCTGTCTCTGTCGATGGCGTCCAGAATCACTTTCCTGGCTTTGGGGAGGTTCTTCTGGATTTTGAAAAGGTGCCGAGCGAGCTTGACCGCGAAGAAGGAGGCTTCGTAGCTGGACTTGGCGTTCTTCACAGCTTCCTGGAGCAGGTGCTCAGCCTCCTCCATGTTCCCATGCCTCCGCTCCAAGCTCACTCTCCGCAGGCGGATCATGGCCAGGCCTGAAACGTTCTCTTCAAAGGTCTTCAGAATTCTTCGGGCTTCATTGATATTCCCTAAAAGCAAGGGGAAACGTGTGGGTGTGGAATGGCACCTAGCTGGGGTCCTCCTGCACAACTCCCTGTCAGGTACCCAAATATCAGTTTTTGCTTGACCCTCCCCCGCCCCCCGTCATCTAGCTGAGTTAAGTTTCAGATGGGCATGAAAGGGAGGTGGGGGCTTCAAGCACCAGACTTTGCTCAGGTCACTTGATTCCCGCCTTCCTGAGAAGTAGGAAGCAACAACCCACTACAGTGGTACCTGAGGTTAAGTACTTAATTCGTTCCGGAGGTCCGTTCTTAACCTGAAACTGTTCTTAACCTGAAGCACCACTTTAGCTAATGGGGCCTCCTGCTGCTGCCGCGCTGCCGGAGCACAATTTCTGTTCTCATCCTGAAGCAAAGTTCTTAACCTGAAGCACTATTTCTGGGTTAGCGGAGTCTGTAACCTGAAGCATATGTAACCCGTATGTATGAATGTCTCCTTCACACCAAACAGAGAAACTGGAATGTACAAAGAGCATAAATGCACAGGTGTTCATAAATCAGCCCATCAATTGTCCAGCAGCACACACAGCCCCCTCCTCAAGAGTCTCCTTTGTGGTGCAGTTTCAAGGCGGGAATAGTGGAAGTCGCTTCCAAGCAGCAGGAGACATTCCTCCGCCTCTTGCCAAGCCCTCTGGCACTCTCGTGGAGAGAAGCAGGGTGTGCTCTCATATGTGCGGAGGTTGAGAGTAGGTAGATAAAAGCAGGAGTCTCCCTGCAAGGAGGGCTGATTACAGTCGTCATGGGTGGCAAGTGTCTGTGTATGCACACACCCAGCAGATTCCATGCACAGATTCTGCAATGTCCTGGAAAAGATCCTCAACTTCAGATAGAAGGTACAGACACTTACATACACCCTGATCTACATTTTACTACCAGATACTAGAGTCACAAACTTGGCTAAAATTCACCATCCGCATAATCTATTCTTCTAACCAGGCTCTGCAACCAATTCAGACAAGCAACAACGTTAGCACAGACTGCAAAGTGAGGTTAGAGGAAAACGGCAAGTGTTCCTATTTTGCAGGCATGTAATCCCCATAGGGAGACTGGAAAGAGACCCTAAAAAGTGCTGCTACTAGGAGAGGAGGGGTCAACAGTGTTACAGCAGGGATATGGCATTAAGCACCTCCTTGAATCCTCTGCACAGCACTCGTCTTTCAGTCAGGTCTGATCACTGAGCTGCCAATCACTGTCCCAAGCGGAAGACCTGAACCCTTAAGATATGCCCTATTATCAATGTTTATAGGGCCTCATTCACTTCTCCAGAATTTGAAGTGGCTGTTTCATCCACGGAGGAGCAACCTTTCCAGGGTTGCCAAATGATCAAAATACTGGGATATGGAGATGTGTATCTCCACATGGTCTACGACCATTTACATTTGCTCTTATCCTGTGGCAAGGAAAAAAGTGCATGTATCCTCATTTGCTTTTATTCTTGTTATAGTCTTCTTCATGGAGTGGCTTACAAGGCGGCATTTAAGTTTGTAGAGAAAATGACTGACTGAGCAGTGAACCTCCAAGAGCCTGCCATTTTGTTTGGCTGAAGGATGCCTCTGCTACCCGTTCCTCTAGGAGACCCGGCTCCTCGCTCACCTTGCTGTTCTTCAAAGGCTGCCCAGAGCAAGTGCACCATCGGCTTCTTTGAGAGGTGTATCGTGCAGGCCCGGCTGTAGACGTGCCTCACTCCTTCGATGCTGTGGTTCTCCATATACTTGGCATACTGCATTTGAAGACAGAGCAGAGACTGAACAATTCACAGCTTACTCTGGGCTGCTAAATACTTGAGAGAACTATAAAATTCTTGTGTTTAAACCCATTCAGCACCTTTATTGAACCATTAGACTAGTTTCTGTAAGGAGGGACGAAGAGAGGCAACGAAGTTGGCATATGCAGCTGTCAAATCTGGTTGCAAGCAGACCATCTCCTAATGCAACAGATATAGTTATACATGAACAACATTCAAACAAGAGTACAGAAGGTTAGTCACTGATCATCAATGTTTGCAAAGGCAGAGAGCTGTGCGTGGGAGACACGCCCCGTACCTTGATCCAAAACTCCTCATAGAGGGCACAGGAGATCACACAGCGCTCAAAGAGGACCACCACTCGCTCATGAGTCCCGTTTTCAATCTCAAAGTCCAAGTACTCCTTCCAGTTCTTCAGCTGAGTTTTCTCCAGAGGTTTAACGTGAAAATAAGGTCGTTTTATCTGCAATGGAGGAGAACCAAGGGAACGGAAAGTAAACCAGCTTTACAATGGCAACAAAACAACTTTCATCTGCCACTTAATCCCGCCAAGCACATGAGAAACCGGAACCTGCTGCCATCTAAGCCAAGGCCTGCTCAGAATCAACACATCCATATGCAAGTGAATGCGGAGGAGAGAGGTGGATCACATTATTCCCCCTACATTTTCCCAAACCTGTGAACAAGGCCTCCATGCGCCCAGCTTGTGCATGCATAAAAGACAATCACAAGTCTGAAGACCCTCCACAGGTCGTGGACAGTCCTCCGGAATAATACTGTTGCTCCTTCCACACATTAATTTAAACATGGGTTAATGTGTGGTCAGCCCTATACCTTCCCCTGAAATGTAGTTTCAAGAACAGCTGACCAGGCTAGCAAGTTCCCTATACAGAAAGACCTAACAAAGATCAGGCACAGAACTCTTGGGTCCAATAAGAATGCACAATTAAGTGGCTGCATTCCTTAAGAATACAGAACAATCATCATGTATCAAAGGTGGCCAAACAGATGTCTTCATTCCAAGTAGGATGCGATGGCAAGATCCCTCTTTCCATTGCTTCTTGTTGCCAAACCTGGGCCTCCTCTACGGTTCTCTTAGAGAGTATAATCTGCTCATTGTGCCCCATGTGCATCCTTTACACTTCGGCCGATTCTCATTTGCCATTTTGTCGCTCATTCACTGACTTTGGAGAGATCTTTTTAGCTCTCTTTGCAATCCACTTTGGTTTTCAATCTCAACTCCCCAACCCTGCACACCCTCAAGCTCTTAAGGAACCCAACTTCTTACCTCCCTGCATTGTAAGAATTGCCCACTGATTGGTACCCTTTGCCTCCTACTCTTGACTCATCACCAATTCAAAAGGGCCGGTCTTCTTATCTCCTGGCCACCAGGAGGGGGCTTTGCCCAAAAGTCCTCCCCAATTACCAAAATACGACCTGTGCTCAGATTTGGGCCAAAGCATTCTTCTTTTCTAAGCACCCTGTGTTCTAAAGGAGCACTCCTAAACCACTCCAACTTGTAAATGTTCTGTACTGCTAGGAAGTTGCTCCCTTCAGGCTGCACTTATGGACTTCCTGGAGGTGCCTGGCTGGCCACCAGTGGGGAAAAAAATGCTGGACTAGATGCCCCTGCCTTAGAGGAGAGCACTGCTAGGTGAGACGGAGGAAACAGGATCATGGGACTTGAAAAAAATCAACCGCTCAGACACTAAGTTAGAAGGGTAAAGCAAGCAGAACGTGGGTATCTAGAGATCTATCCCACTTTATAATTTTTTGCTTCTTTAATGGCCACACCTAAAAAACCACTTGTCTCTGAAATCTTGAGACGCTATTAAGCCAATTAAGAGTATCCAACAGAGATCGGATCTCATCTCTCCTACACCCCATGTTCTTTGGAGCCTATGGACAGGCAAACACCCTGAACAGAAGCAGCATCAAAGGAGACAACAGAAGCAGTTGTGTTGGTAAGAAGTCCCACACGTCTCATAACATTTATAAAAATGCTGCAATTTCATTAAAAATATGAGTATTGGAGCATTACAAAACTCCAAAAATACTGGAGCCTTCTGCAACTTGGGGGGATAATCAGCAGCACCACTAAATATCATCTTGGTGATTGAGATAAGATATAAGGATTCAGGCAACCCCTCAGGTGCCCTGGACCCAAGTTGTTCAAGGCTTTGTAAATTAATACAAGGGCCTTGGACACGGCTTGGCAGCACATGGGCAGCCAGTGCAGATCTTTTCACAATACTGCTACATGTTGCTGGCTATCTGCCCTCATCAGCCCAGCAAAGCCTGGCTTAAGCATGCCTGCCTAACGCTGTACTGAACTCTGGCCACTTTGAGCTGCTTGCAAGGGGGAACGCAATAGGAAAACTGCCTTTTGTTCATATATGGTCACCACTGTAAGCAATATAATTAATTTGTAGCAAATTTTTACATTTGAAGCAACAGCACAGCCTGTAAAGGAATTTGCTATTGGTGTTACGGCTTCAAAGAGAGAGAGCTTTGGTTGGTTGTTGGCATCCGTCTGTCTTGGGACACAGTGGCTGGAATTGCATCTCACAGGGGGAAAGTGCTCTGCCCAGCAACCACCAGCCCCTGCTTCCAGAAAAGCTGGGGTACTGAAGACATCAAGCAAGTGACCTCACTTATGAATCCTTACATTTATAGAGAAATCAATTAATTTCACAGGTGCTCGGCTTGCCTCCAAGCAGATAATTCTGTAGTCCAAGAGGCATGAGGACTGTATGCCCCAAGATTTCAGGTATCACTCCCAGAGAGTATAAAGCATCTACATACAGTGGTACCTCTAGTTACGGACTCAATCCATTCCGGGGTGCTGTTCGCACCCCGAAAAGTCCGTAACTAGAGCGCCACTTCTG